TGAAATCCACGCAGTCTCGCCACTTTCCGTTTTTCTTTTTGACGACCACCAGGTTGGCAAGCCAATGCAGATACTTCACTTCGGCAATTGATCCGGCCTTTATGAGCTTATCTACTTCATCGTGGACGGCTTGTGCTCGCTCAGGTCCTAACTTTCGTCGCTTCTGCTTGATCGGCTTGAAAGTCGGGTCGACGTTCAATTCGTGACTCGTTATTCGGGGGTTAATGCCCTTCATTTCGGCCATGGACTACGCAAATGTTGCGACGTTCTCTCCGAGGAAACTGACCAGCTCGTCCTGTATGCTAGGCAACAGTTCCATTACGATACCGACGTAATATTCCGGGTGGGCAGCATCGATGTTGACTTGGGCTATAAAGTCGCTCTTCGGCTGCTCGTCGTGATGAACAATCCGTGGATCAAAATCGCTACTACTGTCGATCACGAACGTTGATGCTTTACGGGCGCGCTTGTTGTCGATGTAACAATGTCGGGACACTGTCTGGTCGCCACGGATGGTGATGACACGGCCCCTGATCGGCATCTTGATGCATTGATGGTAAGGTAAAAGGGACGGCCCACATGGCATTCGGTCATGGTGTTCCAAGGATGGCATTGTAGATCGCAGGTCAGTCGATAACCTCGAACTTGAGCGTAATTGACTTTCCGCATATGGTAACAGGCATCGTTATCAATTCTATCGTCGAGATTGAGTCTCTAGCGAATCCAGTGAGGGGGTGATGGTGCGACTTTGATGTCCTGTTCCGGGATACTCATCTTGCATAAAGTATCCATGAAGATGAGGTCGACCGAACTTCCAGTGTCGATCAACACTTTGGAGACGTCGTCTTCTCCGAGTCGTAGTTAGATGACGAGTGGATCGTTATGAGGTCGGTCTATGAACTGCGCGTCTTGCTCTGTGAATGCGATCGGTAGGTCATCCTTGAACAGCGGTGGGGCGTCCTTCGGGGGATTGGCTGCTTTCCGTTCGTGCCGTTTAATTGAATTTATCGAGTCGGTGCACGAGAGGAGCCCTCCAATGATCATGTTGATCCGCCGACGTGGTGAGCTTGGAGATGTGTGATCGTCTTCACGGTCACGCTGTGCTTCCTTGCCCTCGCGTTTATAAGAACGATCGATGTTATCTCTTCTATCACGATCGTCGCTGGTTCTTCTGTCGCGATCGCCATCGGGTCGCCTGTCCTCATCGTCGGATCGTCGTGAACTCCGAGGTTCTGGTAGGGTGATCTCACCATCATTCCACACCTTCCTCAAGAGGGCTGGGAGGGTGCGGCAATCATCGGTATGATGACCGTGTGCCCTATGGTATTTGCACCACGGCTTCTTGCTGTCAGAGTCTCTGTCGCTAGAGCGGTCCCACACGTTTCATGGCTTTTTTGGTCGTCCAACTGCGTTGATGCTCTTGCGATTCTTGTCATCCTTGTCGTAGTGCTGACGGGGCTCTTTGTAATCGTCCTGACTCGACGATCTGCCTTTCTTGTCGTGCGAAAATTTCTCATCGGCCAACTTGGCCTTGGCCTTGGCTGCCCGATCCTCCTCGACTCTGATGTAGCCAGATGCCTTGTGCAAAGCATCTTCGAGGGTTTTGGTTTTTTCCGTCTTCAATCGCTCACAATACGATGAATCATCCTTCAAATTCTTGATAAGAATGTTGAAACATAGTTCGTCCGACAGACTGCACCGAGAGACGATTGATCGGAATCGGTCGATAAAATCGTGCAGCAGCTCTGGGTCGCCCTGGACGCATGCCCATAGATCGAGCGTTGTAGACTCCGTGTCGATGTAAATCGAATAATGCTTCTGGAACCGAGCTGTGAGCTCCTTGAAGCTATCGATCGAGTTCTTGGGAAGCTGCGAGAACCAGGTGAGGGCACTTCCGGAGAGCGTCTCCACGAAGTACTGACAGAGGCATGCTTCCCGCTCCTCGTCGGTGAAGCGAGCGCGTCTCATGACTGCGTTGAACACGGTCAGATGTTGCTTCGGGTCTGTCGTGCCGGTGTAACTCGGAGGTAGCTTCATCCGGCCTATGTCCTTGAGAGGAGCATTGGTGATGACCGACGTGAACGGGGTCTGCTGCGTCTCCTGAAGGATCTTATCCAATTCTGGTGCTGAGGTCGTTGCCTTGTGGATCTGACTGTGAATATTGTCAAAGCGTTGGTGGAGAAGATCAAGCTCTGAGGATGTCGTCGGGTCGGTACCTGCAGTATTGCGCGATGAACGAGCGTTTGAGCCTTCTGCCTGAGCTCTTTGTAGGTCGTCTGTCGGTGTCGTGCCGAATAGGTTATTGACTAGCCTGGTCGTATCTGTGTTGCGGATCGGAGGGCGAGGGGGAGTGATTAGATCGGCCTGCTCTTGGGTATGAACCCAAGAGTTGAGAAGCCGATCTAGGTCTTCTCTGTAAGCGATCTGCTCGGCACGAAGGGATTCGAAGCGAGCATCCATCCCCTGTTGCAACTGTGCTGCGACTGACCTGATGATGGTGGCCATGTCGATGGGAGGTGGCTGTGGCAGGCCGGTCGTGTTTGTGCCACCCGTCTGGCCGACCTGATCTGTCCCACATATGTTTTGCGCGGTAGTTTTGTTGTCTTCCTGATCAGTCTGGTGGATCACTGGAAGCCCGGTGGCTGGGTCGATGATCGGATCCTGAGTGTTTCTTGTCGGATCAGAGGCTCCTCTTGTGAGGTCGGTAGTGTTGATTGGTGTTTCAACCATCTTCAAACTCCGTTCTAAGTCAAAGATTTCTCTCTTATCTCCCCTCAGACGGTGCCAACTATGAAAACTCAAGTCACGACTTATAGAAGAACTAGGGTTTGAGGATTTAAAAGAGAGATCTTTTATTAGAAGAAGCCGGAGCTTGGTAAAATACAACTGTGTTTAGGTCGTCGGAATAAGAACGCCGACCTAAAACTCTTTAAGTAAGTTAACCAAAAGCTAGAACAATCTGAACGCTTAGTTTGCTCTAGGTCTTGATTGATGATTTTTGGATGATTTGAGGAGTCGAGGACTTCATATATTTATAGCTTGATTAGGTCAGTTTTCAACCCATTTAGAATAGAAAACTCTCCTTGCCGATAAGAAAAAGTTTCTTTTTTTTTCCGGATCGCTCAATAAATGGAAGATTTCTTTTTATATCACCGACCTGAAACTTGTTAAACAGACTGACCAGAATTCATAGCAGACTTGTTGGAGACGGTACGAATATCATTTCTAACAATCATACATACAATTCTTAAAGAAAACTTGAACTTGAATAATATATATATATATATATATATATTTTAATTTTTTGTGATTAACAGATATGATTTATCAAGACTAATACTCTCTGTTTAGATTTAAGTGTCATTCTAAATGATTTTACATAGATTAAATTTTAATAAATAGACTATTTTAACTTTACAAATGATATCAATTAACAATTTAAATACTTTAAATTATATTAATTTAATTGAGGTTATATTTAGAATTAGTTTATAAAAGTTGTATTGGAAATTAAAAACGACAAATATTTTGATAAAAAATCAAAAGTTCAAAACGACTATTAAAATAAAACGAAATGAGTAGTTTGTTAGTCCACAATTGCTAATTTTCTTCTTTCAAATTTACATATTTCAACATTAAGAAGCTGAATAGATAAAGGTTATTTCAGTCACAATGGTTAACTTTTTCTTATAGTACAGTATTTGCTAGAAAAACTTTTATATGACCTATCTCTTAACAAAATTAGAATAAGATTAAGTCTTAAGACGAAGCCTAATAAAGTGATAAACGGATGAGTTAGGGATCAGCTTGACCCACCTAAAAGCTACACAAAACGGATGGTTCTACTTTACTCGTATTGCCTTTTGTCAACGGCGCGTGTTGCATACGTTTATGTAATCAGCGCGTGACAATGGATATGTAGATCTCCAAAAAAATTCATTTTTATTTTTTTTAAAACACTAATAAATTCACTTTTTTCGAATTTTCAATTTTGTTTTCTTCTACTATTTAAATTACCGCAGAGTGTTTAATTCATACCTAAATACGCACTCCCCTTTAAGAAAAAAAAAATACACCTCCCCGTATACGGACAACTGTTTTAAGTTGTTAACTAATTCTTCAAGTTAATTAATTACACACATAAATAGTCCAGACTCTTCTTAGCCTATTAAATGGAGCAAGAATCTAGTCAAAGTTAGTATACATGTACAAATAATATTACTGGCTACATTTTACATCTTCCCGTACAAGCTTTTATAATTAGTACAATTATATAATTAGATCATCGTTATCTTCTCATTCTCCAATTATATGTCTATATTTGCTGAAAAGCGTACCGTAATCATTAGTTATTCGATTCATAAACTTGTTATCATTTCAACATGTATATTTTCTATCTATATAGATATAACAAATATGTAGAATTTTGACTAATTAATTTTTTTTGATACTCCATTTGAAGACCAGATTTGCACGTTTCTTGTGAATTTAGTAGGTTATGAAATACATGAGAGAATCTTCTGTAATTAATATGATCATTAAAAAGATGTAAAATAGGTACAATCAACTGCAAAAAAAGTGTGAATCAAAACAAAATAAAAGAGAGAAATTTTGGCGTGGAGGAGTTCACCAAAATAGATTTAATAAACTTCCAAAAAGGTGAATATATAAGGAAAATAAATTTTAATAAATTAAAAGTTCACCAAAAAAGGTTTTAGGGAATATATAATAAAAAAGAAAAGGTTCACTAAAAAGAAGATACAAAACGAAAGAAGAAAAAAGAAAACGCCGTTGCTAAATTGGTGACCAGTTGAAAACGGAACCTTGAAGACGGAGTCTCTGTCCTGTCAAATAAAAGAAAAAAACGACTTTGAGGTCTTTGTCATGTTTTTCATTTTCTATGTAATGAAAAATTAAATCTATCAACTTAAAAAAAAAAGATGAGATCAGAAATATTTTTTTTAAAAATGGTATACGGGCTATATATATATATATAAACCCTAGTTGGAATTATAAAATTAGATATGCAAATTAAAAGAAAAAGAAATGCAAGGGAACAGAGGAGAGAGAAAAAGGTGTGAACAGTTAATGGCGGAGCAGTATAAGGAATCGCTTCTCTCTAGAAATCTGCCATAGCTGGATCATTTGTAATCGAAAGAAAATAAAAAAAAGCAGAAATTTTTGCAGAAGAAGAAAGAATTAGTGTTGATGTTAGTGGAGAAGAGAAATAAGATAAAATCTCACAAGTGTTTTCGAGATGCGAGCTAAATCCGGTAGAAAAGGAACCTTCTCTGTACTTCTTCTCTTCCTCCTTTTGATTCTCATTTTGCCCAGTCTTTAATTTTTCCGATTTTCTTTTTTCACTTTCCCTTTTTCTTCTTCTTCTTCTCCCTGTTCCTTGTTCTTCAATTTCACTCTTTCTTGTTTTTTTTTTCTTTTCCTTTCTTTCCTTTCCTTTATTTCTCCGGATTTTTAAAGCTGTGATCGAAGAGAAAGTCAAGAATCGTCCTGGGTCTTCTTCTTCTTCTTCTTCATATTCTAATAAAGTTTTCTTGGGTTTTTGGTATCGGATCTGTTTCTTGGTCCTTGACTAATAGTTGAAAATTGGGGGTTTTTGATCTAGGTTTGATATTTGGATTTGATGTAGGAAGACTGCGTTTTTCTTTTAGAAAGGGAAAAAAAAGAAAGAAAAAAAAAACGAAATAATCTGTTTCTCATCCAAATCTACCCACCATTTTTGTTGTGGAAGATTGTTTTTTTTTTTTTTTGAATTTTCATACTTCTTACTAAAAAAAAAATTCAAAGTCAGAGACTTTAATCTGATTTAATCCGCCATTCAAAATCTCAGAGGAGAAATAGGAAGAGGGTTTTTCTTGTAAGTAAGAATATTTGATTGTTTATGGGAATACCTGATGGTTCACTGCTAGATCTAATTGATAAGGTTAGGTCTTGGATAACTTCGGATTCAAGCGATTCTTCTCTGTTCTTCTCTTCTTCCAAAGACTTTGAAACTATGCCAATCGTTTCCAAAATGTGCCATGACTGTGGAACCAACCTCGACGGTGGTCTCCTCCACGGTTACTGTTGCCTAAGCTGTGGCCGTTTGTGGTGCAAGAGCTGCTACTCTGAATCTGATACAGAGGAGACTCAAGAAGTTTGCAAGAAGCTGTGTAGAGAATGTGACGGAGAGGTTCGTGAGTTAAGAGGAAAGAGCTATGACAAGGTTCATCCTCGGGATAGCCCCGATCCGCCTTCCCTCGCTCAAAGCGAGAATCTTGAAATCCGCGATTGCAGGAACATCGCCTCTATTCGTTGCTATCCTAGCAGGTATTTTTGCTCAAACCCTTGTCTCTGTGGGAAAAAAGTTTTGACCTTTACATTCAATTATGAGTCTTGATGCTGTGTGTTTGCAGGGGAGAGGACGAAGAAGGTAGAAGTTGTGGTAAACAGTTTCTAAGCCCTTCGAGTGAATACAATCAGGACAGTTCAGATATAGAGTCGGGTAGTGTTAGTGCTAGACATGAGCATTTTAGTTGTAAATCTTCTGCTGGGTCAAGTCCCCACGACAGTCCATTAAGGAACAATTTTAGTCCTCTTGGGCGCTTTGTACAGCACGCGAAAGACCTGAGCCCTACTGTTGGTTCTTTTGATCACAACCGGGAGCAACTCACGGCTGGTCGTAGGGAAGATCAAGAAGCTCAGAGTCACGACGAGGAGGAGGATTTGCTGCAGCAGCCGTTGGATTTTGAGAACATCGGCCGCATCTGGGATCCTCCGGCGCCTGAAGACGAGAACGACGATGCCGAGAGTAATTACTTTACGTATGACGACGATGACGACGATGTTGGGGACTCTGCCGCCGAGTTTTCATTGAGCAGTAGCTTTTCTAGCCACGTCCCTGCGAGGGAGAAACTGGGAGAAGACAGCAACGAGCCTCTTCGAACCGTGGTGCATGACCATTTCCGAGCTCTCGTTGCAGAGTTGTTACGCGGGGAGGAGCTTAGTCCCTGTGACGATGGCAGCGCCGGAGACTGGCTTGATATTGTCACTGCTTTAGCTTGGCAGGCTGCGAATTTTGTAAAGCCGGATACTCGTGCAGGAGGCAGTATGGATCCCGGAAACTACGTCAAAATAAAGTGTGTAGCATCGGGAAATCAAAAAGACAGGTATAGTTATCTTTGAGTTTTCCTGCTCTTGTTCATTAGTATAAGTTTCTAATTGAATCATTTGTTTCTGCAGCATCCTCATCAGGGGAATAGTGTGTAGCAAGAATGTAACGCACAAGCGAATGATGTCGCAGTACAAAAATCCAAGGGTGCTGCTTTTGGCTGGGTCTCTCGAGTATCAGAGAGCTGTAGGCCAGTTAGCGTCTTTTAACACGTTGATCAACCAGGAAAACAACCATCTCAAGGCGATTATAGCAAAGATAGAGTCCCTTCGTCCCAATGTTCTGCTGGTGGAGAAAAGTGTATCTTCGTATGCACAGCAATACCTTCTAGAGAAGGAGATCTCGTTGGTTCTCAATGTGAAAAGGTCATTGCTGGACCAAATAGCCCGTTGCACCGGTGCTGTTCTTTGCCCCTCGGTCGATAGTATTCCCACTGCTAGGTTGGGACACTGTGAGGTGTTCCGGACAGAGAGAGTGGTGGAGCAGCATGAAGCTGGGAATCAATCGAACAGAAAGCCTTCGAGGACATTGATGTACTTTGAAGGGTGTCCTAGGCGCTTAGGTTGCACGGTAAAGTTTTTTTTTTAGCCGTAAAGCTTGAGCCTTTGTGGCTTATTAAGAAGCCTGCTTAACTTAGATTTTCTAGCTTTTTTTTGTGAAACTTGTGCAGGTTTTGCTTAGAGGCAGTTGTCGTGAGGAGCTAAAGAAGGTCAAGCACGTTATTCAGTACGCTGTGTTTGCGGCTTATCACTTGTCACTTGAGACTTCGTTTCTTGCGGATGAAGGTGCTTCTCTTCCTAAAATTAGGCTGAAGCAACCGGGGATGGTGCGGTCGGCATCAGAAAGGAGAATGATTGATGATGGCATTTCCTTAGTAACTAATTCTCCTACAGAGAAAGATCGTCAAGCTTTAGTTGTTAATACAGCTGCGCACGAAGATGAGAACACGGCCTCGATGCCAGAGCATGAGGTTTGTGAATCGGTGTGTGAGGATTTTGATCCTAGTCAGCTGTTCCCACCGTCTTCTGACATGATACCTTGTGAGGTTGATGGAGATTTGCCTGATAGTTTGGTAATACGATCATATTCATCGAATCAGTTAAATGGTTTGCATGAATCCACTGTGTGCTCAAGTAGAGAGATCCCTGGAACGCCGACCCACGACTTGCCACAGCATGAGAGATTCGATGAAGAAGATGTCTCTAGCGAATACTTCTCTGCTGCGGACTCTCATCAGAGCATATTGGTTTCGTTTTCGAGCCGTTGCGTTTCGAAAGAATCAGTATGTGAACGCTCACGGCTCTTGCGGATTAAGTTCTATGGATCCTTTGATAAACCTCTCGGAAAATATTTGAAAGATGATCTTTTCGATCAGGTAGCTTCTTTCATCTAAAATGTCCACCCACCTTTTGTTCGTCTTTCTTATATGCCATGAAACTTAAAGTTTCCTCTTTTCTGTTTCTCATTCGTGTACAGGCTTCAAGTTGTAGAACGTGTAAGCAGCAGGTTGATGCTCATGTCCTCTGCTACTCTCATCAGAATGGGAATCTCACCATCAATGTTAAACGTATCTCTCCCAAGAAGCTTCCTGGTGAACAAGATGGGAAAATATGGATGTGGCATCGCTGCTTAAGATGTGCACATGTAGATGGAGTCCCACGTCCTACTCGTAGAGTAGTTATGTCTGATGCGGCATGGGGACTCTCCTTTGGGAAGTTTCTGGAACTTAGCTTTTCGAATCACGCAACTGCGAACCGTGTTGCGTCCTGTGGCCATTCGCTTCAAAGAGACTGCCTTCGATTCTACGGGTAAACTTAACAACGCTCCTGCACTAATAGTCTCATTCTCTAGAGTTAAGCTCAATCCTGTTAAAAACTTAATAACATTTATGGTTTTGTTATTGTGTTGCAGCTTTGGGAACATGGTTGCTTTCTTTAGATACTCTCCCATCAATATACTTACTGTTTTCCTTCCACCGTCGATGCTCGAATTCAACAGCCATCATCAGCAGGAGTGGATACGTACAGAGGCAGCCGAGGTGGAGTTTAAGAAAACATTTAAAGTCCTTTTTGCTTCAGGTTTTGGATATGCAAATACTAAAGAGCTCATATACTTTTCCCTTTGTGCATTTTACAGCTTATGGGTAAAATGCGGACTATGTATGCGGAGATATCTGGTATGCTCAACCGCTTGGAAGAGAAAAGCAGTTTACTTGAACCTGAACGATCTGAAGCCTCTGATCTGCAGAGCCGTATAATTGGATTAAAAGATCAACTCGTGAAGGAAAAAGATGAATACGATGTAAGCATCTGATTATTTTGCTTTTGAAAACTTGATGATACTTGTTGAATTTGTATTTGATGGGAATCTTCTTTATCGTGAACAGGACGCGCTGCAACCTATTTTTGTGGAGAATCTGCAAAATCAAGGGAGTTTAGATATTCTAGAGCTGAATCGATTGAGAAGGGCACTCATGATTGGTTCTCATGCTTGGGATCATCAGCTTTACTTGTTAAACTCTCAACTCAAGAAAGCATCTGTCTTTAAAGCTGGTGACGGCAATGCTTCTCGGAATCTAGAGATGCAGGATCCTCCAAAGATTGACCATAGTAGACTGCAGGAAGGTCCAGATGAAGGTGAAAGAAAATCCCATTCTGATGCAGAAGCTAATAGTGATAACAACAGAGATCGGGAAAAATTGCTCTCCCCTGGCTCTTCTCTGTCTGAGAGGATAGACTCGGCGTGGTTGGGCTCGTTTCATACTCTAGAGAAAGCCGAGACGATTTCAGAGGCTGAAGGCTTCTCAGCTGCTAACTCTCCACTCCGGAGGCTCGCAAGGCCGATTCGAGTCCAGTCGTTTGATTCAGCGATACGGTTTCAAGAAAGGATCCAGAAAGGTTTGCCACCATCTTCTTTGTATCTCTCAACTCTCAGATCTTTCCACGCTTCAGGGGAGTACAGGAATATGGTGAGGGACCCTGTTTCTAATGTGATGAGGACCTACTCGCAAATGCTGCCACTGGAAGTACAGAAGCTTGATCTGATTGTTGGTTCAGCGCCTACATACATCTCTTCAGCATCTCAGATGGCTGATGGTGCTCGGATGCTGATTCCTCAACGTGGCCTCAACGACATTGTGATCCCAGTATATGATGATGATCCCGCAAGCGTCGTGTCGTATGCTCTTAACTCGAAGGAATATAAGGAGTGGGTCGTTAACAGAGGCATCGCTAGTAGTAGTGGCAGCAACTGGAGTAACAGAGAGTCCGAACCTTCCACTTTCTCGACTTGGCGTTCTCTTGGAGCGATGGATGTGGATTACATTCACCACGCGGTGTATGGATCTTCTCAGGACGATAAAAAGTCTCCGCATTTGACCATTTCTTTCACTGACCGCTCATCCTCTTCCCCTGCTGCTGCAACTGATGGCAAGGTGAAGTTCTCTGTGACGTGTTACTTTGCGACGCAGTTTGACACACTGAGAAAGACTTGCTGTCCGAGCGAAGTTGACTTTGTGAGATCATTGAGCCGGTGTCAGAGGTGGTGTGCGCAGGGAGGGAAAAGCAATGTTTACTTTGCCAAGTCGCTGGACGAGAGGTTCATCATCAAACAAGTGGTCAAAACCGAGCTTGATTCTTTCGAGGATTTTGCACCTGAGTATTTCAAATACATGAAGGAGTCTCTCAGCTCCGGGAGCCCCACTTGTCTTGCTAAGATCCTCGGTATCTACCAGGTTAGTATGATGGAGAGCCTAAAAAGCTTTTTGGTTTGAAATGAAATGAAGTACTTAAGCATGTGAAATGATTGATTGCAGGTCTCAATTAAACACTCGAAAGGTGGGAAAGAGACGAAAATGGATCTGATGGTGATGGAGAATCTCTTCTACAACAGAAAGATATCCAGAATCTACGATCTCAAGGGATCTGCACGGTCACGGTACAATCCAAACACATCCGGAACAGACAAAGTCTTGCTGGACATGAATCTGCTTGAGACACTGCGCACAGAACCGATATTCCTGGGAAGTAAGGCCAAGAGAAGCTTGGAGAGAGCTATATGGAACGACACAAACTTCTTAGCTGTAAGTTATTACACAATTACATTATCCAAGTCATGTGTATACTTAATCTTTTGATTAATCTGTTTGCTCATTGTTCTGTTCTGTTTGGTTTTTTTACTTAAGTCTGTGGATGTAATGGACTATTCATTGCTGGTTGGGTTCGATGAAGAGCGTAAGGAATTGGTTCTTGGGATCATAGACTTCATGAGACAGTACACGTGGGACAAGCACCTTGAGACTTGGGTCAAAGCCTCAGGGATTTTGGGTGGACCAAAGAACGCTTCTCCAACCATAGTCTCACCAAAACAGTACAAGAGGAGGTTTCGAAAGGCCATGACCACTTACTTTCTCACTGTTCCTGAGCCATGGACCTCTTGATTGAGTGAAAGAGAAAATCATTTTTCATCATTCTTTTGTTTTACTGATCTCAATTTGTTCCTCTCAAATAAAAAAAAAAAGGGAAATTGGTTTAACAGACAAGATATATATATATATATACAGGTTGGGACCTGACTGATTTGATTATCACCTCTTTTTTTATTGGTGTGTTTGTTGTTGGTTTCTCTAAGTATGGAGAATTGTATATTGTAATTATCGGCCAAAACTAAAGCCCCCAAATTTCAAAGAAAAAATACTAATGATTTGCTTTTTTAACTTTGTATCTGTTATCTTCCTTTGTGTTAAATTTGAATATCTGCAAGTTCGTCCTTATTATCAGATTTTTGACACAAATGAAAAACACCAAAGATCTTGGTAACAGAGACTTGAGTGCCTTTAAAACAAGAAACAGCCAAAATTGAACACAATTTCGTAATTCAGACGATCTTTTATGTTCTTTATTTGATTATATTTGCAAATGCTACGTTTCAAATGTAAGAAGATAGTAAGCTCAGTATCTCCAATGATCTTTCACTAAACTAAAAACTAAAAACTAAAAATTAAAAACAATACTTATTAGAGGAATACAAATAGTAAATCTATAAACTAAAAACAACCACATTTCCTGCAACCAAAAGATTGAGGAAGTTCTCTTTAAACATTGAAACCATGAAGATTAAGTTAGTCGATTTTATATTGTCAATGTTTGTTTTTTTCCGTTCAATAAAAGATATATAATATTTATAGACACTAGAAAAAGTTTGTTACACAAGTTGGAGCACATCCGTTTCCTAGTGGCATTGCGTAATTAAAAAGGTAAGAAACGTGGCTTGAGAAACGGATCGGTGTTTTTTTTTTGGTTTCTCTTTGTTCTTCAGCAAAAAAAAAAAAAAAAACCTAAAAAGAATTGATCACCTCATGTGATTTGACACCTCCTTCTTCTCTAATCCCAAAGCTTCTTCCTCCGTTACGAAGCAAATGTTGTCTCTGATGAACCAAACCACTTGGAATGTTGAGGAGACAAAGTTCTGTGATCTTGTTCGAGAAATCAGAGCCACTCTCACTCTCTTTCTTCAGTTTCTCGATTTTCCACTTTGGTATCTTCAACTTCACGCTACTCATCACTTCTCTCTCTTCATCGTCAACCTCCTTCTTCATTACCGAGAGATCTGACGATGATCTACGAGACAGCTTCAGATTCTCTAACCTCTCCTTCGCACTCATCTGGATTCCCGACCGAACTCTTCTTGGGGTTCTCTCTTTCCATGTTCTGTCACGTGGGTTTTGATGATTACTCTCTAAATTAAAAAAAAAAAAGATTCCAACTTTGAAAACCTAGATGAATATGAATTTTTGTAAGGATTACCTGGGAAGCTCCACCATGAAATAAAGCCTTTTGGGTTCCAAGTTTTGGTGAAGATCTAAAGGCTTTGCTCTGATCCCGAAATGTTTAACGGATTCGGACTCCAAGAGAACGTGGCCCGGGAAATCTTTAACCACCGTACCAGCTTTAACCGGAGTTTTCAGCTTGAAACACTCGCCATTGATCTTCATGATTTTCACTGTTTTCTTGCTACCCAAGGAATTACCCATTAGAGAATAGCGTTTTGTAGGGTTACTAAAAATGTGATTAAAATCCACAAAAGAGATGAAAAAAAAAACTTTGCGGGTTGGTATCTTTTAAGAGCTCAGTAGTTCAAGGTGGGTGTTGTGTTAGATCAGATGAGTATAGATCTTGGATTTATGGTTGGTTGCTGATGATAGATACTGAATCATTTTTTAGGTCAACAAAATGCCAAATCTTGAAAGATATAAAAAAACCAATGGGAAGACAAAGTTACGTCGCATTTCACTATCAATCTTGGAAAAACCAATAACAACCCAAAAATTATGTTTAATATTGTAAAAAATCAAATAACGAATTGAAAGAAAAAAATGTGTACTGTTCTTCACTAAGACCATTGTTTTGTGACATTGTTTGCGGAGAAAATGACTTTTGCGTTAATCACTCCGACTAATATGGATATATCTCGTCGGCTAAACAATTCTTTTTTTTTTTCCAAAGGCACGTGAAGATTGATTGACTTTTACCGAATTTGAAAACAAAAGCTAATTTGCTTCTCTTTACAGGAACAGTAACTAATGCACGTGAAACCAATCCCGTGAAACTAAAAATCAAAGACCTTATTAATTATATGAAATATTGAATTAACAAGTTGTTTTTATTACGAAATTAACAAATAAATACAAGGTGAATGCAAAAGAGTTCGATTCTCGTAACCCTTTTCACTTTCACACCTTCTCTCAAATGGAATTAGTCTTTTAAAAAAAAAAGAAACTAAAAAAATCAATCACATCAACAGAACTTAAACAGATCATTTAAAGCCAGCCGACGAAATTAAATTAAACTTTTAAAAAAAACAGAGAGGTTTTTTCTGGTAGCCTGTTAATTCGAACCTTTCTTCTCTGTTAAGAGCTAATCAGCGTAAGTTCTGAGATGATTTGCGGAGAAGCTCTAGCAAAGAATTAGCTTTTCGCTTGGCTCTCTCTGTGCCATCTCTTGATAGTTCCATCAACGGAACAACAGCTCCAAGTCTGCCAATGGAGATCAGTTTCTCAGTATCTCTCTTGCAAAGAGTAAACAATATCGCCGCTGCGTTCTCTCGGTTTCTCGGCTGGTCCTTTTGGAGAAACTCTATCAATGGCGGTATCGCGTTCGCCCTAAAAATCGCGGCTTTAGCATCCTGGTTACCAGCAAGAACCGAGAGTATGGTCAAGGCTTCACCGACCATCCTGTGGCTCGAGTTTTCAGTCAACATTTTCACCAATGGGTTAACTATACCGGCTCTAACCGCTCTGCCTTTGTTTCCTTCATACATACACAGGTTGAACAGAGCCGTAGCAGCGTCTTTCTTCCCTCTGTCGCTTCCTTTCTCAAGCAGATCCACCAAGGCCCGTATCGCACCCGAAGCACCTATTATGATCTTGTTCTCATCAGCTAACGAGAGGCTGAAGAGAGTAGCCGCAGCGTTCTCTTTGGCTTCCATGGTTCCAGCTCTGAGCACTTGCACTATCGACGTGACTGCTCCTGCGAGCATGATGAGTTCTTTGTTGTTTTCGTAAATGGAGAGGTTAAGAACGCAAGTGACGGCGTTTTCCTGCGTTTCGACGTCGTCTGAGGTCAAGAGGTTGACCAGAACAGGGATGGCTCCCGCTTCCGCGATGAGAATTCGGTTGTCCGTGCATCTCTTTGACAGAGAACGGATGTCAGAAAGCGCGGTCCTGCGGTCTTCGATTGATCGAGCAGAGAGCTTTCGAACCAATGCTCGGATCGCTGACATGTCTCCGGTTAGATCACGTAAAGAACCATCAGGGTTTTTGGTTTTACCGTTCATGTAACCACCTGCCTGCTCAATGTTGTGCTTTACGCACCACTGAGTGATTAAGCTTCTGAGAACGTAGTTTGGAGTCAGAGTAAAGTTCTCGAGTTTCTGCTGGGTCTTTGGGCATCTCAGGTTCCCACAGTCTATCCATCTTTGTATGTATGACCTCTCGTATGTCTGTCAATGGAAAAAGGAAGAATCATTGTTAAGGTTTCGAATCAAACAACCATATGTAAAGTTTTGATTTTTTAAAACCAGACCTGTCCTGTGGAAACAATGGCAGGATCCTTCATCAGTTCCAGAGATATTGGACAAAGAAAATCCTCTGGGATGGTGAGTTTGTCCGAGCTCTTTGAGTCGTCGTCGTCGTCGTCGTCATTGCTCTTGGCGACTTCTTTCTCTAACCTCTCCTCATTAGCATCCTTTGATAAAAAGAAGGCCAAGGAAACGGAGGAGCTCTTCCGACGCCGAGGTGACTCCAGCTTCTTCTCATTAGATAAAGGAATGTTGGAATCCAATGTTTCTGAAACACTCTCCAGCTTCTCAGTGACTTTGCTCTGCGCGTTGCTAAGGCCATCTTTCTCCATTGGCTCAGATAGAGCAATCGAGAACTTTTTCGAATTCAGTGACCCGTATCTCTGCATTGCTCTTTGCAACTGAGATCTCGCTAGTTCCACCTGGGTTAATCACAAGCAAGAACCTTAGAAACAGGAAGAAAAAAAGGAAAAAAAAAATGTTTGTAAAAAACTCTTGCATGATCATGAGAATGAACTTTTTACCTGTTCCTGAACTTCGTCAGAGATGTCATACCGATCATATGGCAAATTGCTTAATGCTTTCTCCAGCTTCCACGTAATGCACTGGAAATTGAATGAGATTCTCCTGGCAGCCCCATTCTTCATTCAAGAACAAAAACAAAATCAAAGTTTAGTCTTTTTAAGAGATGCTCGTGACAGCACTAATGTCAACAAAGCTTTCAATCTAAAGTGACTAGAAAGAGCAAAACACGTTGTCGAGAGAATGTATTGACTAAATCCTCCGATCAAAAAGCTTATTTTCCGGCGTAGTTCATATCTGGATAACTTAGACAAGACCCTTGATACATAAATATACATTACTCTAGGATTGAGCATCTAATCTGAGAATCAAATAAGAATGTGTGCAACAGAGTCAATTCTTCATTTCGTTTATGAATTAGAATTACTAAAACAAAGGAGATCGTAAGAAGATGAAGAAGAGGATCGTTGAGAATGGTAAGAGTGCTTACAGAGGACTCGTGAGCTTGGAAGCTAGTGGCTGCAAATAGAAGACGCTTCGCGGCTTGAAGCCCAATCACAAGATCAGACCACCACTCACATTCCGATGGAACCAAAGAAGACGATGCATCAGATTCCGGAGGCGGAGAGTCCCTAATCTCCTCAACCAAATGCGTCAACAGACAAACTCGCCGCGCGAGATCGGCACAGTCCTTCTTAAACACCCCAGTATTCACCGGAATCTCAGCGATTTCAGAGATAGTACCGAGCAGAGAAGCGGGAGAGACGGCTACTCCAGCCATTACGCCGTCGCATACGGCCGTCGGAAAACCCAAAGATTGAAGAAAAAAGAAAAAAACTAAAATAAAAACTCGGATTTTGGACTCGCTCTGACTCAGACGCGCCTGTATCGCTTTTATGTATCCAACGAGGCCATGTGGCGGAAAAGAAGAGAAGTAGCTATTACGACACCGTTTTCGCAAGTGTTTTTTCCACTTGATCTATGTCCCAAATATGGTTTAATTGGATTTTTATTATTTAGAAAAAAATCATGTAATAACGTTATAATAATAATACAATACTACAAAATAGATAATTGAGAGCGAGATTCGCGGTGATAGTAGAGTTAGAGGTTGAAGAAAGGGAAGAGGATCCAGTTGTCATCTTCAGTTATTACAATTTTTGTATTGCAACCAAACTTATATAATGGAAACAAACCTCATCACTTTTAAATTCAAGAAATACATTTCTATCTTTATACAAGGAAACGGTTTGTTGGGTGCTTGGTTGTAAAGAAGACCTTATATAATTTAAAAATGATAGGTGTAAGGAATAAAAGAAGAGAACCGGCCAAATATACAATATATATCTATACCATATAGTCTTAAATGGTAATAAAAAGTCAAATTAGTTAGTTTTTGTTCATGAAGTAAGATATCATTTCCCTCCTTATATCATGAATCATTTGTTCAGTATATTCAGCTACATGCATTGTATCGAGATGTCTTTCTTGGAATATGACCTGGCTTACACTAATTCAAAAGATGAAAATAACATTTTCCTTTTATAATTTTATAGCTTTCTCATATTTCCTTTTTTTTCATGAATTACTTGATCATGTGTAATTTTATTTTATTTGATCATTGATTTGTTACTTTCAGAAATCTTTTCTGTCTTTAACTCCTTTTTAGGAGAAATTCCATCTATTTTAAAAAGTAGAAATGTGGTTTTTCCAGGGACGCATTATTACACTTTTGAGATTTCTTCGCAGGATCCAAGACAAACTCATTTGAAAGACATGATGGACACACACTACGACTATAGTATTAAATATTTTCTCACAGAAATATAATGACATCAGATACTAAATCCACCCATATCATAAATCAAAACTTCAACCAATTAAAATGATTCCAATACACACCCAAGAGTTAGTCCAGTTAATCACGTATCGGGCTTGTACTAGCCACATCAACCAACTGCACTACTGATTTTTCGTTTACATTTATGTGTACATACAAATTTATTACCAAGGTTTAAGGGGGATTATGTAAAACCCTTCTTTCTTTAGTGGGCTGCAAACATTAATATCATTCCTAAACTCCGAATCATGAGCAACACAAGCAACATGCAAACAGTAGAAAGAAACCTTAGAGATTTTTTGGAAGGTTAGGAATTTTTTGTTGGCAATTTGTAAAACAATATTTTTTTTGTATTATCTAAGTATCTCTTTTAGATATTAGGTATTGGCCAAACTATATGGTTTGTAATGTTAAATCCGACTATGTATAATGTATAACAATATGTTGAATGATAAAGGTTTTGTTCAGGTATATAACACAATTCAAGATCGATTGATTTGTTGTATATCTTAATACTACGGACTATTAATTTATTGATTGGAATATCTGGACTGAATGATTTTTTTTTAATCTAGAGTTCTTGTACATCTTTTTTTTTAGGATACTGTATATTATACTCTCTTATCATAAATTTATAAAAGCATTACACATCTGTAATGGTGATTTTGTAAAAAATTCTAAAACAAAAAGAAAAAGGGAAAAAAATAAAATTAATGATGTGAGGAGAATAAAAAATAGAAGCGACTCTCTACAGAGATGTGGAAGAAATATCTCTCATATGACGTGACAAATTATGATTGGTCAAATTTTGTTTTTTATAACAAAAATTGATTGTTTTATTAATAATAAGAAAATTTTAAAAGCTTCTTATGTTGGTTTCTGCGATGCTGATGCTCTAATGTGGACAACAGTTCTTGATCATTTATGTATATGGTCGAAAATTTACCACGAGGGGACTCTGATCAGTTCCTCTAGATTTGGTTACATTACATGCAACACATTTTGCAAGACATAGAACCATATTGTATACTTCTTCACAGTGATGTGTTCATTGTTCACCCAAAGATTCGTGTCATCATCACCAACTCGATATATCTGCTGCATTTAATCTCGAACGGTGATCATTTACATACAATTTTTCATTTTTGATTCTTTTTACTTACCTTATCATATCTTTATTGTCAAAATGTTAAAATTTCATTTCTTCAAAACCCAGATGCGTGCTACTGAAAAAATGTATAGTTGATTGAGTTTTTGCTAGGAGAGTCTTAAGTTTTTTTTGGGAACAATACTCCTTTTTTGCTGAGAGAGTTGTAACTTTAAGTTGCTTTTGCATAAAGCGTAAAGTGTAGTTTGGGGGAAGATGAACATACTTCTCCATTTTAAGTGAGTTAATTAATTGTCGAGGAAAGCATCTCGTCAATGTGCACCGCATATTCATTTCTTTTATAGCTAATGTCGTACAACTTTATTGATCTGATTCACCGGTTAACGGTAAATTGCTACCAATGGTTTCAAAACGAGACCGGACATTTTAATTAAGAGTTCAACGAGTCTGATTTAATCAGCCGGTCCAATTCGGGACTAAACTTTCCAAACATCACTTTATTATCTCTAGTTAATTTTGTATCTAGTGATATACTTCTTCAGTTTTTTTTTCATAAGATGTTTTAAAAGTTTTTTTAAGTTTTTTTTCAAGGAAAGTAATTGTTTTAATTTTTTAAATTCTATCTATTATTTTTTTATTAGTTGAATTGTTTTAGAATTGATGTTTTATTTTGGAAAAAGAGAAAATTAAATAATTTCTTAATTTATGTGCAAAACCTTAAACATCATATATAAAAAAACATAGGGAGTATAATATATGCCTTTGTGATATAACTTTATTTAGCAAGAGGTGTACAAATTGGACCGGTGAATCGGATGCAGCACTTAGGTATTCGATTTCATCCACTAATCTCGAGGTTGAACAGCTCTTTACACTCTCTTTTCATCGGAAAAGAAGAAGCGTTTCTTGACTTGTTGAACCATAGTTAGAGGATTCGCTAGAGTCTTGAAGGCAACAAACTGGCGAGGAAGTCATGGTCTTCATCGGGATGAGACCGATGTTGAGGTCAGGCAAACGGCTATCATCACATGATTCGGACACCGAAGAAGATTGATCACTAATGATATTGGTTTCATGTTCCTTAAGAGGGGAATCGAGGAATCGCCTGGAAATGTTGTAGTTGGTGTGATGGTAGAGACGATGATTGGATGGGTCGATTCCCATTTTCATGAGTTTCTTCTTTAAGTAAGTTTCCCAATGGATCTTTACTTCGTTGTCGGTTCGTCCAGGCAATCTTCCCGCTATCAATGACCATCTGAATACGTACAATGAATACGTACAATCAATTATTATTACAACGAACATTCACATTTTGGTATGTTTTTTATTTTATTTATAATAACATTCGATATTGGATTAAGAAGAGGAAAAAATGAATGAAAACCTATTATCGCCAAGAAGTGCATGAAGCTTGAGGATGAGATCATTTTCGTCTTTAGAGAAGTTGCTTTGTTTAAGTTCCGGCTTTGTGTAGTTTCTCCCTCTCACTCTACATCTCTTGGCACGGTGTAGCAATCCTAAAACATTTGTTTTAGAGATTAAATTTCACAAATTAAAACGATTCACAACTTCTTCGTTACAAACTCACACGTGCACATGTACATCTATATGAGCTCTACACCGATCTTTAACTACGAATAATTACTCATATGAAAAAACGAAACACACGATAGTTACTTTTGAAAAAGAAACGTATGTATCGACGGAGAAAAGAGTTACCAGAAGGCGGAGAGAGAGCACGGAGGCGGATTTTGTTCATTACGTCTTCTTCAAAAGGAGTGAGGAGATTGTTAGTTAGGTTGTTTTGAGAGAAACAAATTGATATATAGGAAATAGGAGATGGATAGAGGTTTGACTTGGACCGGTGGGTTGAGAGAAGCGTGCATGGTCAATTAATAATAGTTGGACGAGGAAGAAGAAGAAGAACACATCAATGTGTTTATTGGTCCCACATTTATTCAACTCTCTATAGAACATTATCACGGTGATGTGTTTTCGTTAGTCCGTGGAATCATAAATGTGGAAAGAGTTCGCATTTAATATGCTTTACCAATACAGTACCAATCCAAATCTCGCTCTTATCCATATTTTCTTACAAGTAGACGTACTTTCTCATAAACTGTAGTCTATGGTTCTGATAGTAGAGAAAAGATATGGCTCCGACAGATACCTTTGTGATATAGCTACTTTATAATAAACATAAAAATATGCGGAATATATAAAAAGATTCACTAAACGAAGCTTGATATGAAAATACGTACACATGACATATATAGTACGTAATTGATCTAAATATACGTGGATCCTCCCTAGCAAACACAAGAATAATAGAGATAGGAAGAGTACTTTGGCTAGTGCAAACAGATTTCTGCAAAAAATTATATAACGTGAATATGATGCCAATAGATATTTTGTCCAATTTTTTAATTATTTTTTAAATTGCCATTTGAACAAATAAGAATAATTGAAGAAGATATTTTTGCAAGTGGCTCAAAATTAATTGGAAATATTGATAGTATTTGATTGAGATCCAGAAACACAACACATATAAAATAAACAAATTATGAGAAATTGTGAGCGATAAAACTAAAAGAATGGGACAGATCGAAGAGTATGGGGTTGGAAACAGATAAGGTAGAAACATAAGCATTTAATTGAATTGACTGGTGGTTAGAGACTACAAGTGTACGAGGAATTTTTCATCATTCACCTCTCACTTACCACCTACCCAAAATCATGCAAACATTACTACTGGGCCCGTTAAATCCCGTTATTGTTAGCCCAACGGCCCGTTTTCTCATCCCCCACTGAGACAAGCCATTTTTCTCATGTCTGAGGCCGAGTGAAACACAATTATACAATTTCAAGATCACTCTCGTCTTGCTATAGTTATAATCTCACTAGCAGCTAGGGCCGAAGGCGCCTGCTGTCTCATTCAACAACATTTGTTCCTGTAATCTATTATCTATACACCTAACCATTAAGTATGCGGCGGATGTGTGACGTAGTAATCAACTCAAAACCGACGCAAAATCCGCTACAAAACATGCCTTTAATGATTCTTGTTGAATGGAAGATCTACATGTGAGATTACCTTAAAATCACTTTGCCGCATGCTGTAATTCAATTGTCTTTCTAGTATCTCAAAATTAGAGATGGACAAAAAAATTGAACCAAACCAAACCAACCCGAACCAACCAAACTCAAACAGATCCAAATCAAACCAAAGTCAATAGTAAAATATTTCGATTAGAATTTTCATCAATCCGAACCAAACCGAACCGAACTGAAAAACCAATCTATTTTTTATTAATTATATTAATTATTTTAAATTTTATTGTTTAAATTTTTTCTATTTTTAAAAGTCAAAACTAAAATAAAAGTTATTTAGATTATTAAATTTACATTTTAATATTTTTATATGGACGTTGCTTTTTATTTTTTAAGTTATTGGGCTTTCTTTAAAATATATTAATCAAAATAAATTTAAATCAAATTAAAATTAATCAAACCAAATTATACTGAATTGGATTTAAACGGAACCAAACACAAACCAAACCAAATTAAGCTTAGTTGAGTTTGGTTAGAGGTTTAATAAAACCGAATTATATTTTAATTTTTTAATTTGATTTTTTATTAAAATATGTTTTTATTTTTTATTTTTAAATTAATATCATATGAAATCTCAAAAGATGCAAACTCAGAATGTCTAGAAAACTGTTAAAAAGACTAAAATATGTAAATACTCATTTAAAAAAAAAAAATACTAATATGGACAATTTAGATGTAGAAAAATTTCTCTAATTATATATATAATTAACTGGTCTCTCAACTAGAAACCTGAAACCTTTTGTTTGACACTGTCAATGATTGAATTAGAATAAACTCAAATACTCATTTTATAAAATGTTTCTGAGATTGACCATAAACTTTAGTGTAGTGGTTCTTGTTGACAAAAAAAAAAACAAATATTCTAGATACCTCTAAATATGTTTATCTCAAACCCTTTTTTGGGATTGAACTCCTTTACTACACAGATCTCATTCCATGATATTGTAAGTTGTGTGTACTGTAGAATTACATCTGAGAGATATGAATCACTTGACCATCTCAAAAGGCCTCATCATCATATTATCTTCGTGGTCCAATATCTGCAATTCAATCGTATTTAACTAGTTCCCCCAAAAAAAAAAAATTAAGAAAATATTTGACCAACTTACGTGGCAATGGTAGACGTAGCCTGGCTCTTGAGTGGCGTCGAAAGAATAAGATTCGTTGGAGTGAATGTAAGAAAATCTGACGAGGATCTTAGTTACATGTCCCGGCATCATCTTGAATACATTTTTCCATCCCCGCTCGTGTGCCGTCACCGCCGTCTTATTCCCACGTGCGTACTTGCTGATCTGGCACTTGACGGCGTCGTTTTTCTCCGTCATGCAGTCGGTAAACTTATCTTTCTCCACCAACTCCGTTTGCTCCAACACTTTGAACAATCCCAAGTGTATGTGCAACGGATGGTTATCTTCCGTCAAATTAATAACTTCCCACACCTTCTCAACGAAAATTTAGTAATTAATAAATGTTCTAATTAAAGCTTAAAAATAGTGAGTTTGTGTAATTCTAAATACCTCGCTCGTGCCGATTTTCGGAGTTTCCGTTACAGGAGCGTTATAAGGCAAGCCATTGATGTATAGATGGGTCGGTTCGTCAGCGCTCGATACGTATTCGAACATAGCTATGTAACGCGTTCGGACCGAGGCTGACACGTCAGCAGACGGGTACTGAATCAGTTTCTTCGGGATGATCGACGTGTCAGAATCTGATTCGTCCTTGATTTTAAACTTCATAACTTTGCTGTTCTCTTCCGTGACTGGATCTCCCGACGGGTAAGGATAAGGTGCGTTGTTGGCGAGGATTGCCGTTTTCGACGTTGACTTCGAAAAGTCAACGACTACGTCAACGATTTCCGACGGAGCGAGGAGAACCGATTTGGTCGACACCGGTTTAGCTAGATACGCCGAATCGGAACCTATGACGATGAAGTCGAGACCGTTGGAGAAGAAGAACCGGAAGAATCTGGCGTTACTGGCGTTTGTGATTCGAAATCGGTATTTTCGACGGCGAACGGTTAACATCGGCCAAGCTTTTCCGTTTACGATGATTGCGTCGCCAAAATACTCCGGCTGCCATTGCGGGTGAATCGACGGGTTGTTTCCGGTTGCGTTCATGTAAATCGAACCGTCTCTACGGAAACTCCGGTCAAATATGATCAACGGACGGTCGAATTCGCGGCCGGTGGGTAACCGGAGAGGCGATTCGACGGAGCTATGGCGGAGAATGTAAGCGCCTACCAAACCGGCGAGAAGGTTGACTCTGGTCAAACCGGCGGCGTGGTCGTGGTACCACATGTTTCCAGGTTGCTGCTTGTTGACGTAATGCGACGTAGTTTTGGTCCATTTTGTTCCGGTCTCTTTGAAACCGGCGGTGAACCAGGAATCGGCGTTTCCATCGCTGGCTGGTTCGTGGATTCCGCCGTGTAAGTGGACCACCGTGGGAATGCCGCCGCGTTTGGCGATCGCAGGGGAGATTGTTGGGTCCCATGGGAGAATGTGAGTTGAAGGGAGGTGATTTCGCCACGTCACATAGGTATCAACTCCGTAAACGGCTTCGATTGTTGGTCCAGGAACTGTTGCCTTACGCTTGGATACACCGTATGCAAACACTGGCGTGGCAGGTAAATCTCTGTGGAATTTCTGTACTTTTTAAAATAATTTAATTCCATATCAGTGACACAGAGAATTAAATAATTTTCAACGTTCAAATGATTCGACTACTTAGCAGGCTAATTATGTAATTTTCAAAAATAATTGTGCATAATTAGATGAGCTAAAGTGGTAGAAAATAGTTAGTGGGTACGGAGTTTCTAAAGATATCATAAAATAATCAGCGAAAAAAGTAGAACACATAATTGTGTTAGATTTGCTGTGATTCTTAGTATATAACTAATCAAAACAACGATTAAGTTAAGAGAGAGCAACGAATATTAAATTTGACTATACACAAAAGGAAGAGCATTGATTCGTCGGTACTTGGTACTATAATTAATACTGTATAAGATATTTTTCCAAAAGGGGACAAATAAGTGAGAACACAAGGCGAATCTATTCTAATCACTTTACCAACGAAGAGTCGTAGCCAACTAAAAAACGATTAGCCTCACTAATCTTTATAATCTCAAATTTTTAATAAGTTTGATTTTGTCGTAAATGAATTTAAATTCAAAATTAATTCTTGCATGTTATACAGGTGTATATCACTAAATGGTGGTTATAGTATAATATCTAAATATTTTGGCAATTTATAGCCTCATGACAGAAATGGAGATGATCTGTCTCCACGAAAGACGTGACTATAAATTAAAATATATTACCAATACCAAAAATAGCTTCAAAAATGAGAAAAGGAAAGAATTGAAAATGAGTAAAAAAAGAAAGAAATAACAAATTAATACCCATTTCTTGAAGAACATGCCGATTTGCAGAGATTTGGGTTTGCGGAAGCCGTTGGCAAAGTGGTAGCCATGAAGAGTGGGAATATGAGGAAGCCTGTCAACGAACATCTCCAGCTTCTCAACGTTGAACAGTCGCTCCTCAGGCTTCGTGCCTCCTGCGTCTCCGGCTATGAGCCACGTCATTGTTACGATTAGCACCAACATGACTCTGCTCACTGTTTTCCGAGAAAGCACATACTCCATGTCTTTTCTCCTTCACGAGTTCGATAATTATGTTGCGAAGAAAAGGCAAGTGTGTGTGTGTGGAATACTCAAAAGTTGGGAAGAGAAGTTGAATAAGTGTTGAAGAAGACCTTTGGGATTTTGTGTATTTATACATACGAGTGTGTGGTGTGAAAGATAACTTTGTTGGTCTTTGCTTTCACACTCTAGAGTCTAGTCTTGGAATTTTGTATTTGCCAAAAAAAAAAAAGTCTTGGAATTTTGTTTTGTATAATGTAAAGTCCGAAGGGTTTTTGGTATATATATCATATATGTGTAACGAATATATCCACAATCAAATACTTTCTCGGTCTATTTTTATATGCTGTTTTAGATATAATTTTATTTCATATTATTCAACCTTTTTTAAAAGGACTAGGTATTTACCTGCGCTACGCTGCATGATATTTTTCTAGATTTTATATATCTTTTTAATATAATAAAATTATTTTTATAATATAAATAAATATTTTATTTTATTTTTATTAGCTTAAGTTATATATTTATATGTTTTAAATCTGAATAAACATTATATATCTTTAATTTTTTATTTTTCAAAATTATAATCTACTATCAAAATTGTTTAGCTAACAATCTATAAATGTATATGTAAGAATAGAACAATACATTTTTAAGTAGCTTCATACTAATGGCAAATGTAATTTATTTTCTCTACTAAATTGCCACTTAATCCTCCTTTGAAATTATATAAATCAAATTGCCATTTAAGAAAAACAATTATTAATTAATATGATTATTTTGAATTATAAAATTTATTTATTTATCAAATATTTATTATAAACATATGTTTCTAAAACTACCAAACTATAATCAATAACATTCATATCAAAACTATTCTATTGCTTTAAAACTAAATAGAAAGTTCTGTTTGAACTGTTGAAATAATAATTTAGTTGAAGTTAAATAATTTAATTTTGGTTACTATAAACATATTGTAACTTGAAAATTTAGCACATAGAAATTTTATTTTTTTACAAAAACTGAGAAATTGCATTTTCCGACAAAATAAAAAGATTACATTTTCCCACGAAACTGAAAAATCGCCTATTCCCGCCAAAACCAAAAAATTCATTTTCTCGTCAAACCTGAAATTTCATTTTCCTACCAAAACAGAGAAATCAAGTTTTTTTCACCAAAATTAAAAAATTTCATCTTCCTACAAAAACCAAAAATCGTATTTTCCCATCAAAACCGAAAAAATGTTTTTTCGAAAAAACCGAGAAATCGTCTATTCCCGCCAAAACAAAAAAAAAACTATTTTTCTCGTCAAACCAAGAGTCACACCTTCCTACCAAAACCGATAAACCACAATTTTCCGTGAAAACCAAAAATTGTTTTATCTCATGAGAAATTGCGTTTCCCGCGAAAAATAAAAAAATCGCGTTTTATCGCGAAACCAAAAAATCACATTATATGTCAAAAACTGAAAATTTGCATTTTCTATTAAAACTGAAAAATTGTCTATTCCTGCCCAAATCGAGAAATTTTATTTTCCCATCAAACTGAGAAATTGCATTTTTCGTCATAATTATCAAATTACAATTTTCCGCGAAAACTAAGAAATCACATTTTCCGGCGAAAATCAAGAAAACACATTATCCATCAAAAGCCAAAAATTTGCATTTTTATCAAAACCGAGAAATCGTATTTTCGTTAGAATTGAAAAGTTGCATTTCCCTCGCATTTTCTCGTCAAAACTAAGATATTTTGTTTCCGCGTCAAAATCAAATTTTTTGTAATCATCAAAACCAAAAATTCACATTTTTTCCCCTAAACCTGAGAATTCATTTTTTCGCCATAATCGAGAAATTATGTTTTTCTACCAAAACTGAAAATCACATTTTTCCTACCAAAACCAAAAAATTCGCTATTCCCACCAAACCCAAGAAAATTTGTTCTCGATAACCACCGAAAATGCGAATCTCCAAGTTGTGGTGGTCTAAGCTTCTCCTCATTTGCTTTCGACTTTAATTTTTTTGTAAACTTTGGGCTTTTTAATAGGTCAGAAAAATAGTAAACTGATTTTATTAATATGTTAATGATATGTGTTATTGTTATGTTTTAATTGATTCAAATTTTTGCTGATGTGTGAGCTTCTTATAACATAACGTTTTTTGCGTTGTTGTTATGGAAGTATAGTTGATAATGAGTCTATATTTTTTTCAGTCATATATGTCTCTATCAAGCAAACATATAGTTAGAATTTTTTTTTCTTGCTGTTATTTATTATTTGAGTTTCGGTTTAGCAAAAATATAAAACAAAGATTTATTTATTTTTTGTTATTTATTATTTAGATTTGGGGATGGTAAAAAATAAAACAAATTTTTTATTTGCTGTTATTTATTATTTGAGCTTGAGTTTGGCAAAAAATAAAACAAAAATTAACAAAAAAAAATATTTGGATTTTTAGTGGGTTTAAGTTAAAAATAATAAAAGTTAGTAGATGATGTGTATTAATAAAATGTTTTAATTGGAGTTTTTTTTTGCTGAGGTGTCAACTTTAAAAAGTTTGAAAGAGTTGATGTGTCATCTTATGGAGAGACTTGAGTGTTATTGTTGTATTGATTTATATGCAAATAAACTTATTATAGAAATATAATGGCAACAAAATTTTTTGGTCAAAGAAGTGTAAAATCCACAATGTGATTAATTGAATCCTCATATTGGTTTTATTGTAAAATTTTGAATATTTGGTTTTAATTCTTTGTAAGATTGGCTATAAATTGAATTTTTGAAGAAAAATTTTTTCGATTTGGTATTAATTCAACTGTATTTTTTAATAACTTCGTTCAAGGTTTCAAGTACTACTTTATAAAAAAAAAAAAAACTAAATATGTTATACTGGTTAATGTGCGTCACAAAAAGCGTGTTAACTAGTGTTCTTGTTCTAATAGAATACTAGCTAGGAGCGTGCAAGCAATTTAAATTTTTTTTTTTTTATAGAAAATGTTGATTTTGTAAATACAATTTTAAATATAATTTTGTGGTTCTATAAATATTGTAGTCAAAATAATTAATCTATAAATAGTGTTAAGATATAAAATGTGTATTTTAAAAAATATATTCACGTCTATGTAAATACATGCTTAATACAATGCAATATTCTTACGTATTAAGTATGAGTTGACGTTTATGTGGAGTGGAGTAAAAATTTTTAAGATTAAAATTTATGTTTTTAATATTATTTAGAGATCTTAGCTATTTGAATTTAAAATTTTAACAGTTAACTGTATACTTTTTGTTAATCGTATTCATATTTTTAGTTAAAAAAATTCACATGATAAAAATGTATTTAGTTTTTAATAAAAAATAATATATTTTTTCTTATTTATTTTATTTATTATTCTTTTTCTACATTCATATTATATTTCTTCTTTTTCTCTTCTTCATCTTCTTCTTTTTTTTCTCTATTTTTTGTCAATATTCTTCTTCGACGTTATTTTTTCACTTCTTCTTCTCTTTTTATTTTTTATTGTTTTTCTTCTTTTTTTTTTCCTTTATTCTTTGTTCTTTTTCTCTATTTTTTTCGTTATTCTTTTCCTTTATTTTTTTTGTTCCTCTTCTTTTTTCCTATTTTTCTTTTCTGTTATTTTTTTCTTTATAATTCTTCTTCTTCTTCTTCTTTTCATTTGTTTAATTTATGAATAAATAGTAGTTTAAATTAAAATATTTAATTTTTGAAAAATATTGCACAGAAATATGAGATTTTAACTATAAATTATTTTATAGTTTTATAACTCGTGAGATATAAATTTAATATATAATAAATAGAATAAAATTCTAAAAAACACGAAAAAACAAATTTTACTATACATTTTTTTAAACATATTTATTAATATTCCAAGCAAAAAATATTCGAATTTAACATATAAATAATTTCACCATATTTTTTGATTCTTAAACTAATTTGCTCATATTCTTCTTCTCTGATTTTTTCTATTCTGCCTTCATCTTCTTTTTTTCCTTTTTTTTCCTCACTATACTTCTCTGTTATAAGGTCAATTCTAAAAATAATGTTAAAATCAGTGAAGCTAAAAAAAAATTAGCATCATTTGATCAAATAACTCTATAATTCAAACCATAAAAATATGAGAATTTAATAAGAGAAATATTAAACAGATTACCTATTTAACAAATGACTAATATAACTTTAATGAATATCTTGAGAACTATGAATGTCTAATAGCATATTAATGTAACTTTTAAAATGTATGGTTAATACTTTAAAAAAATTCAAAGAAATCAATTAATAATATAAATATATATGTTAAGGTTTAATATAAAGAAAATAAAATTTATAGTACAATTGTCATGTTACATAATTTTTAATATTAATTTATATTACGAAAATATATATTACAACAAATAAAACATATGGTAATTATATAAAAATTATTTTCAATTTTAGCTTATAAATTTATTAGAATATTAAATTTTCAAATCATTTTATAAATGTTTTAACTATATGATTTAATTTTAGAATTTTTGAAATAGTTATTTTTAGTAAATTTTGAATTATAGAAATGTGTTTAGCAGTTAAAATTAAAGTGATATAAATTGATAATATTTAAAAAGAAATGTGTTTGGTTATAAGGATATGAGAATTAATTAAATAAGAAAAAAATAAACCAGTTACATATTTAACAAATGACTAATGTAATTTTAATGAATATCTAGAGAATTAATGAATGTCAAATGGCATATTATGTAATATAACACATGAAAGAAGATTATTTTTTAAATTGGGATTGTCCTTTATTATAAGAGATGTTACATAAAAATTTAATATTAATTTGTATTATGAAAACATATATTATAACAAATAAAACATATGGTGATTATATAAAAATTAATTTTAATTTTAGCTTATAAATTTATTAGAATATTAATTTTCAAATCATTTTATAAATATTATAAATATATGATTTAGTTTTTGATTTTTTGAAATAATTTTTTTTAGTAAATTTTGAATTATAGAAATGTATTTAGCAGTTAAAATTAAAGTAATATAAATTGATAGTATTTAAAAAGAAATGTGTTTGGTTATAAGGATATGAGAATTAATTAAATAAGAGAAAAATAAACCAATTACATATTTAACAAATAACTAATGTAGCTTTAATGGATATCTAGAGAATCAGTGAATGTCCAATGGCATATTATGTTTTTGTTTTTATATATACCTTCGGCTTTGTACAATTTTGACCATTTTGTATGGAAGACCATTACTATATACATGCCAGTCTACCAGTCTAATAAACTATCACTTTTACGATTTTCAACTTTCACTTTTGTTTGGACTTGGGAGTAGTAGGAAAAAAAAACCGAAACAGAACTGACTAAACCAAATAACAGTTTTGATAAAATATAGTAAAAGTATGTATTATTAAATATTGTTACTATCATTTCAATCTAAATCTGAACCGAATACGAATACAAATCTGAATCCAACAAAAATCTTCAAGTCGAAATGAATTTTTGTTATAGTTCAACTTAATTTTCCAAATCTTGAAATTTGAAAATCCAAATCAAAACGAACCCCAAAACGAATGCTTATCTATACTTGTTCTATACTAAATATAAAGCTATGTGATAAGTGACAACTAAGAAATTAACTGTTGGTTGTGATCAGCCAATCAGATGATGTGGTGAACACGCTTAAAGAAATAGAAAAAGTTACCGAAGATGACATTAAGCTGGTTGTGAGTAGTTAAAAAGAGTATATCTTTAACAAACTTAAAGAATCTGAAAAGATCAATGATGAAAACATATTGCCCTTAGAAAGATTAGTGAGAGGGTCAAACCCTTGGTCTCTTCAATTTCGCATGAGCCAAGATGACCAGAATCAACAGTATTCATCATGTCCATCAAAAATCAGAATCTTCATCTGTTGAAATTGCAGCAAGGAGAAGGAGATTAAAAAAATGTTTTTAGCTGTTGACATAGGATTTGATCATAGATTTATAGGTATATATATACGTTATGTTTTTTAGGGTGACATATCATATGTCAAGAATCAACCTCATAATACAAAGCTCTAAACCCAAAGATTTTTTAGTAAAAGATCAGGCTTAAACTCGAAGACATATCAAATACGACTTTGATAGATTATTCATACAACTGCCATTGAACAGTTCAATCAAGTTTTATAACATCATACGAGTTTGAGCAAAAGGAACTTGAGAATGTTTTTTCAGGAGTTGACTTAGGATTCGATCACTTATATGTATACACTCTTTAATTGATGGTAAATTGTATGTTTTTTTTATTAACATTTTGTGTGAATGATGATGAACAACCATTTTTTTTGTACAGATGATGAACAATTTTACAATTCTCTTTTATTTTGTTTCATCATTGGATATATGTTAACTTTCTTATTGGTAGTTTAGACTTTAGCTGGTTATGAAGATATCGCATTTTAGACATTCTCCTCCAAATCACATCAGCCACACTAATCATCGCAATTTTCCTACTTCTCTCCTACGTACTTACTTGTTGGTATGTTCATTTGTTATGATTTCTTTACCTACATGTCAACCTCCCTCTCCCTCCAAATCACAACCGCCTACTTACGAAGAACATGATTTCTTGTCAATAAAACTATGTGGCATGTAGGCACTATCGAAAACCCAGAACCTCCATCTCCTTTGACAGAAACCGCAATAGAAAATTATGAAACTAAAAATCTCCGACTGCATTTTCAATATAAATTTGAAAATGCAACAGTATAAAAGGATCTCACGAGAGTAACAGAGTCAAATTAGTTGAACAGAGTCAAATTAAAGAAAATATTAGAAAAAGTCACTTTTCTCTCCTCTCGACAGCAAAAAATTCCATCGGCAATTCCCTTACCACAGGAAAATTCACCCCCGGAACAGAATCGGAAGCTAAACCAGACGATGTCGCACCGATTAAAACTATTGAAGTCTCAGATACATCTGTCGCCGGCTCGGCTACTCCTTCTACTTCCTCAGTTCTTCTACCCCAAAACACAGAGTCACCTGTTGCCCCAGCTCTACCATCGCGATTCTACTACTCATCAGCTACTTAATCTTTGGCGTGTTCATCTCTTGGTTTTTTGAAGACAAATTCTCAGGAACCTTATCAATCACGGTCTCTATTTCTCCACGGTGTACTGATGTTTTAACCAGGTAACAAATTCCAAAAAAAATGGTATAACATTACCAGGAAAAAAAGAGAGACATATTACCAGAAAAAAAAAAAGGAAAAAAACACGGTATAACATTACTAGATATATGAATGGAAAGTTCTTCAAAATTATTTTTACAACTTCTTCAAAAAATTGTTTAACTTTGAGTAATAGTGGATTTGATATAATTTTTAGAAATTATTGATTGATTTTTTTTTTTTGAAAAACATCAAAATCTTCTAAAATTCTTAATCACTTCAAGGAAGTCTATTCAATCTCTAATTTAAGAATATTTGGAAGAATTTGAATATTAATAAGTTTTTATATGGTTTTGGGTGAATTTATAAAATTCTTATGATTTGCTATTAAATTTTTATGAAAATTTACCTAAACTACTAAATTTGTTTTTTTCTTATAATTTTTTTTAACTAATACATTCTCTTATAAATCTCGTTTTGGTCTGCAAATTTGCGTTTTTTCACAATAACCGTTAAAATGTTTTATTCCATTAGAACTGAAAGTCGTATTTCTGTCAAAACTTTTTAATTAAAAAATATATTTTATATTTAATTTAAATTAAAACTAAAATACTTAAAATTAAGACTACAAATACAATTATATGAAATTATAGGTAGTTTGATTATTTTATTATTAAAATCATCTAAATAAAGATGTAAATTTACAACAATTAATCAAACGAACAAAATTATATTCAGATACATTATCTAGATGAATAACCAAAAAATAGAACAAACAAGATTGAGATAAGCATTTGGAAGGAGTAATTAGAAGAATCATTTTAGATGAAAATTATAGACAGGAAACAGACACTAAAACAACTTAAAATCACTCAGTTTTTTTTAATACCAATGGATTTAGAAGTATATTTTCAAATCACTAATTCAATAACATAGGATTTTTAATTTTTTTTTAATTAAAATTCAAATTTGAATAACATAATAATTAAGTTTAACAAAATTAAAAGTTATCAACTAAATTGGGAATGAGAATTCACCGGCAAAGCAGCAGCCCTAACTATTAAAATAAAATTAAAAAATAAAAAAGAAGGAAAAAGAGTGAGTAACAGTTCTGGTTTGAGAATTTCTAAAAAAATACAAAAGACTTTTTTCATGTTTGTCAACTTATGATTAGTTCAAATTTTATATATAATTCAAAATTTAGTTATTTAATAAAATAATATTATAATCATTAATAAAATAATTGTGAGATACTTTGAGCGTTTTTCAACCGTTGATCATGGTGCCACAATTTTATTTAAAAGTAATAAATTACATTTATGATAATCCATGCATGCATGTAACAAACCGGCTCAAAAGAATTATAATTAAAGAGAAAAAAGTAGTTTATATTGTGCAATAATCTAATCGTACCGTAAGGAAACACAGATTCTAACTTTATTTACAACAAAAAAGGCTTGTTTTCTTACTGGGGGTGGTCGAAGGGGTTTTGATACGGCTACGCTCTAAACTTTATTTTTTATTTTTTTGAACACTATAGACATCTAAACTTGCCGGTTACTATTAATTAATACTATATATTTTACTAACAAAGCTACGTTTCTTGTTCTTTTATTTTATTTTATTATGTTACGATGACAAATCTCGAGTTACCCAACTGCATCGTCAGCAGCATATCTACTTCGATTGTGGAACAATTATATTTAATGGTTTAGAAAAAAATCTAGTTAATCGCTGTTGGATCTTCTACCGTTCTACGTGTCAGAAACTACGTAACGCAAGATAAAAAGTTGGATATTATTAATTTAATTATGATGTATGAATTTCACTTGGCAGGGATTTCCATAAAACCGATTCATAACACTAACCCTGAGTGAATGAGTTCTGACTAATCTCTCACCACAAAACAAGTTAAACTCTCAAGTATGTAGTATTTTCCTAGTATAGAAAATTTAACTTAAAACAAAATTTGAAAGGCTAAAAACTTCAATTTAAATACAATAGATACTTCTTCCTCTATACAAGACACATACCAAAAGGGGAAAAATTAAAAGTGCCAGGCTACTTACTTAATAATACAACGCTACGTGCGAAACTGCGGTGAATAATAAATAATTATGATTCTAATTTATTACATAACGGTGCAAGCGTTGGGGTTCTCGTCGCTGAAAAGGGTCATGAGCATATCGTCTGGAGCTCCGGGCAACGGCTGCGACTGCTCAGACTTCCTCACAAATCCTGCCGGAGCTTTTTTGTCGTAAGCTCCGACTGCATATGGATATGCGACCACGTTGTACGGAACGTACGGCCATAACTCCGCCTTTTTCCCTGTCCTTTCGACTCTCTTTAACACCTTCTTGGGTTCCACGTAACCACTCACCGTCACTTTGTGTATCTTTCTGTTCACCTCCACGGATTTCACCCCTAGCGCCAATTTTTAAATTCATTTTAATGGCTTGTTTTCGTAACAAATAGATGGGTTTAGTGTTTATATGAAACGAGATGAGTGAGGTGTTAATGGAAATCAAGAACTACAAGAAAGATTAAAGAAATATATTTATGATATCATATCAGGAGCTTGTATATACGAGCTGGAGACTCTAACCTTTCATGGAGGATACAGCGTTTTTGACTCTGCGTTCGCAGCCGTCGCAGTCCATTTTCACCTTTATATTCACCGTCTGCCACCAAAAAACAAAAAAACAAAAGGTTAGGCAAAACTAAAAAAGAAAAGGCTTTGTAATAAAACTGTTTTAACGTTTTTGGTTTATTGTCAGTTTTATTAGAAAAACTCAAGTTAAATATTTTACCAAAAAAACTCAAGTTAAATAGTTTTTAGACTTTTTGTGCCAAAAAAAACTAAAAGTTTAGACCCAAAATATTGATGAAAAACTTGATTAATTGAAAAAGTTATAAGTTTTGATGCTAAGACCCAAAAATGATAAAAACCACTATTAAAGATGAGGAAAATTAGTATAATACTGTAAAAATAAATAAGACCTGCATGACTTTACGCTTCCTCCTTTTTTGGGAGACGTGGAAGTAGTCGGAGATATAGTCCGAGAGAGAATCAAGAGCTCCCATTTTCTCTCACCAACAAATATGATATGAGATACCAGAGATGCATATATTATGGACTCGACACGACGATGGCCATATATTTATAACAAGTATTTGGTGACTTAATGAGCAAGTTGTGTGCCGAGCCGAGGTTTAGTACATCAATAATTTATAACTAAATGTGTTTAATATTCTTAAAGTGTGATTATGGAGATGTATATAACGAAGAGGTGGCCCTCTAATGATGTGTTCCTCCGAATATCACACGGCGGACAACGAGGCCATTTTTTTGGGCTATTTCACACGAGTCGGTCCGATTTCTTTTTGTTACAAAATAATAATCTCCATTTTTATATCAAATGAACTATTATAAATCACTATATAATAAAAAGAAATGGCATCGTTCTATCGGTTGCTATGCTTGACTTGAGTAGTTAAAACATGTCACGGGATTAGAGGTTTATCATCCCTATCACCTCACAATTCACATGCGTCAAATTTAATGCGTCGACAATGGAAACATTGCTTGTCTCGATCTTTTTCTTTGACCATCTTAAACTTTTCTCTTTGTTTGTGTTTTTAAAAAAGGTCTAAAGATGAATTACATTACTATTTTGTTTAAGATTATTAACATTCTATACGTAAAGCTATATAATGTGTCGGTATATGTACATTAGATTATATGATTATGTATGGCATAATTTGTCATCGTGTATTGAAAACGATACGACCCTTCTAACTTAACTGTTTTGTTACTTTGGATTAGTACAAGATCGGGAGTGATACAAATAGGGTTTATAGATAAACAACACCATCACACATATCAATTATTCAATTTTAGGTAAGATACAGTAAAAGGGAATAGTAACAGAACTAAAGAAGATAGAAAGGAACGTAGCAATTTAAGGGCAATGATTCGATGAGAAAATAGGGAGTGTGGGGGTCCGATTTTACGAAGTAGACAACTCAATTAAACTATTTATGCAGTCTATAGTTTGAATAATAAGTTATAAGCCCCTCTCCACATCTTTTTTATTGTTTACATTAATGATTTTTTTTTGTTTGTGTCTTTATACTTTCCACCCTATAAACGTCGTTGGCATTTTCTTCTCTTACACCCCAATTATCACATTCTTAGACCTCTTTTTTCCTTTCACAAAGTTATATTTTTCTATGTTTCTCTTCTTACTCTAAGCTACACCCGTTAGTTTTTTTCTCTTCTAAAATTTTTCAGGTAAGAGATACTTTCTTTCCTCCCAAAAAGTAGATTACAAATTTACTCGTATTAACGCTAAAATGAAGATATTTTATTATTTTATAATGAAATTTAGTATTAAATATCCTATAATAAAACTTGAGTCGATGTTCAAGTGACCAAATGGGTCACGTGTAAACTATGCACATAGTAAAATCGAACCACGACTGTAACAGATTTACATTTTTGGTCTTTAATCCAATATTGTAATACCACATTTGAGTTTAACGTTATTATTCTTTACTAATATGTATATACATAACAACTTCTTTTAGTAAGGCAATACTACAAGGATCATACGAGTAATGAGTATGTTCATCATATCAAGGTTATGAAGGTACTTAAATAAGAGTAAAGTTCTTTCACAGAGCCACAGAGGTAAATAATGCATCACCTGATCGCCATGATTCATGAAAATTACCCATTTATTTTTGAGTAAAGTATCCTACAAGTTTTTTTTTTTTTAAATATCAACAATATGCTAAAAAGGGGGGGATTACAGATATGAAGTTAATTCCAAAAAGGGGTTACCCTAAAATAGCCTATGTCACACACACATAAAAATGACAAGATGAATAAATCCACGGCTATTATATATAGCACGGATAGCATTTAGGTATAGCCTCCCTTTTAAACTAAAGATCTTTAATCAGGGAAACATATGCTCATGCTAATCATACATGTCCACATCCTCCATTTATATAACAAAACCCATGTAGAGAAATTAATCACCATACTGTGGTACATTTTTATAAAACATTTATTTAGATACATGTCAGTTGGAAAAGAAAAAAATGTACCCCAATCAATTACTTTGACTTTTTTTTGTGTGGTTATTTTGATTACATTGACTTGACATGGCGATATAACTTAATTCATTAACCGTATCCAAGACATCTCATCTTTAGCAGTGTTTACAGATGAACTACTTTTTTTCAATTTAATCGACAAATAATCAACGAATGCTATGTTGATACGTGTATAGCTTTACAGAGTCGCTGCTAGTGCTTAACCCAAAGTTAACATAGGTCTTGTTTGTTTCGTTGTCGCTAGTGTCAGTGGCTAACGACAACAATCAAAAATATGTTGGGTAATTTGTTTTCTAGTTGTCAGCAATTAAATGATGTTTGTTTTGTAATTACTAAACATAAATTTTAGTGAAAAAGGTTTAAACAAGACTAGCTATTAATTAAAATTTGTTTATAACTTTTTAAATTTTGAATTAAAGGATAAACTTTGTTAAACAACGCCTACAAAGCTAGAGGCTAAACATGATTATAGACTTATAGTATACCACAAACACAAAACATTGTAACAAAGATTGTAAACTTTATCTTGCCTCCCTGATCCTTTAGTCATATTGTGAAAACTCAAATTCGGTCTATAGAAAAATGAGAATTTGTAGGTTTAAAGAGAGATTTTTATTAAGTTTCAGCCAGAGCTCGAGAGATACACGGTCGTTTAGATCGTCGGAATAAGAACGCCGACCTAAACTGTTTATGGAAATAAAATCAAGAACTAGGAACAATAAGATTACTTAGTTTGCCCTAGGTCTCGATAGATGATTTTTGGATGATTATCCAGAAACAGCTGAACCTTGAGAAAGGCTGCCTACGTATCCTTTTGAAGGGATCAAGCCAATCGTAGTTCATAATAAGAGAGTTAGATAGATGAAATCTAGAGAGAATAAGGTCTTCTCCAAGTGTGGAGATTCTTGGATGATTATCCGATGTTCTGAGAAGTGAATGACTTCTTTATTTATAGCTCGACAAGGTCGGTCTTCTGAAGATACCTTCTCCTGTTGAAATAGGAAAACTTTCTTCTTGATAAGGCCGACCTTGCGTTTTCTCCAGAACTTGATCAGATAAATAGAAGATTTCCATTTATCTTGCCGACTTAAATATTCTTTAGGGTTTTGGAATGGGCCTATCTCAATTGATGTATGGATTTGAGGGAGTACGAAATCCATCTCTAACAGTTAGTCCCCCCCAGTTCGGCAAGCGAATGGGTATTGAGCTTGGTGAATTAGAAGAGACAGTTCGGCATGAATTGAGATCGGACCATTCCAAGAGTTAGAAAAAATGAAGCATCACTTCTCTGAGATTTTCAGGTCGGCCATTTGATGGCGTATAGTTTTCGAGATTGGTGCGTAGAGTGAAGTTTGCCGAGCTGAAGCAAAGTATACTGAGCTAAGGAACTCGGCTTGATATATACTCGGGTGAAGTTTGCCGAGCTGAAGCAAAGTATACCGAGCTAAGGAACTCAGCTTGATATATACTCGGGTGAAGTTTGCGAGACTATGCTCGGCTCAATCTATGATATAATTGCGAGGTGTGCTTGACTTTTGTTAGAGTCGAATACGAACGTGCGATGCGATATCGGCTTTAAATTATTCGTATGACTTAATATTTCTAAGTCTGAATGTAAACCAGCGAGATGAGGTCGGCTTTATTTGTTTACATGACTTAGAAATTTTCCAAAAGTCGAATGCAAGGTGCGATCAGGTCGGCTTAATAGTTTTGCATGACTTAAGAATGCGGAACAAGTTCCGACTTAATGGAAGTGTGAATACAAACGTGCGAGAGGCTCGACTTACATTTGTTTGTACCACTTAATTTCTAAGTGTGAATACTAATATGCGAATCAGGTCGGCGTTTTTCTATTAGTACCACTTAGAAATATCCAGATCGAATATAAAGTGCGAGACTGGCTCGGCTTACTACTATTATATGACTTGGACTTTGCAAAATAGATCGGCTTATATGCAGGTTGACTGCAGCGTTTGTACGCGTGCAAGACGGGTCTTGGCTTTTTAGTTTCCGAGATAAGTGGATCAGACTTAGCTATAGGCGTATCGAACGTTTGACCAGAACGTCGATGTGTAGACAGTTGGTAGATGAGTTGTCGAACAATGTCCATAGGTCGGCTTGAATTGTGATCAGATGTTAGATCGACGTATTTCGACCATGTGAGGTCGGCTCGGATTGCGGTCAGATGTTAGATCGGCTTTATTTGTGACCATGTGAGATCGGCTTGGAAAAGCAAAGTAGATCGTTGCTGAAACGGAAGAGCTGATAGGCCGATCTGATAATGAATGAGCTGATAGGCCGACCTGATAATAGAAGAGCTGATAGGCCGACCTGATAATAGATGAGCTGATAGGCCGACCTGATAATAGATGAGCTGATAGGCCGATCTGATAACGGATGAGCTGATAGGCCGACCTGATAATGGAAGAGCTGGAAGATCGACGATCAGACGAGCTGAGATTGAAGACCGACGACCTCAGATGTAAAATCGACGACCTAATGACCTGGGAAGCTGAGGTTGAAGAACGACGACCTCAGATGTGAGATCGACGACCTGCGAGCTGTGAAGCTTAGATTGAAGAACAACGATCTCAGATGTGAGATCGACAACTTGACGAGCTGTGAAGCTGAGATTGAAGACCGAAGACCTCAAATGTGAGATCGACGACCTGACAAGCTGAGATTGAAGACCGACGACCTCAGATGTGAGATCGACGACCTGGCGAGCTATGAATCAGAGATTAAAGACAGACGACCTCATATGTAAGATCGACGACCTGACGAGCTGTGAAGATGAGATTGAAGACCGACTACCTCAAATGTGAGATCGACGACCTGACAAGCTGAGATTGAAGACCGACGACCTCAGATGTGAGATCAACGACCTGACGAGCTGTGAAGCTGAGATTGAAGACCGACGATCTGACAAGCTGAGATTGAAGACCGACGACCTCAGATGTGAGATCGACGACCTGGCGAGCTACTTAAACTAACGAATTGTTTAAGCAGACGAGCTGTTGGGAGAGCTCATCTAATGGAGAGCTGAGCACGGCGGAATCCAAGAAGACGACCTGAAGGGATCTTAAAGCCACAGTCTGATTTAAAGATGACAATATGAAGCAAGTTGATGACCCTGATCTGATTGCAAGATGCAGAGCCCGATCTGATTGCAAGATGCAGAGCCCGATCTGGTTTCAAGATGGAGACATCGATCTGAAGCGAGCGTTTTCAAGTGGACGAGCTGAAGCACCTATCTTGAAAAAGATGAGCTTAAACGAATGTTTTGAAGGAGACGAACTGAAGTCAATGTCTTTTCAAGGATGATTTGTGTCATTGAAGTCTTTTCAGGGATGAGCTGCGAGGGCGACGAGCTGCGAGAGAAACGAGCTGCAAGGGCGACGAGCTGCGAGAGAAATGAGCTGCGATGAGGACGGGCTGCAAGGGCAACGAGCTGCGGTGTTATCTTCGGTGAGACCGGTGGTATTATGATCGATGGATGGCGTTTTGATCATCTTCGAGTTCCGGTTCTTTTAAAGATTTAGTCTTTTATTCTCCACAGACGGCGCCAACTTTGAAAACTCAAATTCGGTCTATAGAAGAATGAGAGTTTGTGGGTTTAAAAAGAGATCTTTATTAAGTTTCAGCTAGAGCTCGAGAGATACACGGTCGTTTAGGTCGTCGGAATAAGAACGCCGATCTAAACTGTTTATGGAAATAAAATCAAGAACTAGGAACAATAAGATTACTTAGTTTGCCCTAGGTCTCGATAGATGATTTTTGGATGATTATCCAGAAACAGCTGAACCTTGAGAAATGCTGCCTACGTACCCTTTTGAAGGGATCAAGCCAATCGTAGTTCATAATAAGAGAGTTAGATAGATGAAATCTAGAGAGAATAAGGTCTTCTCCAAGTGTGGAGATTCTTGGATGATTATCCGATGTTCTGAGAAGTGAATGCTTCTTTATTTATAGCCTGACAAGGTCGGTCTTCTGAAGATACCTTCTCCTGTTGAAATAAGAAAACTTTCTTCTTGATAAGGCCGACCTTGCGTTTTCTCCGGAACTTGATCAGATAAATAGAAGATTTTCATTTATCTTGCCGATCTAAATATTATTTAGGGTTTTGGAATGGGCCTATCTCAATTGATGTAAGGATTTGAGGGGATACGAAATCTATCTCTAACACACACCTGTTTTAATCATATATGTTACAATTTCATTAATCCTTAACTTCATCGAATTAGTCTCTCTTAATTACTTTTTAAGCGTTTTAGAAAGAGGAATCTAACCCGAAATAACTGCGTTGAGGGTTTCGAATATATATGATCGATAGAGAAAGCAGCGGAGCCAATAATAATATCAATTCAGATGAAATTCATGAGACCATGCCCGGGAGAGTGAAGCACAAGCTTTAGGCTACAAAATATATTACATTTTTAAGGGCCATATTTAATAAAATGTTAGTTTGGTAAACAAGTTAACCAATTTGAAGTATGGTCAACATTTCTACTTCCCTTATTTCGGATTCCTTTTTCCATTTTTTCTATTTTTTGTAACAATTTTTTTTTCAGTGTCAGTTTATAACTTATATTTCCTTATTTTTTTAGAGTAATTCTTTTCTAAACATGTTTTGAAAAAACTAATAGAAACATAAACAATTCCTTATGTTTTATATAAACTAAAATTAAAATATAACAAATTTTGATAAATATTAAAGTTTTCAAAGTCATTTCCGTCGTCCTCAAGCTAATTCCCTGCAGAAATACAAAACAGGTTTTTAGTCTCAATTTGAATCATTCCAATATAAAGGTCAAATCTGAAACGGCTATATGTAACCATAAAGGTAAAGAGTACCTGTAACTTTTTCAAGTTGTCTTGAAGTTTGCTATGAGCCATTTTGGCAGCACTCGATTCCTGCAAAAACACAGGAAGATGAAACCGAGTAGCGAAATTACATAAAACCTTTCTTCTTGAAGGAGCAAATCCGTATCTCCTCTTGATTTGCTCGACTGTGGTGCCGCTTGCCTCCTCATGTTTCTCTTCATTGGTTACAACAACACTCTTTTCATTCTTAGCCGTCATCTGCTTCAGCTTACCTTTGAAGCTGCTAAACTTATTCGCCAGCTTCTGCTGACAACATCCCTTGTTCTTTATGCTGCTCTTGTTGTTGTGGATGATGATGATCATCATCATCTTCGAATGTCAAAGAGTAAGAAAGATAAGAAACATAAGCAGGCTCAATTCTTACATCACAAAGGATGTAAACAATATTTTGTACAAATCAAATATGAATCTGCAACAATGTTTTTGCTGTAAAACTTTAATAACTGAAACATAACCGCATATAAACTTGGAATTATTATTCGTTATCCTCATGGGTGTTCCAAAATGACGGTAGGATCCTCCTTCCACACAACATCATCATAAGAAAACACATTGGCCAAACAAGAAACCAGCTGTTGATGAATCACCTCGTCTGAAGGAAGCAGAGTATCTGTCTCTCTTCTCAAAGATGTAACTTCTTTATCAGCAATTCCACAAGGCACAATGTGCTCGAAGTAGTTCAAATCAGGATCTATGTTAAAGGCCAAACCGTGACAAGTGATCCCAGAGGATATCCGAACCCCAATCGCACCCATCTTCCTATCTCCGACCCAAACCCCTGTCTCACCTTTGTGTCCTGCGCGAGCCTTCACGCCATAAACCGAAGCAAATTCGATCATCGACCGCTCCAAAGCCTCTACATAGTTCCTAGCACCGATACCGATGCTGCGTAAGGATATGATGGGATATAAGATGGCTTGACGAGGGCCATGGAAAGTGATATCTCCTCCTCTTTGAGTATAATGAAGCTCAGCTCCGATTTTCGCGAGTTCAGCTTCAGGGATCAGTAGGTTGTGATCGGTTCTACGTTTTCCGAGCGTGTAAGTTGGTGGATGCTGAAGCGAGAGGAGGGTATCGGGGATTTGATTCGCTTTTCTCTCCGAAACCAACTTGTCTTGAAGTTTAAGGGATTTCAAATAGTTCACAGTGCCTAGCTTCCAAACCTCCAGGGTTCTTGGGGATCTCATGGCCTGCACGTTATGTATGATTAATCTCCAAATACTGTATGATGATTACTAGGGCCAAGCACCCAAAAACTGTGACCAAAACAGCAAATAATCTCCAAAAAGCAGCAAAGGTTAAGTTTAGAATCAAATACGAAATCCTAAAGACACCAAAATGACTAGTTTATTTTAGGGTACCAGCTCTATGAGGCATTTCATCGAACAGGTGACGTGCATAAACAAAAGACAGTTTAAAGGGTAAGGCCGATTCTAAACAGATAAAGATTCCATCAGGATGATCAAAGGGAAGACAGAGATTTTGAAGGGCTAGATGATCGATACCGTTTTGATTCTTCTTCTCCAACCTCGACCCAAGAGTTTGACCTCAGAGAAACTTCTCCTGCACGAAAACTGTGGACGAATAAGTTGTGTTTTAAATTGTTGTCCTGCTGATTAATTATTTTTATCATACATTCGAGATGTTGACGTGTTCTGTTTCTTGGCTTTTACCGAATTTTGATAACAAGGGCACGTTTCTACTTTCTCCGGAAAATCAAAAATGAGAGCTGAAAACACTTAGGATTTGGTTTCTTGACACGGACACATGACTCACGAACATCGACCTCATCAGTTTTTTTTTTTTCTTCTTTTTCCGAATATCATTCAACTCCTTCATGTGTTATAAGCTTGAGAGCTTCTCCATCACGCAATTTCGTAGCGTCTCTAAGTTTACGTAGCCCTCCGTAGCTGATTGGCTTGTATAACCGCGGGTGTTGAGCATCCACAAACTTACTCGGAACCTCAACATCTGTTTCCATTGGTCCTAACAAAAAGGATGCGATAGAAATCCTCGTTTTTGCTTCTTTGCATATCACTCTGTGCTTCACATTGCACAACCTCCCATTGCTCCATATCGTAGCCGTATCTCCGAGATTGATAGCAAGCGTGTTTGGCACGGGGCTCACGTGAACGAAGCTTCCTGAAGAAGTATCCATGGCTTCAAGCCCACCAACGTTTTCATCGTCTTGAAGAACCGTCAAGAACCCTGAATCTGTGTGTAGTTGCACACCGAGTTTCCCGACCGTTTCGGTTTCAAAATGATACTTGTTAATCCGGAAAGTGCTCGGCCATCTTTCGAAGAAGTTTGTATCAACCAGGCCGTAACTCTCTACTAATCTCCTTGCTAAATCCTTTGCAAGTTTATCAATAGCTGCCGCATACTTCACTAGAATCTCCCTGCCAAAAACAAATGATAAGAAACGGTTAATACACAGATAAAATGAAAGAAAAAATGATGAAGAAGAACCAGTGTTTCTTGTTTGAAGAAGAAAAAGTAAAGAGAGACAAAATGAGAGGTTAAAAAAAAAGGATTACAAGAAACCTTTGATCCGAAGAAGCGTCAAGTTGGTCACAAAAGGTATCGACAGCTTGAGGAGAAGTTGTGTCATATAGACCCAATGTTTCATAGTAAGGGTTGGTTACACTTGGAGCCAAGTAGCCACTTCCTGGTATCGCATCAGTGTTACGCAGTTTCACCTCTTGTGGACGTTCAAAGAGATCCATAACGGTCTTCTTCATCTCGGACATTAGAGACAATGGGATCACATGGTTACTCACCCTGAAACATCCCCACCTCTCACCCGCTTCACGGAGTTTCTGATTCAAGATCTCATCCGGAAACTCTTTCAAATCTATGGTCGGGATGACTGCACCGAGACCCGCCATTATGATTCTTGGTTGAAGATTTGTTTCTTCTAGAACAAAAATACTAATAGCGAAAAGCCTGATAGAAAGAAAGTTGAACTTTTTCTGATTTTATGTAACTTGGATAATACGATAACAGCGCATACGAAATATATAAAGATAGAATGATGCAAATCAAGAGAGAACATGTGTACTTAGTAGCATCATGTGACCGCGAGACATCAAATCTGCTAAGCAGAGGGATTTGCGCAGCTGGGAAAATCGTATCAAGGTCATACTGGATTCGTTTGTCTTCAAAGAAACATAAAATAACCAAATGTTAAAAATAAATACCAATTTTTTTTTTTTTCGTTTTTGACAGAAATTAAATTACATATCTCTGTGTCTTATTCTTAGCGAAATCGGCGACACAGACGTGTATTGCTCTGGTGTAATATTCAGCAACTTTCTTAGAAAAATAAGACATCGGTATACGACTAGATGAGTTAGTGATGTGTTCAGAATTTCAATCTTCGAAATATGCTAAAACAACAGTTAAACAGAGCAATACTAAAAATGCAGTGTTCTAACTACTAAAGATGTGATAGCGATATAGCCAAAACATCTAATTCATGAACCCGTCTCTAACTACTCTTATCTTCTGAATGGTCATATGTCATTGCATTCAATAGTCCAAAAAGATGAAACAAAATGTAGTATAAGAGATAAGCAAGAAGAAGAAACCCGTTTCAGCCAACAAGTTGGGTTTTCCTCAGCCTATCCATCTTCAAAGCCAAGTCGGCGACTTTATCTTTCCGGCCTTCATCGAGAAGCGCTTGTTTAAGGCGGCTAAACATATGTCCCGGTGCCTTAATACCAACATCCAACATCTCATTGAAATACTCACAAGCCTCGTCTAGTTTGTTCTCATGGCACAGAGCTGTGATCAAGCTTGAGAACATGTGCATCCCTGGAAGAACACCTTTCCCTCTCATCTCATCCCAGATTCTGATCGCCATATCCAACCTCTCTTTGTTGCAGAACATCCTCACCATGATCTCGTAAGTACTCACCCTCGGTTCACAGCTCATCTTCTGATAAACCTCATAGGCTTCTTTCGTCCTCTGCATCCGGATCAGATGATGGAGGATGATATCATAAGTTCTTGCATTAGGACCAATCCCTTTCGACCTCATCTCTTCCACGGCCTTGAACGCTTCTTCCATCCTCTGTGACCAGCAATAAGCTCCCACTAGTGCATTGTAAGTCGGAGCTTCAAGGGGAAACCCGGAACTCTTTGATCTCTCGAAGAACTCGAGGGCTTGGTTCAGCTTCTTCTCGGACCCGAGTCCATTGATCAGACTGCAGAAAATGTGTGGACTTGGCTTACAATTCCTCTGTTCCATCTCACTGAAGAATCTTATAGCTTCATCGTACTTTTTCGCCTTGCAATGCGCATTGATGATGATACCGTAAGTGACGACATCGGGCTCAAAGCCTTCGTCTTTCATCTCTCCGTAGACCTCATTCACCCTCAGAAGATTCAACTCCTGACCCCAACCTTCGAGTAAAATAGTGTAGGACTTGATATCAGGCTCGAACCTTTTCTTCTTCATTTTGTCGAACACCTTCTGTGCATCCGCAACGTTTCTGGATTTGCTCAACGTATCAAGCATTCGATTGAAATCGGTGGGTTCCATCTTGAATCCGTACTCTTCCATCTTATGAAACGCGGTTATAGCTTCTTTAACCTTTCTGGCTCGAGCGTATCTTCTAGAGATTAGCGCGAAGGTGTCTTTGCTCAAAAGCTTCCTCTGTTTCATGTCGTCTACAAGACTCCAGACGAGTTTGAATTGCTTGATTTTGCCTAAAGACTCGATCAACGCGTTGTAGCTCGCGGTGGTGTGCTTGAAACCCTTTTGATTCTCTGCCCATTTGAACACTGACAAAGCTAAAACACCGGCGTTGCTCAGCTTCTTCAGTACTTCTTCGATTAGAGCCGGCGAGAGTTTAATAGAAGCTTCGTCGAGCAGATTGTCGACGCTTGAGTTCGTATATTTGGACACGATCTTGCAGATTCTCTCGGCGTCTTGCGAAACTCTGATCTCATCATCAGCAGAAGCAACAATGGAAGCAGCGTGAATTGATTCGTAAGCAGTCAGATTCGAAGCCTTGTGAATCGATTTGAGACCCAAGCTCTGTTCTCCGACAGAACATATTCTCAAGTAGACACGACGAGAGAGATGTCCTCCGTGTAGCTTCCCGGCGAAGTGGAAGAGTCGAGAGAAGACCATTGGAGCAGAGATTTATATTTTCACTTTCAAAATAAGTAAATATATCAATAATGATACAACAAGATCAAAAGTTCATCGACTAATAAATTTCAGCAGCTTTAACAAAATCTGGGAAAGAGGAAGAAAAAAAAAGCTCTGCCTTTCTCTTCTCTCTTCTCCTCGTATAAATACATCAGCCACTGTTTGCGCCCAAAGAATTAAAACCTTACAGACTGAAAAACAAATGTAATCACGTGTCGTCTCGTATAAATTGACTACAACCCAAAAACGCCCATTTCTCTTCTCACTTGCACTGATTCGTTTGTGAATTCAAATCATCAAGAAAGTTCGTTATTGTCTCGTCCAGCTTCTTAGCCTGAGGTCCAGCTTTCACCACGTTGACATCGTCCCATTCCGAGCAAGGATCTGTCCACCAGCTGCTGTGGCTCAAGCACCAGGCTCCAGGGGTGACCCGGTAACGCCCACGTTTCAAGATCTCTCTGTCGACCACGTCAAGGACCGGGTCGTCTTTCTTGAACTGCCGGGCGAAAGCTGCACCGCTCTGAGCCATCTGATCGAAATCAGAGACGCCGAGGAAGTGTGGCTCCATCTTTGGCGGGCTGTCCCATATCATGTACCGCAAGTCCCCGTTGACCGTCGTGTTACTGAACTCGGGGGCGTTGCAGATAACCGTGTGGAAGTAGCATTCCTCGGAGAGGATGACGTTGTTAAAATACATGAGGAGGATTCTCGGTAGATTGTCCCAACCGAAGATGCAGTATTCTAGGAAAGATCTGCTCAGTACGCTCCAAGGCGAGCCTGCGTGATATCACAAACACATGCCAATTTGGTTAAGAGTGAAGCATATCAGGTATGTTGTGTAGACACAAATGTAGTGTTATTAGCTACTGAATCATTTGCCTGTAAAGACTTTGAAAGCATCTGGTGTTGGTCGTTTCTCGGTAGCAGTGAAGAGCTGTGTTCTTCTTGCTAAGTAAAGTGCTGGATCGACAACAATAGGTTTGATTCTCTGAGATCTGCAGAAAATTACCATTATCAATTATCATTATCATTATCCCCACCTGAACGTTCAAGAAACATATTTACTTACTCTTTCCAAGCAAGGTCACTAGTGTGATCAATGAAATTGACGCTCCTGTTCACCGAGGCAAACACATGGGATAGATCTGTGAGAATAAACCATGAGTGGAGAAAAAAAAAATGTTACTTTGAAATCCAGGTCATGTGAAGACAAACAGAAGCAGTGGAGTAATAAAGTTCAAAAGCATGAATTTGCCATAAAGAGATGAGTAGTGTCCTAATCAATGACAGTTGATTGCATTTACACTCTCTTTCCAAAAAAAGGGAGTAAATTGATTCTATAGTAATATCATGGATGCTGCAATCTCAAGGAGCCAAACATAAACAAGCTCAAAGAGAGGTCAGAAACAAAGATCCAGAGTGCAAATGAAACACAATCGAGGAGCATCAGATTCCTCGTACAAGTAACTACACTCCCTCTCTCCAATTTCAAAGCTTTTTTCTTTCTTCTCTCGTTCCGGATTTAAAAATAGAAAGAAATCGATTTTTGAACACATACCGTCTTGAGTAATGAGGGGATAGTCCAATGCGCTAAGCTCGATGAACCAGTTCCAAGTGCGATCGAGCTTCAGCAAGATGGAAACGGCGTGGAGAGTGGCGGCGATCTTAGAGGCGCCGTTCTCAGAGAGACGATCGACTTTCCCTAACACATCCACATTCCCAAAGGCGTTCACCACAGGCACAGATTTCAAGTCGGAGAGAAGAGCGAGCCTCTCGGCGTCAGTAGCGTCAGCGCCCAGATGCAGGAGGTACCGATTCCTAGGATGATAAACGGCGAGGAGCAACCGAAAGATCCGGTCACTGTCTCCACGACCACCGGTTATGTAGTAAGCGAAAGCTGGTGGGTAATGAGCACCGTGGCGGATTGCGGAAGGGAAAGGCTTAGAGGTGAAAGCAGAGATTGAGTAGAGTAAGAGGAGGAAGACGGAGAGGAAGACTACAGAGAAGAGAGTGAAAAGCCATTTCTTTTCAGCTCCCATCGTTTACTTACCCTCCTTCCTTCACCTTGGATTCGTTTCAAATCTGGCTCCGATTGAGCATATATGCGCGTTCCCCGCCGATCAAATCACAAGATTGAAGCTCATACGTGGATCTTGGGAAATGCAGAGGACGAGATCTCGGCGTTTCGCGAGTCCGGGAATAGTGAGATCGAGCATAAGACTGGGATCAGAACCCCCCCCGACGAGATCTCGGTGGCGGATAGAAGAAGCAACGAATAATTCAAGCAGAGAGACAAATGGAGCTTTAAAAAAAAAAAGAGAAAGAGAAGGATAGTGGAAGAGAGAGAGTGAGAATAAGGTTAGGGTTAGAGAGACGTAACCCAAAGATTTGGACTTGGAGGCTCTGAAGAAGACAACGATCCTCAGGTACGAATTTCGATCTCCGTTCAATCGGTTGGGTTGGGAACTTTTAACTCCATTGTTAACAGTAAATCGCCATATTTCCTTCCGCCACTCGCGACCCTTTCCAGCGCGTTCTTTCCACGCTCCACAGGACATTTCTTATTATACCTGCGTGATTTTCACGCGCCTCTGACAGCGAATGAAAATGGGAGTGGATCGTGTGGTTCACCGGCCCGAGGAGATTTACTTTAATTAATTAATTATTTGAAGAGTGGAGACAAGGACAACTTTAAAAACACAAGATTTGTCCGAACTCCTGAAATAGTAGTGTAACTGGACCATATCATTTATAAGTAAAATTTTACCCTTTTGGATATTCAAAGCAAATTATTCAGACACAACGTCTTCAATTTGGAAATATTGTTGATATACTTGATACAAGTTTTGTTGGAATTGTTGTTGTTGTTGTTACACGGAGTTGACTTCATCTTCATCGTCACTGCCTCCGCTTCCACGGCTACTGCTTCCGCTGCTGCTCTGGCCGCTTCCACTACTTACGCTTTTGCTCCGACCATCACTGTCACTTCCACTGCTGCTTCCACTGCTACTGCTTGAGCTTGAGCTTTGACGTTTTTGTCCCTCTGCGTTCACTTGCGCTCTAAGTGCTTCCGCAGCGTTAAGACCCTTTTCTCCTTCGTCGCCGCTATCGTCATCCACATCTGCAATCTCCTCTTCCATGATGCTAGGCTGCTTGCTTAAGCTCTCAACATATTCTCCACCATCATCAGCATTATCTCTCTCTGCATTCTCGTTCTCTGGTGTAAACGAGCCAAATATCTCAACCATACTAATCTCGTGATGTTCTTCTCCATCATCGTTCTTGTCATCAGCTGGTGAGATAGCAGGAGCGTGTTCAGGGATGAGAGGTTCAACTGCAATCACTTTTTGTGTGGTTAGATATTGGATAAACAAAAAACAAGATATAGCAAATAAATGCTTAGAAAAGGCAGTGTGGATCTGTATACTAGAATCAATATTCCTGTCAGAACCCATGACCAGAAATGACAGAAGGATCCAACTAAAAATGACTAAGCAGTCATATGCATATGCAACCTGCGCTTGTTAAAGACAGAGACACTAAGCAGCCATGAGAACTACGAGAAGTCTGTCTTGTGTCATAGTTAAGTTTTGTTCTTTCTATGCAGTGTACCTTATGATCCAAAGAATCAAAGTCCAGTTCTTACGAAACTATAAAGCTATAAGATATGAAAAAAAAGGTGCTAACCTGAGCTCTCTGGCTTCCCAATTTCGATTCTTTCTACATCAACCTGCAGACATTACAGAAAATTGAGAAATTCAACCAGTAAGCAGCAACACCTTCGACAATCAAGCAAACAACAAAACACAATCAAATTTGTCCATTCAGATGATCAAGTGAAGCGACCAATTTCAGATAGAAAACACAATGGGAAAACGCACATGCATATCTGGAATCAAGCTTCTATTCACTTGTGGAGATTTGGCAACACGGCCAACCGGAGATAACCGATGCTCCACGGGGGCAGCAGACTGAGAAGCCCCGGCGGATTCGCCGGGTGTCCTAAGATGACGCAGCTGCTTCACAGCCCGATGCAACCTTTCCAAACGGAATTTCTCCCCGTCGAAAAACAGCACCGCATCGTTGTCCTTGTAATCCTCGCTGCTACCTTCGAATGTCACCTTGGGTTTACCAGGTTGGTTATTCTGGAACTCAACCGAAACTCTGTTATCCTTCTTCTTGTGCAGAGTTCCCGACCTTTTCTTGTCAATAGAAGCCGGCTTGAATTCATCTGCAAGTACACATCACCTCAACATAAATGCTCTCCCGTAGAAATAATCATTCTGATAAAATAATCTGGCCTAAGCTGAAATTTATCTAATCTATGGCTTTCCAGATTGTCCTATGAGCTGAGATTATGGATCATAAGCAACAAACGAGTTTCGATCGAAATCAAAACCAAAATTTACGAAAGGTCACATAATTAAAACTCGGAACTCACATCGCAAAGTGCAAAACTTATGGGAGGAATCATCTTTGGCGGAAGGACCCAGGACCAGATCATACCATTGATCCGTCCTCGGGGCGGTACTGGGCTCTTCTCTGGAGTGATTCGACATCTTCTTCGGGACGACGATCAACGATTGCTCAAGGTGAATCCATCTAGAAGACGAGGATTCAAATCACGCTTGAAACTCTCGCGACGGACGAGATTTCGCGAATCCCGAGGTCTCCGATTCTCCAACGTGAAGGACTGCTCACGTAGGGTTTTTCTTTACGGCAGAGAAAACGAACCCGGGATCAGAATTTCGGATCCGATACCCGCCGATTCATGCTTTTTAATCTCCTTAACCAATTAGATACGAACGCGTGTTAATAAGTCTGCGCGTGGGTTCCACGTGGGCTTGTTTGGTTTGTGGCAGCTATTTTATTCGCACGTGGGATCACTGATCGAAAAACTCTAGCCAAACGTTCCCTTTTGTTCGGTTCGATGTTGAAACCGGCTATGAACCGGTCTATAGGTGCGATTAACAACTGATTTAATGAAATTATTGGGCTTGGTATTGGGCTTTATTTCTACTATCGTGTGGTTACTAACCCATTTGCAAATCGTGACTGTGTGATTGGTACACAATTATCTTCTTCCGATGTGATAACATGAAATATGTATTTTAGTCAATAAGAGAGAAACAAATTGTTATGCTCAATAGATTTGGCGTGGATGATGCATCTGTTCTCGCAATCTTGTCGTCTTCTTCAATGACAGCTTCCATGTGATGTGAGCTTCAGGTGTTCTTCTCTCTCATCTGATTTATCTCTTCCCAACCATCTTCGCGGTTGTGGTCTAATCAAGTTTTTGTGTTTCTTCTATCTTCTCTGTTTCAGATTGGTCACTGTTGTATATATAGTATCTTCTTGTTCTCGCTTCTCATCCAAATTTTCTTGGTATTGTTTTCAATCGTTGACTTTGGACTTTACACAGTGAGATCAAGAGTCGTATTTCAGGTAAACTGAATCGAAAGATGTCGAGTTTCTACAGTGACTTTTCCGGGAACAATGTTAGCTCTAGGGTTGAGGATATTCTCAGCGGTTTCGTGCCATTGATGAAGCTTATCTGTTTAACCGTGATCGGTCTGCTTCTTGCTCACCCAAAGACTCAATTAGTCCCGAGAGCCACGTTTAGGCTTCTGAGCAAGCTTGTGTTTGCTCTGTTCTTGCCTTGCCTGATCTTTACTGAGCTTGGAGAAAGCATTACCTTTGAGAAAATCGTTCGTTGGTGGTTTATTCCGGTCAACGTGCTGCTCAGTACGGTCGTAGGGTCCTTGATAGGATACTTGGTCGTCCTCATATGTCGACCTCCTCCAGAGTTCACAAGATTCACCATCGTCATGACTGCTTTTGGAAACACCGGGAACCTCTTGCTAGCCATTGTCAGCTCGGTGTGTCACACCAAGAACAACCCTTTTGGGCCGCATTGCCACTCTAGAGGGGTTTCGTATGTGTCGTTCGCGCAGTGGGTCGCTGTGATTCTTGTTTACACCGTTGTGTATCACATGATGGAGCCGCCTTTGGAGTACTATGAGGTTGTTGAGGACGATGGGGTCGAGATACAGGAGGTGAGTGTGGCTTCTCATGATCTTAGCAGGCCTCTTCTAGTGGAAGCTGAGTGGCCAGGGATCGAGGACAAGGAGACAGAACACTGCAAGACTCCTTTCATTGCGAGGGTCTTCAATAGCATCTCGAGTTACTCGCAGACTTCTTTGCCTGAGATCGATCTGGGAGGAGAAACCGGAGGCGAGTGTTCAAGCCCCAGGTCTATTCAGTGTTTGGCTGAGCCGAGAGTGATACGGAGGATAAGAGTTGTAGCTGAACAGACTCCAGTCAAACACATACTCCAACCTCCAACGATCGCTTCTCTGTTAGCCATCGTTGTTGGATCAGTGCCTCAGCTGAAAAAGATTGTCTTTGGGTACGATGCTCCACTTTCTTTCATCACTGATAGTTTGGATATCATGGGGAGCGCCATGGTTCCTTCTGTGATGCTTGTCCTTGGTGGTATGCTCTCTGAAGGACCAAAAGAATCAACTCTCGGGTTACGTACTACGATCGGGATTTGCGTTGCGAGACTCTTGGTGCTTCCTTTAGTTGGGATAGGGATTGTGATGTCAGCTGATAAACTTGGTCTCATTTCCTCAGATCCGATGTTCAAGTTTGTGCTTCTCTTGCAGTATTCGACTCCAAGTGCCATTTTACTCGGAGCCATCGCGAGTCTAAGGGGTTACGCGGTTAGGGAGGCGTCTGCGCTTCTGTTTTGGCAGCATGTCTTTGCGCTTTTGTCCCTTACGGTCTACATTATCATCTTCTTCAAGCTCACCGTTGATAATGTCGAAGGTATGCCTTAAATCTAAGAAAACAAAAAAAAAAAATGAAAAAAATGTATCTTGTAAAGAATGTGTGTTTGGTGAAGTGGCCCACTTGCAAACTCTTTTTTCTTATATTGTATGATCAATTCAATGTTTAATAAGTTAACGCCTTTGGTACCAAAAATGGCATGAACCGTGCATTTACAAGTTACATGATATCTTATCACCTGGCCTAAATCATCATCTAAATAGAGGGATCATCGTATTCACATGCTTTAGATGAGATATGTTATACACGGAACAATGACGTTTTTGTATTATAAAATTCAATTAAAAAAAAAAATACTAACAAAGAACCGTCATGATATCCAATGGAGAAAGGCTGCTTTTAAAAGATAGTGGGATTGGAATATGCGGGGAACTTACTAGTAAAACGTGTTATTTCTTGGAATTTGAATCATTATTTTTCTAGGGAAGAGGCAAATCATTTAATTTTTGGCTCCGTTGTAAGTAGAATTAATGACTATCCGATTATATGAAAGTAATGTTGGGCTAGAATGCCTCATTTTTTAGGCTATTTTATGTAATTTACCATGTGTAAGACTAGATGGTGACACAAGTACAAAATACTTAAGATAATTTTTCAGAGATATCCGTATCTAAATTGATTAGATATGAATTTTAGCTTACCCTTTTTAAAAAGAATCGTCAAGGAGGACGACTACGATTCTAGTTCAAAGGTTTTTCAAGTCTCTTCTATTTAAAAGTTAGAATCTCCATTGTCACATTTGTGCATTCAAATCAAAAAGCAAGTCGCGACTCTTTTTTTACTTTACAATGGGTTCTGCGTTCGATCCCCTTGTCACGACCTCCGAGGAGCCTGCCGTCGTCAACTCGCCGCCTCCCTCCAACCTCACTCAAGACGACCTTAAGAAAATCGCCGCTTATAAGGCCGTCGAGTTCGTCGAATCCGGAATGGTCGTCGGCCTCGGCACTGGCTCCACCGCTAAACACGCCGTGGATCGTATCAGCGAGCTTCTCCTACAAGGTAAACTCCGGGATATAATCGGGATCCCAACTTCAACCACCACGCACGAGCAGGCGGTTTCTCTCGGGATACCGTTGTCCGATCTAGATTCCCACCCGATCGTGGATCTATCGATCGACGGCGCCGACGAAGTCGATCCCGCTCTCAATCTGGTGAAAGGACGCGGCGGATCGCTATTGAGGGAGAAGATGGTGGAAGGAGCATCTAAAAAGTTCGTTGTGATAGTCGACGAATCGAAGCTCGTGAAGCATATTGGGGGAAGCGGCCTCGCCGTTCCCGTCGAGGTCGTGCCGTTCTGCTGCAACTTCACGAGGGGGAAACTGCAAGAGCTTTTCCGAGAAGCGGGATGCAAGGCGAAGCTTAGGGTGAAGATCGGGTCTAGCGGCGGCGAGACGGCGGCTGTGACGGACAACGGGAATTACGTGGTGGATCTCTACCTGGAGAGGGACATCGGAGATTTAGAGGCCGCGAGCGAGGCCATACTGAGGTTGCCCGGAGTAGTGGAACACGGGATGTTCCTGGGGATAGCGACAACCTTGATCGTCGCCGGAAAATTCGGCGTAACCGTTAAGAATAGGTTTGGCTAAAGGAGCCGGGAAATTAGGGTTTATGGTTGAATTTTGATATGCTCATAACATTGGATCTGGTTCTGTAAACCCCTTTGCTTCTATTGGTGGAACTTTGACTTATTTTTTGTCAATCTGTAGAACTTTGACTATTGGAGACTGTTTTTTGTTTTAGTTTCGAGGCAATTTCTAAAATGGTCCGTTACTTTCGATATTTACAAACAAACCCCTACACTCTTACTTATGTAATTTCCCTGAAACTTTTACAAAAGTGCACGGAAATTTGAGAATTTATAATGATCTAGAACCTCAGGTCCTCTATTTTGTAAAGTCTCCCAACTCTTACTACAAAAGTGTCCAGATTTTTTTGTGTGACAGGATGTGCGATGCTCTAATTTATTGAGAATACTGCGTTACTACAATTTGAGAAGTTGTGATGGGCCTAAAAAACAAAAGGGATTAATGGGCCTTCTTACGTAAACCAATGGGCTTTTGGTTATATAATGTTTTTCAAATTACTTCTAATGCAATGTGAAAGGAATCGATATGTCGGCAGCGAAATCTCGCCAACAAGGGATACTTTGCTCAATTTTGTTCGTATGTATACACAATCGTGGATTTTGATTTCAGATTCAGTAGTATCACTATAATTCACATCACACTTACAGACTAAATACTGAAATCCAATTTAAAAAACGTCAATTCAAATGCTTGGTTGGCCACAATGTGCATTAGTAGGTTAGTAGTTAGTACCATTTTGTTTTACTAATCAACAAGTCTAGAGATCAATTCCATTTACCTTTCATATTTAATCATTTAAGAATATATACAAATACAATCACTTATATCTTTTCACACACACAAAAAAGATGTCTTTATAAAATCGAATTTAGGTAGACGATATAGTTAAAGAATTGAAAAAAAAGACGCTTTCTCTAACACGGGAGGATAAAATAACATGGTATGGGTTAGTTTTGTCATGGAGCAAGAAAGATGCATCTACAATAAATAAAGAATTCACACATTTTGGGTCACATGATCCTCTCACATGCTTCTTCACGCATTTGAACAATCTTGACTCTACCAAATGACCCACCCTGATGGCATGTTAGTAATATGAATCACACAACCAAACAAATAACACATATTATTAGGTTAATAATATAAAAGAAGTCTAACAATAATTTTTTTTTAAAAAAAGAGAAACTTTTAATATACGATATAAACAACTTGTTTTGATTTCTCATTCTCAGTAAAGATAAAAGTAGAGACGTGCGTCAAATACCAAACCCACCCATACGCATTAAAGTGATTTAGGTATAAAATTGTAATCAGCTTTTTTGTAATATAGCTATTTGTTAAATCTAAAATGTCCTGAAATAGTACTACAAAAATGAAGTCATCAGAGTGGACAACTTTAATAGTTTATATTTGCCGTCACTAGGAAGAGTCTAAATGGTCTTAAGATCCCATAACCTCAACCGCAAGTTATGGTAATTCAAAGTCGTAAAGCAAATATTATTTTAACAATATACTACTACATTTTCAAAAGATAATTTTGTTTTTCAGGGAAGATTATATGTATGAAAATTCTTCATCACGTAACACTTTGAAAAGTAGCTACAATTATTATTGTGATATAGAAACGAAATTCATGTGAAATATCATATGTTCACAACCCAATTTTGGTCTAACAGACGCATATATTGTTTAAACTGAAATTAGATATTCAATATGACTTGTATGGACAAAAAAACTATATTCAAACAATGAAACAAATCACATGAGACTCGAAAAGTTGAAATTAATGGTCTAATAAATAATCAACGTATCGTCCGATTTAAGGTCCACGTGGCTACAGAAACGTACCGCCACTAGTGACACCGAGACGAAAGGACGCAACCAACACGTTTAGACCCATCGAGTCCGAGTCACAAAATGGGACCCACATATAATCAATATACCCAATTAAATTAATTCCTTAATTACACAATCCTTAGTATTAAGCAAACAAACCATGCGAATGCTTTTGAGTGTGCGCTAACAGAATAACGAAATCATCAATCGTTGAAAAATCTCCTTTAAGCTTACCCATTTAATTTATTGATGTACCACTTATAAACCTAATATGGAAGCATATTAGCACCTAATTAACAACTCTTCATTTGACCAAGTTGTTCTACTTAAACACCAACTGAATCCATCATAATTTTTTTGTTGGTTTTATTATAAAATCGATTTATAATAAGTTAAATCCGGTTTATATAAAGTGTGTGTGCGTGTGAAAAGCGTACAAGTGTGAAAATAAGAAAAAGTGGTAAAGGACAAGAAGAGTAAGTAAAGGTGCCTAATAAAGCACTCTCTTCTTCTCTTTTCACTTTCCCCCATTAAAAGGCAAACAAAATTCAATCGAAGCTGGTGCAAAAGGCATGAGCGAGCGCGCGGGGATAAAATCTCTCCGATGACCCGCGTTTTCTGAGCTTCAACAATGGCGCGGTCCTTTCTGATCTAACACAATCGAGTTTTGTTTCCTTCCCCCTCTTTCACTCTCGCATTCTCTCTCTCTCTCTCATGCTTCAATTTCGCGTATCGACGTAGCTTGCTCAGTGAGGAAGAAGATGAGCTTCTTTGTCTTCACCTTATCCGTTTTTGTTGCTCTCGGTTTCTTTTCTCTTCCGCCTTCCTTTGCTCTCTCCAGAGATTCATCCGCACAGGATCCGCTTAAGCTCATATTAGGTTTCTTCTTCTTCTTCTTTCCCTGTATATTTTCTCTGGTTCACGCTCCTCACGTTTACGTTTCTTGATTTATGCCGTTTCGTTTCTTGAATTCATCGGTTTTTAGCATCACATACTTGAAAGCCAGATCATTTTTGAAGTTTCCACTATCTGGGATTTGTAGTTTTTAAGTCTATTTGCCAATTAAATGTAATTTTGTATTTCCAATCTGTGAAATGTTGTTGTGTCCATGATCCTCTAATTCCCTAAATTATCTGCTTTCTTACTGTCCATGGCAGTATGAATCAAGCTTAGAATTGTGATGAAAGTTAGTGTTTTTTGAGGTGGGATTCTGATCATGTAATGTAAATCACAGGCTCGCCTAACTTCGGATCATGGAAAGGTGCAGTCTCTGCAGGCTCTTTAGCACCAGGACCTGCATCTGATTACTCTGATTACCTAGTCTTGGCTGCTGACAGAACCGAGAGACCTGACATTCTTAGAGCTTTCAAGCCTTACCGTGGCGGCTGGAATCTCACCGACAATCACTATTGGGCAGTAAGTCTCACCGACAAGATGATTTTTCTTTTTTCAGTTCTAGGATCTGTAGTAATGGCTATCTTTTTCAGTCTGTTGGATTTACAGGTGCTCCTGGTTTCATTCTAGCTGCTGTGTGGATCTTGTCTTTTGGCTCCCTTCTTGTTGTATATCACTGCTTCAAATGGAGAGTATGCGAAAAAGCCAAGGGGTCATCATACAACTCACGGAGAATCTGTCTCATCTTGTTGATACTCTTTACGTGTGCTGCAGCGTAATAACCTCAACTCCTTCATCGTTTTCTTTTGTTTCCCTCTGTAATTTGTTTTGTTGTTTCCTGAGATTTTGAATTGGTCTCTTTTGTTTTCAGGGTTGGGTGTATTCTTTTGTCTGTTGGACAGAACAAGTTTCATACTGAGGCCTTGCATACTCTAAAGTATGTGGTGAACCAGTCAGACTACACTGTGGGGATCCTCCAGAACGTGACTCAATATCTGTCCCTCGCGAAAACGATTAACGTCACACAGGTTTCCATTCCACCAGAGGTGTTGGATGAGATTGACAAGTTAAATGTCAATCTGAAAGCTGCAGCACAAACGCTAGAAGAGAAAACAACTGATAATGCTGCCAAGATAAAGAGAGTGTTCTATGCCGTGTAGGTTTCCCTTAAAACCTTTGTAGTATTGAACTGAGTAGTACTAATGGTATACTAACTCTGTATATGTTACATTTTCAGGCGATCTGCTCTGATCGCGGTGGCTACTGTGATGCTCATCCTTTCTTTTCTTGGTCTTTGTAAGTCCAGTTTATGTTCATTTGGTTCGTTAGAGGTCACATTTGATGATTTTAGCTGTGACATCCGCTGACTTTAACGTGTATTTTGTTCTTTGCGTTATTACAGTGCTCTCTGTCCTCCGCCATCAACATGTTGTTCATATGTGAGCCCTTTAAAACTCCAACATCTTTCATTTTCTTTAATTTCTACTGGTGTGATATAAATGTAAATCTGACTCATGAGGATGTATATGCGTGGCAGATTCGTTGTGAGCGGGTGGATACTGGTGGCTGTGACATTTATCCTCTGTGGAGTCTTTCTGATCCTAAACAAGTAAAGTTTTTTTTGCTTGTTCGATTGTTTTGCTTTACTTTTTCCATTTGAACACACTCGCAGATGTAGTTAAACTGACATTGTTTTGTTGTCCAGTGCAATTTCGGATACGTGCGTAGCCATGAAGGAATGGGTTGATCATCCTCATGCAGAAACAGCTCTCAGCAGCATCCTCCCATGTGTTGACGAACAAACAACAAACCAGACACTTGCTCAGAGCAAAGTTGTCATCAACAGCATCGTGACCGTTGTAAATACCTTTGTATATGCGTATGCCAACACAAACCCATCTCCAGGTCAAGAACACTATTACAATCAGTCTGGACCTCCAATGCCTCCTTTGTGCAGCCCGTTTGATGCAAACATGGAAGATCGCGAGTGCGCCCCTCAGGAATTGTCAATAGCAAATGCATCATCGGTACTACTCATTACTCAACACACCGATCTTTGTATGTAACTGAACAAAACAACACAAGCTCTTAATAATCCTGTTGTTGAATGCATTTGTTTGTGTTCTGCAGGTCTGGGAGAGTTACATATGCGAGGTATCACAAACCGGAAGCTGCACAACTGTAGGGAGAGTAACTCCTGAAATCTACGGGCAGTTGGTAGCAGCTGTAAATGAGAGCTACGCTCTCGAGCATTACACACCGCCTTTGCTTAGCTTCCGAGATTGCAACTTTGTCAGGGATACATTTGAGAGTATAACCTCAGATTACTGTCCGCCATTGGAGCGTAATCTGAGGATTGTGAATGCAGGGCTCGGGCTGATCTCTGTTGGAGTGTTACTGTGTCTTGTGCTGTGGATATTCTATGCGAACCGCCCCCAAAGGGAGGAAGTGTTTGCTGATCCACGCCCTCAAGTAAAAGACGATGGCTTTGGTAACGGGTTGGATAACCATCGCACAGGTGACGAAACCAAGGCTTCTGCAGATTACGTATAGTAGACAGGTGTAGATAGATAGAATCATATATTGTATTTCATAAGAGCTATGAAAGAAAAAACGAATAAAGTCATTTGATGTTAACATTAGAAGAAGAAGAGGAGAGACTAGAAGTGGAGCGAAGTTTCACTTTCTGGCTTCTGTTTTTGGAAATGCTTTTAGAGTCTTTGATTCACAAAGTACAATTACTGATCAAACTCAAAAGAGACTGAACATTTCCTTTCTTAACTCCTAATTTCATACACAAACTCATCAGTTTACAAGCAGAGAAGAGGTTTTAAAATGTGATGTTTGTTGCAAGAGCCATGAGATTGAACGGTCTGATCTGGTTTTTGTTTCCATTCCACAAAGCTTTTGACATGAGATGGTAAGTGCGTTCTGTCGGATGATAAAAATCCCAAAACATAAACTCATTTGGGTTACTGCAAATCTTGTACCCTTCTCTTCCACACTGCATCAATCCTCCCAGTGTCCCATCACCACAACAAGCATTCGTCACATCCGAAAACCCTTTTTTAACCAAAAACCATGATTCATAAAAGGTCTTGAAAGAAAGAAGTTAATTGACTTGTATAATCGTTTACCGTAACGAGCAGGGTAAGTTTGGAATCTGTGAGTGATACTATACATAGCTCCAAACACCGCGATGGCTCCAGGGTACTTAGTGGGAATTGAGTTCACTATATCTTCAAGTCTTCTGTTATATTTCTTGGCCATAACATTCATCTTTCCGAAGCATTTATTGGTTGGGGCATTAGGAAGCAGGGCTCTTGCAGGGACACATCCCACTGGACCTAAAGAGAAGATGGCGATGCGTCTAGCACCTAGTTGATAGATTTGATTAATGGTTTTGTTCACTTGGTCTAACATTGAGTCCACATAGGCGTCTGGAGAGAGTGTAGGAGTATGGAATGGAAGAAAGTAATTGAAGATGTCGTTGGAACCAGACTCCAGTAAGAAGATAGATTCTTGGATTACAGGTTTTTCGATATGGTTTTGATCTACAAGTGTCTGGAATTGCTGTAGCTGAGTTTGGATCGGTGTCACGCCCTGCATTTATACGGATGATTCATAAGAAACGAACATTTTCTTGCAATGAGAGTTGTTTCAGATATTATAGTTACCTACCATGAATTTGTTGGTATCAAGCAAGAATCCACTACCAGCACTGGCAAAGTTAATCCCATTCGAAGGGAATCGTTTTAAAGTTCCGTTCAAGAATTGAATCTGCAGTTCCAAGAAAGGTTTCTGTAATGGAAGGCCTAGAAACTGCGCTGCAATAGGTTGAAAAAAAAAAGAGAAAGAGGTCAGGTGCCTTGCGGAAGAAGCAATCTTGCAAAAAAAAAAAAAGGTGAGGTGTTTGGATTTTGTTACATATGAAGTCAGCGACGGTTCTTCCATTGGTGAACCTTCCGGTAGGGCGGTGGAAAAAGGAAGAACCATAAGGAGGAAAATCAGCCTGAGCGGTACAGTTTTTGTTGAAATGATTGTTTCCGGCGTCAAAAATGGAGTCTCCAAAGATGAAGATGGCAGGAACGGAGGGAGAAGACTTGACCAGAGCCACCGGAGAGGCTAGAAGGAGCAGAGCCAAGAGTAATAAGATGAGTAAGTCCATTGAAGAACAAGACTCGTGTGGCGCCAATCAATCTAAACACACTAATTATATACAGTATATTAATTTAATTCACACATAATAGATTACTTTATAGTCACATTGAGGTTGAAGCATAGAAAAGTTGAAACGGAAGGCAAAAGCATTGTTCATGTTTCTGCACTTTCTCATTCGGTGTGATTAAAGTTTCAACTTGTTCCTAATTTTATGCTCTTTAGACAATTAGACTAGTGATAGGTTTCTTCTAGCCATGTGATGTGAACAATTAAGATGTTCTAGCTACTAAACGAAGATTATTTACTGTATATAAACATCATTTGTAAAATATAATCCTACATCATTAGGACAGAACTACTTTGTATATAATTTTTGGGGCAAGATTCATGATGGTTTTTTAAAATAATTTTTAAGTTTGGGGCAAGATTCATGATTGGTTAAAAACTTCATAGAAAAAAATAAAATAATAAAATGGAGAGGTATCAGAAAAGAGAGATTCGGAGAGAATAAAAACATATTCTGAAGCATCAATTTCTAAAATGCCAAAGCGAAGGGAGAGCCTTCTTCCTTTTTAGGGGGAGACGAAACCCTAAATTCCACTTCACAGTCCCAATTTTACTCTCAGATGAAGCGTATTGTGAGGATTTCATTCACCGACGCAGAAGCCACCGATTCTTCTAGCGAAGAAGAAGCGGAGGAGAAGCGCGGAGCATCCCTTCCTCGCCGCCGTGGGAAACGGCTCGTCAAGGAGATCGTAATCAACCCTTCAGATTCCGATAATAAGCTCGATGTCTGCAAGACGCGGTTCAAGATCAGGATCCCGGCGGAATTTCTCACGGCGGCGAAGAAGAAGAAATTCCGTGGAGTGAGGCAGAGGCCGTGGGGGAAATGGGCGGCTGAGATCAGATGCGGTCGAGCTCTGAAGGGACGACGCGATCGTCTTTGGCTGGGCACTTTCGACACCGCCGAAGAAGCCGCTCTTGCTTACGATAACGCCGCGATTCAGCTGATTGGGCCTCACGCGCCTACCAATTTCGGTTCCCCGGCGGAGAATCAAGAGGTTAAGACGGTGGTCGGAGCATCCGCCGTTGCTCGAGGCGCGTGAAGCGGATTGGGTAGTTTAGTTCGTGGGGGTTAAATCTAGGAAGAAGGGGGCTCTCTCTCGTAATGGCCATGGATGTTTGTTGTAAATTACTAAATTAATCTTTCTTCTGAAAAAATGGCGTCATGTTTCTGAACTCATGTCCTTCGCTTCGCCTTCGTCTGTAACTTTTGTTGTCGTCTCTGTATATATTGGCACATGGACGAAGATAGTGTGGTCGACCATCTAAACCAAACCGACCATACCCAATTCCAAATGATTTTGGTTCATTATTCGTTGGATTGAAGTTGCTTAGTACTAGATTTGATCGGTAACTTCTTTGGACAACGGTCAGGGATTATCAGTACCATTTGAATGTTTCAACACATCTGGATTCAATTATAGGTGCTGTTCGTTTCCTTACATGGCTGCTGTATCTAAAATAAAAGTGGAGTTTAGATACAGATATTTAAAATAATAAATTTCATAAAAATTCAAAATTCTAAAATTTCCAAATTTTATTTTTTTTCAAAATTCATGAATTACATTTTTATCAAAACCATAAAATTTTATTTTTCATTAAAATCGTAAAATTATGTTTTTCTATCAAAACTGTAAAATCATGGAAAAACCGTAGAATTACGTTTTCTCGCCAAAACTGTAAAATCACAAAAAAAATCGTAAAATTCTGTTTTCCCACCAAAACCGTAAAATTTTATTTTTCCGCCAAAACTCTAAAATTTCATTTTCCCGGAAAAACCGTAAAATCACGAAAAACCCGTAAAATTCCGTTTTCCCGTCAAAACCGTAAAATTGCGAAAAAATCGTAAAATTTTATTTTTTTGCTAAAATTGTAAAATTTTCATTTTCCCGCCAAAACCATAAAATCACGAGAAAACTGTAAAATTTTATTTTCCCGTCAAAACTGTAAAATCACGAGAAACCAGTAAAATTCTGTTTTTTCGCCAAAACCGTAAAATTCTGTTTTCCCGCCAAAACTGTAAAATTCTATTTTCCACTAAAAGAGTAAAATTTCATTTTCTCGCCGAAACCGTAAAATCACGAGAAACCGTAAAATTCTATTTTTTCCGACAAAATCGTAAAATTAGAAGAAATCCGTAAATTTTAATTTTCCTGTCAAAACTTAAAATTATATTTTCCCGCCAAAATCGTAAAATTACGAAAAACCTATAAATTATCATTTTTCCGCCAAAACTGTAAATTTTATTTTCTCGCCAAAACCGTAAAATCACGGGAAAACCGTAAAATTTTGTTTTTCTGCCAAAATCTTAAAATTATTGGAAAATCGTAAAACTACATTTTTCGTCAAAACTATAAATTCTGTTTTCTACCAAAACTGTAAATTTTTGAAGATTAATTTTTTTTTTTAAATATTGAAAATTTGTTATCCCGTAAAAATAATAAAATATGTTTTTTCAATTATTTTATTATTAAGTGCATCCAGATGTAAATACAAATACACAAACAAACATGAATGTATCCAATTATAATATTTAGATACATTAATCAAAAACACAAACGAACAACATCTAGATGCTATTTCCAAATATGGTATCTGAATGTTGTAATGTTATATCCAGACACTGTATCCAGATAAGGAAAAGAACAGGGCCATAATCTATTCGAACTAACATCTAAATGAATATTGTAACTCTAATTGAACTGACTAATCTAATTAAATCCGAAAAATAACTCAAATGTTCACTATTAGCTTTGAAAATGATTTAAGTGGTTTTTTTTGTTGTATATGAACTTTTGGATACCGAAAACTTCGAAACGAGTAAAGAATCGAATCAAATCAAATATCCCCGAGTGATATGTCTGTCCACATTAGAAACATAATGGCTTCACTAAATTAAGGAACTTTAGATGTTTTCCATAATATAGCTGATACTTGTATGTATGTAATGTATCAACTATACCTTTGTTTTCTTTCGGGGTTTAACGAAAATACAGAAAAGACTATGAAAAGTCTAGGCGGTGAAAGGAAACGTCTTTCTCTGGAGAAGTAGAAACATAATACGTCAGGCTGCTAAATTCCAAAACGGAAATAATTTTGAAAGGAGATTGGTGAGAGCAAACAAATCTCGAGGATCATTAAAAAAGCGACAAAAGACTACAGGGAAACACGAGGAGTGGGATAAAAAATTAAATAAAATATTTTACTTCGTTCTTGTTGATGATGATTATGAAACTGAAAATGGGTTGGAACAAGTCAAATTTGTTGGTTCACACTTCATATAATAAACGTGAAGTTTTCTTTATTATTTAGTGCCTTGGCGAAGAAGAAACAACCATATGGTTCACAATCACACAAAAAAAAAAAAAAATCCACATTGCAACAAATTTTGTTTTCAACAAAATAACTTATAGATTTAATTCCCACTCTTTTTAGCAATTACTACACTGTAAAACTTTGGTAGTTTCAATAGAAATCTTTTCACCAATCGTTGCCCTCAGATGCGCTTTCCTAATTTGTCATCATAATGGCCCAATAGATACAAAAATAACATTAACGGCGGCTAAACGTGACTCTGTATCTGGAAGGTGTAGAATCATAATACGACACTCCGCTACATTCCACAAATATATATAGATATATATATATATATAAATAAATCGTATAAGAAAGATAGGGGAGATTTGATTAAAAGGCTAATAATCTCCCAACAAATCTCGAAATCTCCGGAGGAACAACGAAGAAGAAGGAAGAATGGATTCGGCGGAGAAGGGTTTGCTCGTCGTGAGCGCCGGAGAAGAAGGAGAAGTCAACAGCAAAGATGCGTTTTTCCGGGAGATGAGGAGGCTCGGTTACATCGCCGGACCGATGGTTGCGGTGAATTCGTCCATGTATTTTCTGCAAGTCATATCGATAATGATGGTTGGTCATCTCGGCGAGCTTTACCTCTCGAGCACCGCCATCGCCGTTTCTTTCTGCAGCGTCACCGGTTTCAGCCTCGTCGTATGTTCTCTCTCTCTCTCTCTTGAATCTTCTAATTGTCTTTAATCATATAATCTTGATTTTGATGATTTGGTGATGATGATCACAGTTTGGTTTGGCGACTGCGTTGGAGACTTTATGCGGTCAAGCAAACGGAGCTAAGCAATTCGAGAAGCTTGGAGAACACACTTACACGGGGATCTTCTCTTTGTTCATCGTGTCTATCCCTCTCTCTGTTCTATGGAGTTACATGGGTGAGATTCTCTCTTTCATTGGACAAGATCCTCTGGTTTCTCAAGAAGCTGGAAAGTTTGCGACTTGGCTCATACCGGCGCTCTTTGCCTACGCCACGTTGCAGCCTCTTGTTCGGTTTTTCCAAGCGCAGAGTCTGATTTGGCCCTTGATTATGAGCTCGATCTCTGCTCTGTGCTGCCATGTTGTTCTCTGCTGGAGCTTGGTCTTTAAGTTTGGTCTTGGGAGCCTCGGTGCAGCTATTGCGATCGGCGTCTCTTACTGGCTAAACGTAACTGTGCTTGGGTTATACATGACGTTTTCTTCAACCTGTAGCAAGAGCCGTGCGCCTGTCTCCATGAGTGTGTTCAAAGGAATGGGAGAGTTTTTCCGGTTTGGAATCCCATCCGCATCTATGATTTGGTATGCAATCTCTTTCTTTGCCTCTTTCGGTTTTGGTCACGTGAATCACATTTGAATTGACTTGAATCTCTTTGTGTGTGTGTGTGTGTGTTTATGGTGTTGAATTAGCCTCGAGTGGTGGTCATTCGAGTTTCTTGTCATGCTCTCTGGGATTTTACCAAATCCGAAGCTAGAAACCTCTGTTCTCTCAGTGTGGTATGTTCCTTATCTTATTGAGGCTTGCGTTTTGGAATGATGTATCATCATATAACTCTGTTGCTTTCTTCCTTGTGTAACAGTCTATCAACAATCTCTACCTTGTACCAAATACCAGAGAGTCTAGGCGCAGCAGCAAGGTTCTTACTCGATACCTGTCTTTTGTTCGATTTTGCAGAAAAAGAAAAAAAACAGAGATATCTAAAAACCCCCTCTCTCTGTTTTTTGTTGTTGCGTGCAGTACAAGAGTTGCAAACGAATTAGGAGCTGGAAACTCGAAAAAAGCTCGGATGGCGGTTTACACAGTGATGGTTATGACAGGTGTAGAATCAATAATGATGAGTGCAACAGTCTTTGCTGCAAGAAACGTGTTTGGTTACCTGTTCAGCTCTGAAACAGAAGTTGTTGACTATGTAAGATCAATGGCTCCGCTGGTTGCTTTATCGGTCATATTCGATGCCCTTCACGCAGTTCTTTCTGGTTAGATTCTGATCCTTGAATAATAATGTTAAGAGTCATCATTAAGAGACTAATTCGATGAGGTTAAGGATAACTAATAAAAGTGTTTGATTGAAATTAAACAGGTGTGGCTAGAGGATCAGGGAGGCAAGATATTGGGGCATACGTAAACCTAGCTGCATACTATCTGTTCGGAGTACCGACTGCTATTCTATTAGGTTTTAGGTTTAAAATGGGAGGAAGAGGATTATGGATTGGTATTACAGTTGGATCATTCGTACAAGCTCTTTTGCTTGGTCTTATCGTCAGCCTCACCAACTGGAAACAACAGGTTAGTTAATTAGTGTAAATGCTTATCCAAATTTTGATATGTTTGTTTGATAAGTCAACATGAGAACGTAAGAGAAAGTGACGTTTATTTATGAATCATATAATGCAGGTGAGGAAGGCGAGAGAAAGAGTGATGGGTGAGGAGTATGAAGAGAAAGATAATGACGAACATGAAGAGATGCTCAGCTAAATCCAATAAGACTTTTTTGAATCGTTTTGTCATATATTGTTGTGTTTTTATTAGGTCGATAAAAAAGATTATTATAGTAATGAGGAATTGAATGTGCACATGTACGTGCACATGAGTTTTGGCCTCTACTCACTTCTTTCCTTGCACATGATGACAATATGACATGATGTTTTTCTTTTCTTCTTTTTGGTTCTTTTCTTATACAAAGGTTAATAATCATTAATCAAATGGCCGAATATGGTTTTGAAACTGGCATCAAAATCTTTGGATTTATATGGACGTAAAGTATATTTGGATATATATCAAACACACGCTCTCATGTTGGAGAACTTGCGGAAGAAAACCCACCGAGTTACGAGGATCGCCGGGACTGATTGGGTACTAGACTGCTGGGATATCTACTGAAGATGGTTTATGAGAAGCTAGGGCAAAAGTATCTTGTGGAACAAGTAATTGCGGTTTTGAAGCCACTAGACTAGCATGTCGAGCGTATAACCAATTTTTAGACGGTGTAGCAAGTCTTCCTCATAAATAGCTGAATCTTGTGAATGCTCTGAAAATCGATGGAGAATTCGATTATTATACATTTCCCCGGGGGCTAGAAGCTTATAATAACGTTTCATGATGGGAATCTTTTGTTATGTTGAAATGTTGAGATTGTAAAATTAATGAATGAAATAAGGTTGTTTCTTTATTTGCATTAATAATATAACTTGTTAGTTAACAGAGAAGAACTTATATTTGCGTCCAATTTTTTTTTTTATAAATTAATTAAATTAAGAACTCAATAAAAATCCTTATCAAAACACAAATTTGGTGAAAAACCATCTCGATGATCCTAAACATCCGGTAAAAAAGTAAAAAAAAAATCAAATCCTGTAGTTTGCGAAATTAAAAGTAATCAAAAGCTGACGCAGGTAGTGTTGTTTCCAAACGCAGTGGCCTTCATCCCAGAACCTGGCTCGAACCGCAAAGTGGTTTCATCGCACACATACCTCAAAACTCCTGTCGAGTTTTCTCTACAATCCGTAAGAAACAACTGCAATCCGAACTTGACTTCCCTCTTTTCCTTGATGTCTTTGTTAATGTTCTTTCCAATCAAACCGCCGATATCTTCTTCAGAGATAGAAGCTGAAACCCTAAGTTGTTGAGGCGAGTGAGCTTTGAGATTGTTGTACCTAATTATGCAAAGACGATTTAATCAGTTTTTTTTCTTCTTCTTCTTCTTCTCAAATTAAATATGAATAAAACAATTAAAAATATTAAACAAAATTCTAACCTTTGTCTGGAGGAGGTAACAAGAGTAACACCCTTGTAAAACAAGGAAGCTTGAAGGTCTCCTTGAAGACATATAAATTTATCAGGAAGTCTTTCGGGAATCCTTACCAAAATATCCCAATTCGCACTGAGACGAGTTTGTCTAAGATTTTGTACTCTGAAATCCATAGAAGCTACTTCTATATTCGGCACTCGAGCTTCTTCTTGTTTCATTCGATCTTTCACTTGTTCAGCGAAACGAATAATATAACCAACAACTAAAAAATAGATGACAAGAACAAGAGAGAGCCAGATCCAGGAGCGGTAATCTTCTTTTCGTTTACCTTTTCCGGGTGCCATCATGGACGATTGATTGGAGAGAGAGAGAGAAGATTGATGAACGTTTGATATAAATCTGTATTTTAGTAGTGGTAAAGATAGTAATAAATTAGGCCTTATATATAAATTACACACGAGATTAAGTAGAATCCTAAATAAGATTCGGATAATGCTGGGAATAAAATAAAAAGAGAGAGAATTCCTCATCTTATGTAAAAATAATAATCAGATATATTGATTTTAAAGAATCACGTGAATGTTGTTAGTGGATTTTGACTGGTAATTACAATACAAGAAAACATTATCGAATGATCTAAAATTTGCCGCGAATAGATCAGAACGGAAAGATTATGGTACGAAAGATCTCGCTTCATCAGGCTCTAGTTTCTTGCGTTGGAAGCCATCACTGCCTTCAGGCATGAATCATCATCAGAAGCAGAGTAACGTGTTGGGGAAGATAATGCATGATGTCCCTCTGTTACACTACTCTGGAGGCGATGTGAAGAAATTATCTAAAATTTTATGAAGGTAAGAGAGAAAGAGTCGATCTATAATCGAGAGATATGAAACCGAAAAGAAAGAATAGCGGCACAGCTAGACGGCGGCGAACGAAGAAACTAGGAAGGTGAAGGCGATTGTTTTGATCTCAGCTCCATCAAGTGTGCTATCAAATGATGTCGGAAAAAAGACTTCGATGGTCGAGAAACCTAACTAAGTCTCAAGCTCGCAGCATTTATAGCAAGGAAGATAAACCTAACTAAGCCTTTTGCTGGAAAACCTAAAATCGAGGTTTATGCTCCTCGTTATATAAACAAATATAAACAACCTGAATTGCCAACATTTTTAGCGAGGTGGGGCTTTGGTATAAAAAAATCGTATACACGTGTTGTACTCTCATTTTTACAACGAGGAACAAATTGATCTATCTTGAATCAGCAAAAACCAAGCAGATTATGGCACATAACTGATTACACTAAGGCCCATAACTGCATACCCAAGTAGAGAGCATCTACGAAATCTTACATTACAAGAAAGATATTATACTGGTAATAAAAAGTTGCATTGTATCACAAGTTAATAACTCGAAAGAGCTTCATCCTCTATATCAGTCGTCCAAGGAAAAGGTTATCTTCTTACCGCTGAAGCATGCCTGCTGTATTTTCAGCTGCAGTGTGTTCTCCAAACCAAAGCCTTCTCGTCGAAGGTTGTCTTCGTGCCTGGAATATATCAAAAACCCTTGTCATCTCTTCCATGTATCCAAAAACTTCACACCCAAAATGTGGCTCTTGATTACAAAACTCTCTAAAGGCAAATAGTTAAATCCCTTACCAAAGCCTCTTTGCGAGCTTCTCTGCAAGTTTGTACCTAATTAACAAAAATAATAGCGTTAATCTTCTTCTGTTATGACATCAAAACTGTAGCAATAAGTATATGGAAAATCAATTTACTTGGCTCGGAAAGGGTATGGAGCAATCTCAGCCATGTTCACATAAATCCTCCAACCATTTTTCTTTTGTACCGCCTACAGTATAAAAGGTTTAAGATAAAAAGAATAACTAAGTGAATATTTTTCATCACTACTTTTCAAACTACTTCAAAACTTTTCATCATTACTCTCACCTTCTTTGCTTCGTCAGCAGAAGCAAACTCAACAAAGCCACATCCCAAACGCCTACCCTCGCGGGTTACAATAAGTCGAACACGAACAATTTCTCCAACATTCTTGAAGAATTTATAGCTGTAAAAATGGAGGATAAAATATATCAGTCATAAGAAGAAACTTTCTCCAAGAACGAAAGAGGAAATTAAAGGTGGCAACTTACAAATCTGGTATGTAAGAAATAGCGTCTTCTATCTTACTGGCAACAAAGACCGTCTTCTCTCTTACAGCAAGATCCTGAATTTAACAGCCAAGTGTATTAGCACGACTCTTAAGAAGAGAAGGACTTCAATTGCATAACAACAACAAAAAAGTAATCCATCCTCATAATAAGCCATCTTTCGATTTTGTAGCAACATTTTTATTATTGAACATGGCATATATTTTGAAGATAATAAGAAGAGGTACCTCGTTAAAATCGGGAGTTTCATCAAGTCTTTCCACTGCCGCATCTTCTTCAATCAAAAGGCTTTCCCGTCGAAGGTAGTCCTCGTACCTGAAATATATCAACAGCCCTTGTGATCTCTCCATTTATACCAAAAAACTTCACCCAATGTGCTCTTGATAACAAAACTCTAAAGGCATAATAGTTAAATCCCTTACCAAACCTTGTGATCTACGCAAAACCTAATTGACAAAAATAATAGCGTTAGTCTTCTGTAATGGCATCAAAAATCTAGCAACAAGTTACAGACAGTGTTAGGGAAACAAATCTCCATAACATGGAAAATCAATTTACATGGGTCGTGGAGGATCTGGTTCTGTCTTAACAACATCAAGAAAAATCTGGCAATCGTGCAAATATCCACAGTTCTTCTTTTCCAGCGCCTACAGTAAAGAAGATTTAATCAGCAATCGTACTTTCAGATCATATATATATTTTTATCATATGTATACACTACTTTTCAAATGACTACTAAAAATACTTTTCATCATTACTATAAACTGTTCTCACCTTATTTGCTTCGTTAGTAGAATCAAACTCAACAAAGCCCTCGCCCACATGCTTGCCATTGTAGTCTACCATAAGTCGAACATGAACAACTTCTCCAACATCTTTGAAGAAATTGATGCTGTAAATATGGTGGGTAAAAATATTAGTCATGAAAAACTTGCTCCAAGAACGAAAGAGGAAATTAAAGGTGGCTACTTACATATCCGATATTTCAGTTTCTTCGGAGAGGTTGGCAACATAGATAGTCTTTTCTCTTACGGCAACTCTCTGAATTTAACAGCCAATTGTGTTAGCACGACTCGAATGAGAAAACGACTTAAATTGCATAACAACAAAAGAGTAGATTCATCCTCAAAATAAGTCATCTTTCGACTTTGTGGCAACCGTTCCTTTATGAAACGTGCCTGACATATTTTGAAGATAATAAGAAGAGGTACCTCAACAGATTCGGGAGTTTTATCTTGTCCTTTCATTAACAAAATCTTATGGTCGTGCAAATATTCTCCATTCTTGTTTTCCAGCGCCTACAGTATAAAAGATGTAATCAGCTATCATTATTTCATATTAATGACAAGTATATTTTTCCAATGACTACTAAAAATACTTTTCATCATTACTACAAAACAACTCACCCACTTTGCTTGGTAAGCAGAAGCAAACTCAACAAAGCCATAGCCCACATGCTTACCCTCGTGGTTTACAATAAGTCGAACACTAACAATATTTGCAAAACCTTTGAAGAATTTCATGCTACAAAAGTGGAGGATAAGATATATCAGTCATGAAAAACTTGCTCCAAGAACGAAAATGGAAATGAAAGGTGCTGCTAACATATGTGCGATTTTAGTTGTTTGGGGAGAGAGATTGGCAACAAAGAGCGCTGCCTGAATTTAACAGCCAAGAGTGTGTTAGCCTCATCTGAAGATTCATCCATGAATCAAGTCTTTCGGCTTTGTGGCAACAGTGGTGTTACTAAACGCTAAGCGTTTCTTCAGAGCCTGACATATTTTGAAGACAATAACAAGAGGTACCGTTAGCATAATCGGGAGGTGTCTCATTTTCTTCTATCTTAAGGCTTTCTCGTTGAGGGTAGTCTTCGTACCTGGAACATAACAAAAACCTTTTGTGATTTTTCCATGTGTACGAAAAATTTCGCCCAATGTGCTCTTGATAACAAACTAAAGAGGCAAGTAGTTAGATCCCTTACCAAACCGTGTGTTCTATGCAATACCTAATTAACAAAACAAAAAAAAGAAACTATAGTGTTAATCTTCTGTAATGACATCAAAACTCTAGCAATAAGTTACAAGAAACAAATCAATTTACTTGGATGGGGTAGCTCCCTTATTAACCAGAGAAATCTGACGATCGAGCAAATATTCACCGTTCTTCTTCTGCAACGCCTACATTGAGAAAATTCAGTACTTGTATATCCTTTTTTTATCATAAGTATACACTACTTATTCAAATGACTAGTTAAATACTTTTTTTCATCATTACTATAAACAACTCTCACCTTCTTTGCTTCGTTAGCAGAAGCAAACTCAACAAAGCCAACGCACCTGCGAATACACTTCCGGTTTACTCCAAGTCGAACACGAACAACTTGTCCAACATCTTTAAAGAAATCGATGCTGTCAAAAATGGAGGATAAAACATCTTAAGTCATGAAAAAAACATTGCTTCGAGAACGAAAGTGGAAATTTAAGGTGCTACTTACATATCGGATGCTTCAGCTTGGGGAGTGAGATGGAACATAAAGAGTGTCTTTTTCGGTAAGGCGGCTTCCTGAACATAAATAGTGTCTTTATCAAGAAAAGGACTTAACTTTCATCACAATAAAAAAAGTAAATTAATCCTTAGAATTGTGTTACTAAACGCTAAAACTTTACTTTAAAAAAAAAGTCATTAACCGCTAAGTGTGACATGATTTGAAGAAAATAAGAAGAGTACCTCAAAATCGCGAGTTTTAAGTCTTTTCACTGTCTCCTGTCATATTTTTGGAGACAATAAGAAGAAGATGCTTAGTTGAACCAATAAACTTGTAGAATATCAATATGTGCAATATATCTTACAAACATTATAATGTTTAAGTTTTCCCAAAATCATACCTTCACTGAGATTAAATTAGCCTGATCAGACTTTGTCTCCGACATCTCGACCGTTCCTTTGATCTCATCGGGATTTCCCTTATGTTTCTTCAGAAACGGTTTGGTCTTTAAACCATCTTCCGGTTTTCGCTTTCCCAACAAATTAGCTTTGGCGGCCGCTAGCTTGCTAGAACTGGCCATGGAGAAGATGAAAACAGTCCCGGAAAGAGTTGAGAGCAGCAGCAATAAGTTGTAAAAGTGAACCACCGAGGAAGAAGGTATTTTAATCAAGCAATAATCTGGTTTGGGCTGGGCCTTTATTGGTTGGGTTTATTGCACCATGACTTTTTGGGTTTTATTCTCTCGCCACCATTATCTGAAAAGCTAGGGCACAAGTATCTTGCGGAACAAGTAATTGCGGTTTTGAAACCACTAGACTAGCATGTCGAGCGTATAACCAATTTTTATACGGTGTAGTAAGGCTAGAAGCTTATAATAACGGTTTCTTGGTGGGAATCTTTTGTCTCCTTGTGCACGCTAACTAATGATCTTTTATGTTGAAATGTTGAGATTGTAGAATTAATGAAATAAGTTTGTTTCTTTGTTTCCATTAATAAAAACTATGTATTTACCTGAGCTATGCTGCGATATATTTTTCTAGATTTGTATATATTTTTAATATAATAAAATTATTTATATATTTTAAATGAGTATTATATTTATTTTTTATTACCTTAAGTTATGTATTTATCTGTTTTAAATTTGAATAAACATTATATATCATTAATTTCTTTTTATTTTTTAAAATTATAATCTACTATCAAATTTGTTTAGCTAACTATCTATAAATGTATATGTAAGAATAAAACAATACATTTTTAAGTACCTTCAAGTTAATGGTAGATGTAATTTATTTTCTCTACTAAATTGCTACTTGATCCTCCTTTGAAATTATATAAATCAAATTGCCATTTAAAAAAATATTAATTAATATGATTATTTAAAATTATAAAATTTATTTATCAAATATTTATTATAGACATATGTTTCTAAAACTACCAAACTATAATCAATAACATTCATATCAAAATCATTACTATTACTTTAGAACTAAATAGAAAGTTCTATTTGAACTGTTGAAATATCAATTTAGTTGAGGTTAAATAATTCAATTTTAGTTACTATAAACATATTATAACGTGAAAATTTAGCACAAAGAAATTTTATCTTTTTACAAAAACCGAAAAATTGCATTTTCCGCTAAAACCAAAAAAATTCATTTTCTCGTCAAACCTGAAATTTCATTTTCCTACCAAAACAAAGAAATTGCATTTTCTCTCAAAAACTAAAAAATCACACTTTCCCGCGAGAACCTGTGTTTTTCCGTCAAAACAGAGAAATCAAGTTTTTTCACCAAAATCAAAAAATTTCATCTTCCTGCAAAAACAAAAAATAGTATTTTTCCGTCAATACCAAAAAATTATTTTCCCGCAAAAATCGAGAAATCGTCTATTCCCACCAAAACAAGAAAAAAAAAATTTTCTCGTCAAATCAAGAATCACGCCTTCCTACCAAAACTGATAAACTACAATTTTCTGCAAAAACCAAAAATTGCATCATCTCTAGAGAAATTGCGTTTCCCATGAAAATTAAGAAATAATATTTTCCCTCGAAAACCAAAAATCAAATTATATATCAAAAACTGAAAATTTGTATTTCCCATCAAAACCAAGAAATTGTTTATTCCCGCCAAAATCGAGAAATTTTGCTTTTCTATCAACCCGAGAAATTGCATTTTTTTATCAAAACCGAGAAATCGTATTTTTCGTCAAAATTGAAAAGTTGCATTTTCCTCGTATTTTCTTGTCAAAATCAAATTCTTTTTTTCTCACCAAAACCAAAAATTCACATTTTTCCGTCAAACCCGAGAATTCGTTTTTTTACGCCATAACCGAGAAATTATGTTTTCCTACCAAACTGAAAATCACATTTTTCTACCAAAGTGGTCTCATCGACACATACCTCAAAACTCCTGTCAGATTTCTCTACAATCCGTAAGAAACAACTGCAATCCGAACTTGACTTCCCTCTTTTCTTTGATGTCTTTGTTAATGTTTTTTCCAATCAAACCGCCGATATCTTCTTCAGAGATAGAAGCTGAAACCCTAAGTTGTTGAGGCGATTGAGATTTGAGATTGTTGTACCTAATTATGCAAAGACGGTTTAATCAGTTTTTTTCTTCTTCTTCTTCAGTTCTTCATGAATAAAATAATTAAAAATATTAAACAAAATTCTAACATTTGTTTGGAGGAAGTAACAAGAGTAACACCCTTGTAAAACAAGGAAGCTTGAAGGTCTCCTTGAAGACATATAAATTTATCAGGAAGTCTTTCGGGAATCCTTACCAAAAAATCCCAATTCGCACTGAGACGAGTTTGTCTAAGATTTTGTACCGTGAAAACATTATCGAATGATCTGAAATTTGCCGCCGTAGATCAGAACAGAAAAATTATGGTACGAAAGATCTCGCTTCATCAGGCTCTATTTTCTTGCGTTGGAAGTCATCATTGCATTCAGGCATGAATCATCATCAGAAGCAGAGTAACGTGTTGGGTACGATATTGCATGATGTCCCTCTGATACACTACTGATCTGGAGGAGGTGTGACTAAAATATTTAATAGAAATTCATTTCTAAATTTTTTTTAACCAAATAGTTTGATCTATTTAATGTTTTTTTTGTAATATTATCATGCGGTGGGCTATGTACAAACATACTCTTGGTGCTATGAACAAATTAAAAATAGTTTTAGCAAAAATATGTCCAACTACATAAAGACGGATGGCATCACTTAGATATACAATCAGATATTTTGATTTCAAAAAGTCACGTGAATATTAAAGGATTTTGACCGGGGGAATTGGACTCTATTGGTTTAACCAGAACCCTCGGTATCATTGGTCTTTTTCTAAACCCTAATTACGATACCTTGACATAAACGGCATCGTGTTGGGAAGGGTAGCAATACGAAACTCGTAACGTAGTAGCAAATCAGAGTTTTTAAAAGTTAGGAATCAGAGTTAGTGCGAAGGGAGACGGAGAGAGATGGCGAAACCAAAGAGAGACGAACTCAATCAAATCCTTTTCGGTTATCTCAACACCATCAACGATACTCTCCAGGTTTTTTTCCTTTAATGTAACTTTTTGATCCGTGATGGAATTGTAACCCTATTTGCATGATTTAGAGACCGATTTGGTGAATTTTGCAGCTGTTCGATCAATCGCCGCCTCCGACACAAGACAAATTAAGCTGGAACGATGTCCTTCAGATGTCTGATCACCTCTCCAAACAAGCCACCATAGGTTTTTCTCTCTCTTTAACTGCTTTTTAAAAAAATTCTTGAATTGTTTGTTCATTGTGCTGTTAAATCTCCATCAGTGGGAATGCTATGGACTGGAGAACCTCCAAAAGCTGAAGCAGTGAAGGAGACCATGGACTCATACTTCAACGCTCTTCAAGGACTTTTGCTGCATTGCCACGGAAGCTCTGTTGGAGCTGGGCCTACACTTTCTTCATCCATACAAGCTTCTGTCAAGCAAATCGTTGATTCCAGCTTCAAACTGTTGCAGGGTTCTGTCTCCTTATACGGTAAATAGAAGAAGGCTCTCTGGTTTTTTTTCTTCTGGTTATTGGTTTAAGATTACTCAACTGTGAATTATTTGATCTTGTGATTATTTTGGGAACCAGGAGGATCGTATGAGAAAGACAGGAAGCCCTCAGTTCCGCAGCTTACAGGAGCAGTGTGGGAGGCATGCTCTAATTTAAAGAAACTTCCTGCAACAAACGTCAAAGCCATTGGCCTTGCGATGACACAGGTGGCTGTGTCCGTGAAGGATGTTCTTAGGGAGATGAAAGAAGTGAAGGAAGCTTGTTCTTCACCCGAGCATGATGTTTCTGCGAACCAGGAGAGTGGGAGTCTAAGCTCAGATGAAGATGATGATGATGATTTAGGAGATGACTTGTCTCCTGAAGAACTAGAGGTTGCTAAGTTGGTAGCTGATATAGTGTCTGAGACGCTCATGGTGATAAAAGAGCTCATCCGGGATATTACAGGCATGATTAAGGTGGAGAACCCAAGTGATAACGGTGGGTTTGTGGACTCGCTTGAGAAGCTACTGAAGTTGTGTCAAGGAATTGGAGTAGAGATTGATGAGCTTGGAGCCTGCGTTTATCCCCCTCAAGAGCTGAGTCTCATGAAACAAACGGTGGAGAGAATTAAGGGGAAGATTGGTGAGATTGAGGCTGTTGTTATGGGTTTCAAGAGTTCATCTTCATCAGACGGTTTCTTGAGAACATGCACAAGGCTGCAGAGTTTGATTCAACATACTGAAACAGAGCTGGACGCAAGAAGTGAAGGTGAAGTAGTTTCCAAAAGGAAGAATGTTACTCTTTAGCACTTAAAAGATAGTTTTAAGTCAATTTGGGAAAGCAAGTGAAAGTGATGTTTTTTTTATGAATCAACATGAAGAGATGCTCAGCTAAATCCAATAAGACTTTTGAATCGTTCTGTCATACTATAATGTTGTGTGTTTATCAGGTCGATTTTTGAATATAATGAGGAATTTAATGTGCACATGAGTTTTAGCCTCTACTTTCTTCTTTCCTTGCGCATGACATGATGCTTTTTTCCCTTCTTTTCTTATAAAAGGTTAAAGATCATTAATCAAATGACCGAACACGGAACAAGTAACTATATATGGTTTTCCTTCTTTTCTTATAAAAGGTTGATGATCATTAATCCAAATTTTTATAAATTTGACATCATATCGTAGAATCTTTTAACTGGGTCAAGGATTTGTGCATGGGTTGAAATTAGATTGTCAAATTTGAACATTCACACAAAACAGGAGAGAACAACTTTTTTTTTCTCCCGGTCAAAAGTAACTTATATTAATCAGAAAGATCGTTATTTTTTATATAAAAAAGTCCCGTTTAGAGCATACTTCTCAATATTTCCCCTATATATGCTTGTAAACCACCTGGTCAACAACATCACAAGAGCCGAGCCAGAGCAGAGAGAGATGAAACCGGAACGAGAAAGAAAAAGAAAATAAACGAGGAAAAAAACTAGCAAATAACAAAAAGAAATGACATGATAATGATTATAAAATGACGTGAATGAGAAAACGAGAAAGAAAGAAAATCAAAAGATAAAAAAGAAGAAGAAGAAGAACATAAAGCCAATAAAGAAGAAGTTGGAAAAATAAGAATAAAATGGCATACAAAATATATTTTTTTTTTAAAAGAAAGGACAGGTGATATATATTGAAAGCTGAGAAATCAAATGGTTAATATTCAACATGAGATTTCATATTGTTTTAAGAAGTTGTATTTAATTTTAAATTGAGTGAAATTTAACTACAAAATTGAAATACAATTAGTGAAAAAAAAAGATAATTTTTTAGATTTTATATCAAAAGAAAGATGATTAAAATATATATTAAAAAAACAAAAGAAAGAGAAGATGAGAAAAAGAAAAACAAAAAAACGCTGGAGAAGATAATAATAATAAAGACAATGAATGAAAGAAGAAAAATAAAAATTGGAAAAGATATAAATTTTTTTTAAAAAGAAATCAAGAAAATAAAAAAGTTGAAAAAGACGAAGGAGACAAAAAAGATGTAAGAATAAAGAAAAAGAATATAAAGACATGAAAAAAAGAAGTAAAAAGATCCAAAACTGTAAAAAAATAATGAAAAAGTCAAAAATAATTAGAAAGTAAAGAATATGAATAAAAATTAAATATTGAAAGATGAAAAAAGAGAAAGAAGAAGAATACAAAACATAACAAAGAAAAAACTAAAGTAAATAGAAGAAAATTTAATTTTAATTTATCTTGAAATAAAATTTTAATTTTTTTATCATACATATTAGATTTCCAACTATAAATAAATGTACAACTTACTTAATCTTTTTTTTTTCCGGCACAACTTACTTAATCTATATATTCAATAACTGAACATTATTTTTTGAAGCTATATTCAATATATGTTTTTATGGTACAAATAATTAATAAAAAATAATTTAATATTTAAATTACCAACTCTAAAATTTAAAAATATTTGTTAATTTTTTAATAAAAGTAATGTAATAAATTTAAAATATCCTCTTATGTATCTATGCAGGAAAAAATAATTTATCAAGAAAAACTGAGATTATTAAATCTCGAATGAATGATGTAGAGTTTATGTAACCTAATAATAATGATAAAAGTATAAATGATTAAAAGTTTAATAGAGACGATAAATAATAATTAACTATGATTGCACATATATATCTACCAAATTTTTTGATGGAGATCATAATAATAATTAATTAAGATCATTAACATATCCATTGAAAAATATATATAGTGGTCATAAATTTAGAAGTTATTCTAATCCGAAAAAATAGTGTTATGCATCTAAGTTAAAAAAAAAAAGTTGTAGAGAAATTAATGTAATTTGCACATGTAAATTGATATGAACTTATATAAAAGAAAAGATTTGATGTGAAAGATAGCTGTTTGATTTCTCTCTTTACCTAGCTATTTTTTAAAATTAATATAACAATCATGTGTTGTTAATTTTGAAATTTTAAACAAAATTAATATAATTAGTATAATAAAAAACAAATTTTAAATTGATGAGTATTACTATAAGCAAGCTATAAAAATCATGTGTTGTTAATTTTGAAATTTTAGACAAAATTAATGTAATTAGTATAATAAAAAACCAATTTTAAATTGATGAGTATTAGTATAAGCAAGCTGTAAATTTTGATTCTCAATTTCGATGTCATTGGAAAGCTGAATTTTAAAAAGCGAACGACAAGGAGTTTTTCTTCTTCACCCACCATGACGGTGGCAGGGTTTCTCGGTCTGCAAAAAATGGTTTCTGACATATTAGTACTGGAAGAAAGGAGATCCGCCTTGGAAACAAAGTGATTGGCGAACGTCAGCATTTTAACTTCTTTAATGGGAAACCCTTGAAAAGGAAAGTATCGAAAGAGGGCAAAACCAATTGACTGATGGTGGAGTACATGGTGAATTCTGAAGTAAGCATCAAGACGACAAGCAGCAAGGAAGATGAGCTCAAGGTATGTATGTGGTAGTTTTTCTTGGGAATATATTAATATGTTGCTCCTCTTTTGTAGCCACATCAGTAGAAGGAGCTTCTTATTCCAGGTTTTGAAATAAATGGCTGTGGTCAAAGTCTAGTATATAAAACATATATTCATTGGGCATCGATATAGTTGAAATCATACAAGCATCTGTTCTAAGTCGATAATTTCAACCCAAAGACATAAAATTAGAAACGCAGAGACTACAGCATGTTCCAAGATGTTGTACTGTCAAAAGTTGTGCATAATGATATAAACAAAGATGTACCTCATGTATTTGATGGCCTAATTTGTTTGTTGTTCTTGTGCAGGTGGATGTTGACATTGACTTGAACAGAAGCATGGATGAGGATGAGGTGGTCTATGTAAATCTGATATGGGTATTTGGATGTGGAATGTTGCCCTGTTTGATTTGTTTTACGCATACAAATAGATGTTGATATCAACTTAACCAGCATGGATAGTATCAAGGTCTGTCTATATTTTTTTGGGTATTTGGATTTCGAATGTATGCATTTTCCCTAGCTGATTTTTTGGTGTTCTTATGCATAGATGGATGATAATTATATACATTACCAACTGCAGATATAGTTAAAAAAAATCCAATAATGTATAAACTGAAGAAGTGGTATCATAATCAAAATAAGACTAAATGACTCATCATATATTTAGCTAATAGGTAGTTGTGAGTCATTTAGTCAAATATTTGTGAGTTATTTAGTTTTATTTGACTATGATACCACTACTTCAGTTTATACATCATTGAGTTTTTAACTACGTCGGAGGTTGGTAACGTATATAAACAACCCGATAGACAACCAATTTAGCGAGATGAGACTTTTGGTATAAAAGAGTTGAATACACATGTTTGTTCCACTCTCATTTTCACAGTGAGAAATCAATCTATATTGAATCAGTAAACCAAGCAGATTGTGGGCCAAACAGGAAGCCATTATGGCCTAGTCGGTTACGAAGAGGAAAGACTTAGGTAATTTTGTCTCTTAAGCCAAAATACTTCAAAATTAGGAGGTGAGAACACTAGTGAAAAGTTTTTTCAACAATGCATGAATCAGCTCAAGATAAGCTGTAGAAGCCTTCATTTAGAAAAATAAGAGTGAATGCGAAAACGCATTGGATTAGGCTTTTTCTTTTCTTGTGCAATCTAAGGACATTAACAATTTAACATAATGACAACTGGCAATAAATAAATTTTGTTTGTGGAAAAAAACTTTTAATCCGTTGCAAATGTATTAAAACGAAAGACTAGAACTCAGCCATTAATGTTCTTGATGAAATTAGATAATTTTAGCATTTGTTGTAGATGAAACATAGGTAACAAGCTTGGTTGAGAGCGTCTTGGTATATATAGGTTTAAAGCCAACTTTTGCCTTTTTAATATTGTAAATTTATATATTATATGTTTAGATATAATTATCTTACTTTTTCAATATAATGATATCTAAAATGAATAAGAGGTTTTTTGTTTAACATCAAAAGGAGTAAGATTTTTTTTTTTAACATCATTAGGAGTAGCTTATATACAATAATCTGGATTTCTTATTTCTCATAACTGAAGTTTCTAAATAATTCTCTTTCTAAATAATTCTCTTTTTATCAATATGATAATTTTTAGGATACACTTTTTATTAAATTAATAATTAAAATAAATCATATATCAAATGAGCACTATCATAAAGAAATCTATTATATAGCTAAAATAGTGTTAAATGTTAAGTTAACAAAGAAAATTTTATACATTCGTCACTTTTAAAAGCACTCAGAAGGAGAACTCTTATGTTAAATTGAGTTATGGGCATTCTTGTGAAGCAAATAACTGATATCTACGAGTATTTAAGTGAGGAAAGCCCTTTTAGCAAGAAAATAAATTTAGATATATTTTACCTTTTAAAATATAAAACAATACTAAAGGAGTCAGATTATAATCTGGTTTTCTTATTTACATTTTTCAATAACTTGATCATTAAACTTTCCTAACTGAAGTTTCTAATGAAAAACTAGAACTCAGTCATTAATGTTTTTCAATAACTTGATCATTAAACCTCTTAACATTTAAGTGTTTAAGGCAATGCCTGACTTCTTTGTGTGTTTGGTGAAAATTTGAAACAGTTGCATATAATAAATCTTTTGTTATAAATACAACCTACTGAATATTGCAATAACAATTGATTTTCTGTAAGAGATCCAAAAGAAACAGCTCTTGAAGAATCTGCCAATGTGGAACGTGTTTCCAACAATGCATAAAATCAGCTCAAGAGTAGCTGTAGAAGCTTCATTCAGAAAACTAGAGTGAATACGAAGGAATGCATAAACTATTCTATGGAGCAGCTCGAGTCGATGTCAAGAAAGGAGCTTTGTCCTCAACGTTGCACTTGAAGCATCTCCACAGACCGGATACAAATGAATTCGATCAGACCATGCATTGGGGTCTTTTGAATTGATCTCCGATATGCATTTCCACACTGCACTGTTAGCCTTAAAGCCACTTCCAAACCCAATCTGCCATACTCTATCGCCCTTTTTCATCCTAGCTTTCGCCTCCAGGTATTGCAGCTCATACCACAGTGAAGACGAAGATATGTTCCCATAACGATACAATGTTGTTCTCGACGCTTCTCCATCTTCTTTGCCCAGCTTCAGAAGCTTCTCCACTCCTTCAATTATCGCCCTTCCTCCAGCATGTATACAGAAATGCTCAAAGGCTTTCTTGAAATTTGGTGTGTATACCTCCTTCTGGATTCCCCATTTTCTTTGGATGAATGAGATTATGTATTTGAGCTATCAGTAACTCATCCTTCACCAAATCGTTCCTAATGTCAAGCGCCTTGATCTTAAAACTGAGTGTCTTGAAGAAAGTTTTAATATACGGACATGAAAATATTAGATTTAGAGCAACATAGAACTGATATACTCTGTCTAAAGTTCCATGTTAAGACACCGTAGTTGTAAATTTTGAGATCTTCTTATACCATTCGCCTAGCTTAAGCATTCTTTTACGTCTATATATATATATATATATATATATATATATATATATATATATATATATATACTGTTTCACTTTACCACAATTTCTTTTGTCTATAAAATAATAACTCAATAAGATTTCAGATTCTTGGAAACAAACAAAAGAACAAAGAATCTGCTTCCACATTCAGAACTTGTAATACAATTATAATTCGGCTGTTAGGTGTTTTAGATTTAGACTCTAGTCATTATTTGCATGTCCAGGTTGCAAAACTCTGAACACTGCATAATGCAATAATATAGTTCATTTTTTATAAAAAAAATCGATGGTGTATTGCGGATAATTACTTGGTGTTTATAATAGTTTTAGCAGTAATCATTTAAGGGAAACATTTGGTAAGATATTCTTTCATAATAAAATTCTACGTAATTACAAAAAGCAAATCAAAAGAATGCAGTATTTGTCATTATAAAATTTATTTGATACTTTCCCATGTTAAGAAAAAAACGAAAAAGTACGTAGTAGATGCATGTATGTTGTTTTTGACTTGAAATACTCTCTCTACGGACAAATGCATATAACTCAGCTTTTTTAACACATGAAGGTAATACATAAACACAATTTATCAATATGTTTTTTGATCAAATTAAATATTTAAAACAATTTAACCTAGATAATATTTTAAAATTTTGATCGAGGTTAAACATTTGTAAATAACACATGAAGAGTAAGGTTCTAAAATAAAATGATTTTTAATTAAAATATAGGAGACTTGTATTTAATAAAAAAAGTTGGTTAAAAGGAAGGAAAATAAAAAGAGCATCTCAGATTATTATTATTATTATTTTGATAAAAGATCTTTCATATTTAATGTAAGAAATAAAAAAGTTACAAGCCCATAAGGCTATAGTTGTTTTAAGAGCAAAAGCCCAGTACATCAGCTATATAATAACCAGCACATATAAAGATCTAAAGTGAATCAGTTGTAAGGCCCAAGCCCAGCACGAATTTCTTGGAATCCTTGGATTAGAATTTGTAAAGTCTCGTCGAGAAAAGTGTAGAGAATATATCAGCCTTTCGAAAGATACATCGAATGTTTAGCTATTATCTTCATTGCTGCTCAAACTTCATATGAATTCTTTGCGTATATAAAGAAGTGAATAAATATTACCCCATTGATAGCAAAGTATTTAAGGAAAACACGTTAGCGCTCATCTCTCTCAGGAAGGTTAAGGAAGTATATACCTCAATGATAACAATGCTTTTGAGAAAAGACACGTTCATCCTCAGAATTACGATTGTTCTAAAATATTAACAAAAATACTTATTTTCAAAAAAAAAAGCACAAATTTTGGTCTAAAACACAATACTAATATGTATCATCTCAGTTGCATGAGAAAGATGTATCTTAGAGTCATAAGCAGGTCTGACCATAATGGGGTAAAAAAATATCTTTCGAAAGGCTGAGAGTGGAACACACGCCATCGATTATTATTATATCGAAGGCCACACCTTGCTAAAATTGTTAGGCAACCGGTTCTTTATATGCCGAATCAACCTTAGATGAAATTCAATGTCCAATGATGAATACGGCCACTTACCAATTCGATAGACAAGGTCTTCTGAAGATTAAAAACCTAGCTAATTGAGGGCTTGCAAAAGCATGATAATTACTTTGTCAACGAAGATATGGAGTTGGTAAATTTGGATTGGCTGGCTTTTGAATAATATAAATGCTTTCAATTAATGGATCAAATTTAGAAACTTTGCAATCAAATTTTCTCATAAGATTTAAGCCCATATGACAAGAGAGATACTTAGGCAAGCAAAAAAATCAAATAAAAAGTTTTACTTCTCATCGTTATCGGGATCAAAAATGGGATTTAATTCTAGAGATTTCATTATCGGAATCGACTGAATACCAGTTTCTCTCACCAAACAAGCCCACTGCATCTCTCGTAGTTGGCTGCATCTCTTGTAACTGGCCATCTTCCTCTCAGCATGTCTGGATTCAGGCTTCTCTAGTATCTAGCCAAACACTGGAATGATGTTCTATTTGAGTGAGTTCAGTAAGTTGGATGCAGTCTCTTCATTGGTAGATGCAATTCGTAGTAATGGGGAATATCAGATACTTCTTCAAAGCAAATTGAGTAAGATTAAAACACTAATTGAGCAGAATGAGAATACCAGAAGAATGTTAAGACTATACAAAATTTTCAAGCTTATAGCAAGAGAATTGCTACACAAAGGAAAGGTCCCCGCTTGGAATTAATCTCGGTAAGTAACACAAATCCTCCTCCTATTTCTTGTGTTGATTGAGAATGTTTCTTGTCTCTCTTTTTTTGCATGATGAAAAGACATCTCATTTGGGTTTGGATCCACCTTAAAACTCTTCTGTTGCATATTACAAGATAGTATTAGAGAAACATCCAGCTTTTGTGGTTCGCAGAAAATGGTCTACTAAGGAGAACCAAGATCTTGCAGAAGGTGTGAAACAACAAGTTCAAAAAAATCTCATTCTGGAAGCTACTAAACAGTCCAAGTATCTTCTTTCTCTTGCTATTAGAATAATTGCTTTTAGTATTCTAGTGCATGGTATATACTTAAAGTTTTCTTCTTTTTCTTAACAGTGACTTAGAAGCATCTACATCTGATATAGATGCCATTATAGAGTCAATAATTATCCTTGAGATAACACCGAAAATGATGAGGCAGTTTCTTCCAAGGGTTGATTGGGCTAAATTGACATTCGATATTAGAGAAGCTTGAATGCATACACGTTGAGAAAAAATGGACTTCAGAGGAAGATAACTACCAGATAGAGTGGGCTTTTTTTCTATTGCAATTTACGGACATTAACATAATGGCAATAAATAATTTTTGTTTGTGGAGAAAGACTTTTTATCCTTTGCAAATGTATTAAAAGGAAAGACTAGAACTCAGTCATTAATCTTCTTGATGAAATTAGATAATCCTAACATTTGTTGTAGATGAAACATAGTTGTAGATGAAACATAGGTAACAAAGTTGTTTGAAGGTGTCTTGGTATATACGGGTTTATATGTTTAGATATATCTTACTTTTTGAATATAACAATATCTAAAAGGAGTAAGATTTTTTTTTTTTAATATCAAAATTCAAAAGAAGTAAGATATATACAATAATCTGGTTTTCTTATTTCTCATAACCAAAGTTTCTAAATAATTCTCTTTTTTTCAATATGATAATTTTTCGGATACACTTTTTATTAAATTAATAATAAAAATAAATTATATATCAAATCAGCACCATCATAAAGAAATCTATTATATAGCTAAAATAGTGTAAAAATGTTAAGTTAACAAAGAAAATTTATACATTCGTCACTTTTAAAAGCACTGAGAAGAAGAACTTTTACGTTAAATTGAGTCAAATGGGGATTCTTGTAAAGCAAGTAACTGATATCAACGAGTATTTAAGTGAGGAAAGCCCTTTAGCAAGAAAGTAGGTCGAGGCTCGAGTAAGGGATTCAATAATCTTGTGGAGCAAAAGCAACAAGAGTTTGGAAACCGCGCAGTTTTGAATCTGAGCTATATGTGTGTGTTTTTGTTGCTGGTATAATTGATTTGTAAGAATACTTTAGGTTTTTCAAGAGGTTCTTACCTCTTAATATTTAAGTGTTTAAGGCAAATGCCTCACTTCTTTGTATGGTTTGGTGGCAGTAATATATAGAAATTTTGTAATAGTTTCATATAATAAATCTTTTGTGAATTATAAATACTAAATCCTCCTACTGAATATTGCAATAACAATTAATTTTCCGTAAGAGATCCAAAAGAAACAGCTCTTGAAGAATCTGCCAATGTGGAACGTGTTTCCAACAATGCATAAAATCAGCTCAAGAGTAGCTGTAGAAGATTCAGAAAACTAGAGTGAATACGAAGGAATGTATAAACTATACTATGGAGCAACTCGAGTCGATGTCAAGAAAGAAGCTTTGTCCTCAACGTTGCACTTGAAGCATCTCCACAGACAGGATACAAATGGATTCGATCAGACCATGCATTGGGGTCTTTTGAATTGATCTCCGAAATGCATTTCCACACAGCACTGTTAGCCTTAAAGCCACTTCCAAACCCAATCTGCCATACTCTATCGCCCTTTTTCATCCTAGCTTTCGCCTCCAGGTATTGCAGCTCATACCACAGTGAAGACGAAGATGTGTTCCCATAACGATACAGTGTTGTTCTCGAAGCTTCTCCATCTTCTTTGTCCAGCTTCAGATGCTTCTCCACTCCTTCGATTATCGCCCTTCCTCCAGAATGTATACAGAAATGCTCAAAGGCTTTCTTGAAGTTGGGTGTGTATACCTCCTTCTGGATTCCCCATTTTCTTTGGATGAATGAGATTATGTATTTGAGCTGCTCTGAATAAGGTAGCACCCTAGGGCCTAACTCCACCACATTGATCTTCAAGGCCTTTGATGCTACCTTGACAAGCTGCTTGGACAAAGCTACTCCCACTAGCCCTTCCTCATCGATCTGCTGCATTACACTCCCGTATGATTCATTGTCTGATCCGACATGAGTTCTAATCAGATGCTGGAGTTTGTACTTGGCCTTGTGCTTATCTTGCTTCCTGTTGGAGAGAAGAATCGCTGCCCCACCCATTCTGAAGATTGTGTTAGCAATGAGCATCGACTTGCACTTCCCTCTGTAACCATTTGGACTCACAGCTTCCATGCTCAACACTAGCGCCACAGAGTCACCATGAATCTTCATAAGATCTTTGACGAGGTTTATGGAAAGAAGGCCCGCGCTGCAGCCCATTCCGCTCAAGCTGAAGCTCTTTATGTTGCTCCTCATGCCAAACCTGTTTATGATGATGGAGGTTATTGACGGAGAAGGACAGAAGAGGCTGCAGTTAGACACAAGGATGTCGATACTCGTTGGATCTATCTTGTGCTTTGAGAGAAGGTCTTCAACAACAGTGAAGAGGATATCTCGCGTTTCCTCTCTACCTGCAGAGAGAGAAGCATTTGGTGGAATCTCATGGACTGTCGCAGGCACGCTCGCGTCATCTCCAATCCCTGACCGCTCTAGAATCTTCTGCTGGAGGTCAAGGCTTTCTCTGTCAAACACACCGGATATCGTAAGGTGCTCAATGAAATTGGAGACTGGAGCTCGTAAGAAGTCTGGAGGTTGATAGCAAGAGAAGTCAATGAGGTATATACATCTTGGTCTGAAGAAATAGTAACCAGAGAAGGCTATGAGGACGCACGCTGATGCTGCCAGTAAGTGTGGGAAGCTCATAAAGGTCTGGGAGATGTTGATGAATGGAGAACTCGATTCCATGTTCCCAATGTTTGATTGATCTAAACTGGGAAAAGAGAGAAGCAAAATGGTAAAGACAGAGAGAGACTTGTGTGTTTTTTTTTGTGGTAAATGTGGGTTATAGTGTTTACCATAAAGGAACTGGGAACATAAGTTTGTTGCAACACAGGGTAAGCATGTGAAGGGGTCCAAAACAAGGATGAAACTCAGTTCTCGTGCACCCATCATTTGCATGATTTCTCGGGAAATGAACATTACGTGTCTGTTGAGTGACTTTTGTCTCTGTTTCTAAGCCCAATTTTCCGTCTCTCTGACCACCAACTCCAGTGGGATGTTCGTAAATTCAGATAAGAGTTTTGGGAAGAAAGTTTTAAGCTTTCAACGTTTCTTGTTCCCAGAGCAGTTGAGAAGTGAGAGCCTTGAATTCTGTTTAAAAGCCGAAGACAAGATTTATAAAAATATGTCAACAAATAATTAAAATCCAGAAAAGAACAAAATTGAGCTCAATAATTGAACTTGAGCTTAATTTTTTCCTTCCCATCGTCGTCTCTCACAAATTATTCAATCGTTCTCAAATGGAAACTCCGAACCAGAAACTCATCAGTCCCTCGAAGACTCGGATCGGATGGATTGGAATCGGAATTATGGGATCGGCCATGGTCTCTCATATCCTCGCCGCAGGCTATTCGGTCACCGTCTACGCTCGCGACCTCCGTAAGTCAAAGGATCTGCAAACCAAAGGAGCTCGCACCGCCAAAAGCCCGAAAGAGCTAGCTGAGATGAGCGACGTTGTGTTCACGATGGTTGGAAACGCCAACGATGTCCGATCGCTAGTTCTCGGTCCCGATGGTGTACTCTCGGGTCTCAAACCCGGCGGAGTAACCGTGGACATGACTAGCAGCAAGCCAGCACTGGCGCGCGAGATATACGCGGAGGCGACACGGAGGGATTGCTGGGCGGTGGACGCGCCGGTGTCTGGTGGTGACGCCGGAGCACGAGAGGGGACACTAGCGATTTTCGCCGGCGGGAATTCCGAGATCGTGGAGTGGTTGTCTCCGGTTATGAAGCACATGGGAACTGTAAAGTATATGGGAGGAGCAGGGAGTGGTCAGAGCTGCAAGATCGGGAATCAGATCTGCGTAGGAAGCAACTTGGTGGGACTCGCGGAAGGGTTGGTGTTCGCCGAGAAGGCGGGTTTAGTTCCAGTGAAATGGCTTGAGGCGGTGAAGGACGGTGCGGCTGGATCGGCGGTTATGCGGCTATTCGGGGAGATGATGGTGGAGAGGGAATATAAGGCGACGGGGTTCGCGGAGTACATTGTGAAAGATTTAGGAATGGCGGCGGAGGAAGGTGACGTGGCGGCGGCGATGTCTGGGTCTGCTCTGAGCAAGCAGTTGTTCTCTGGAATGGTGGCGAATGGAGACGGGAAGTTAGGGATTCAAGGCGTCGTCTCTGTTATTAGGAGACTTAACGGCATTTCCTAATAACAGTAGAAACACTTTTGCAAGTGTTGATGGGTTTCATTTCATGGTCAATTAGGCAAAACTTGTCTTCGATCTAGTGTGTAGATTTTGATATGAAATTGATAATAATAACATCGAGTCGTTACAAAAAGCAACATCAAAATGTTAGCACTATGAAAGGTTTTGCATTTGATAAGATTACAAGCTCTACTTCCTATAACCAGTTCTATTAGCCGGTGATCTTAAAACACAACTATCAAAAGTAAGAGATGGATCTTACATTGTAAGAAAGTCACCAACATAACCTACCGAGTCTCTTCGACCGCTACGTTGGAGTAGGTGCACTCGAAGCTCTCTTCCTCGGATCCCTTCCCTCTACTCCTCGTCCATGATATCTTCCACGCCTTGTACAAGCTAATCCTGTGTATTACCAAAAATGGATAAAGCATGAGCCAAGATCATAAGGTCAGTCATGTCGACGTCGGGTCATTTCCATATATAAAGAGAATGTAATGTATACCTTTCGGTTTGAACGGTTCTTTTGGCGAGCATGAGGGTAAGGAAGACAGGGACCATAGCGGCGCACAAATGCTTTATAGAATGGCCACTAAGAATATGATGCGTGAAGCTGTATATGGGCTTATCTGCAGCTTCTTCCACCTTGGCTAAGAGATAGAATCCTGCAATTTTGTGTACCAATTGAATAACAGCTTCAGGTGCACAAAAAGCAAACAGACGGTATCAAACTCAACACTGAGAGCACCAACCTGCAGCCCATAGCCAATACGTGGAATGTGTATACATTGGAGGTAACAGAATAGCCATAAGTGGAATGACAATGCAGGGAACAAACTGGACTAAAGCATATGGACGAAGATCATCGAAAAACCTGCAATTACAGACTCATTAGACAAAGTTACTATCTCAAGATTGTTACTAAGTTTGGGATTTGACTTGCCTCCAATACAGAATGCTAACGAGGCCAGCGAGGAGCAATGGAACAATTGAGTAAGTACCCTTGTGTTCATCAATCCTCTCGATTACAAATATAGCCATGATGGATGTGAAGGCAATAGTCATCTAATCGAAAAAAACAAGCAAAACCAGTGATTCAAAAGAAGACAAGACGAAGCAATTAAAGCAGGAGAAAAGAGAAAGAGCGTACGGGAAGGCGATCCCAGACGAGACGTGCATCGTCTGGGTGGAGATGGTAGTAAGAAGATCCGAAAGAAACAGCAGCCACACCGACGAAAAAGCAAGTCCATCCCAATTTCTCACCTCGCAAACTGTTCGATACACACAGATTTCACTAATTTCAATTTTGATTTGTTTGTTTCACTAAGATAGATACAGAAGTCGATAATCACGCGCCTGAATCTGAAGTAATCATCTGGGTAAAAGCAGAGGACGAGACCGACAAGGCCGATGATGAGGAAAGGGAAGTTGGAAATGACGTTCAGAGCATTCGGAATCCCTGAGGTAGATCGTGGATTATAAGATAAACCCTAAAACTAAACGAATTAAGAAGATGAGAGAGAAGTGTGAGAAAGCGGAGAGAATACCGAGGAAAGAACGTTGATCGGCGAAATCGTGGTAGGCCTGAGATTGAGGAATCGTGGGAGTGACGATCATTAGAACAAGGAAAATCACAATTGCCGCTCCCCATGCGTAAACCGTTCGCTTCTTCATCGTCTTCGTCTTCTTCGTCTTCTTCTTCTTCTGCTTCTTTTTCTCTGAGAGAGATTCCGGTTTGTTGACTCTTCCTTTTTCTCTTTTCTTTTTTCTTTTTCAGTTTTTTTTTTTTGTTGGGGAGTCGATAAACTTTAAAAGCGTTGAAATTGTGATTGCGATTGCAAAATACACTGTAGTGATGAAATACATCAAAGGGCAAAATAGTAAATCAACAACTCTAATGCCGTGCTGACCCATCGACTTCCCGTACCAAGTTACAAAATGGGTCCGGGCATATTACTTATCGCGAATGGATCCATTACAACCTGCGACTCGGTTTTCGTTGGTCATGAACAGTTCACGTGATCAGTGTCTTGTCACCCTGAACTCTAATTAATCGGTTCTCTCTCTCTCTCAGTCTCAGCTAGAGTCTGCGTAGAACGTTGTGTTAGTGTTATATATATGATATGACCATTACCGCAGCATATAAGAGGATCAACGATCCAATTAACGCATGCATCATAAATTATGAGGTATCAAGCCGTAACATACAAATTTTGATATCAAGTTTGAATCTCGCTAAACATATCAACATATGGATTTTTTTTGTTTTTTCTTCTCTAGACCAATCATTGTGGAAAAACCAATATCACACTCAGTATTATCTAACTTTATAGTTTCTTTCCCCATCATACATGGGTCCATATCAGAGAAAGGTCACCATAAATCAAGGAATGTCTGAAAGCCGTTTTAAAAAAAAAAAATTAATTAAGGAATGCATGTTACTACATGTTAACGTCTATAAAGAAGAACCCTTGTGTGGCTAGAAATGTTGTTACCGAATCATGTATAATAAGCGCCCATCGAAGCTATATACATTCATTCTTTAATTTCTGTTTTTGTTTTTCGGTGTTGTCTCGACTCACGAGAGCGCAGCAATGATGTTGTTCTTCAACATTGTGATGTAGTCATCATCATCTCCACATGGCTTTTCATTCATCTACACATTCCCATATATACATCTCTCAATTGTTAATTCTCCTCTAAAATATATGTCTCACAGATATATAGACTGGATAAACCTGAACTGAGTAATTGCTTGGATCTCGAAATGTCAGTACCTAAGCTCTCTTACCATCTTAAGAATTCATTAGTAAAATTCCAACATTTTCTTTATTCCGATTCTAATTCTAGCCTCCAACAAGATTTTGATCCTAAAAACAAATCATATTAAGATCAAATAGTAAGGAAGAAGATAATAGCACACACACACACACCTTAACGTGGAAGTTGTAGCAAACCAGCCTTTGATATCGGCAAACTTGGGAAGTAGAAACACTTAAGATACTCAAACCTTGCACCTCCATTACATTAAGCAAGTTCGAGAACTCGTCTTCTTTCTCCTTCTTCATGCTTATCTGTACAACAGCCTCATCACCTGATCCCCCTAATTTGAGAACGGAGATTGCTCGAACTGAAGGACCACGTCTCTCTTGCTCAACAAGCTTCTGCTTTCTGAGAGTTAGCTCCTCAATTTCATTTTGTAGCTTGGGAATGTAAGTGACCACTCTATCAATTATAGACGGCGCACACCATTTCTTCTGTTGGTAAGTAAAAAGAAAAAAAACAAAGAAATTAGCTCAACAATCACCTAAGTTATAATCAGAGTGACTATGGTATATAAATACAAAATCATCAAAACCTTGGAAGAAGAAGAATGATCAGGAAGAAGAGTGCCGAGAGTGAGGTAAGAGGCATGAAGTCTCATCCTTCTTAGACGCTCCTTGGCGTTATGGTCTTGTTTCTTTGCACCACCACTTGAGCCATGATCTTGAACATCCTTAAGGTCATGCTCACGCAATACTGCTTCCTTCCCTTTTCGTTGTGATTGACACGTGTCTTCATGTCCTGAATCCTTCACAGTGACTGCTTCTGCAGGGATATGCAAGCGATCATGGAGTAAACTGGATGTTGAAGTCTGATGATTTGGCTGGGAAGACATATTATTATAAAGAGGCTTCTGTCTTTTCTCTTACAAGGATGGTCCTATTTAGACTCAGAATTCCAGGAAACCAGCTTTAATCAAATCTCTAAACCCTAATGAAGTTAACAAGATGATCATGACGATGATATGTATATATGTAGGTATATATATGCAGGGGAATGAGCCCAAGTCAAACCCCAAACGCAGCATCTGTGAAAATAAATAACAATGCAATATAAAGCCGCACACAAACTATAATAATAATTTTTAAAATGATTCAATATATATAAACTATAGATTAAAAAAAGAAAAGACGAGCAGCTGGGAATAATATTCACAGGACACAGCAAGTTGAAAGAGGAGAAAAAGTAGTATTATATTAGCGACTCTGCAGTAATAATGGATTAGGAGATGATGAATTCATCGAAAGAAAGAGTGAAGAAGAAGAATCTTGAGACATGATTACCTGATTCATCTTGTCCGATATTCTTCTTCTTTGCAAGAATAATTAAGGAGGTTGTCGACTCTCATAGACAAAGTCAGTTTTTTTTTTCCCTTCTATTTTAGTTATCTATCTGATCTGCTGGTGCATGTATGTACGTGGGTCTTTATGCAGTACAAATGGCGTTAAACTGTAGTACACAGTACACATGTTTTATTTTGTTTTGTTTAATGTGTGTACATTGGGATCGAATTAGATATAATCCGGACTCTCCCCACTCTTCTTTTATAATTAGTCCTTAATTTTATCAACAGATAATTGTATGCAGTCGATAACAGATAATTGTATGCAGTCGATTCAGTTGTTTTTTACTTGTTTGATATTTCAACTACTTCTATGTTTATGTTGTTCAATTTGTGTAGTGAAAATGAGACAATCTTTTAGTGCTTTTGTCAAAACTCCCTTGAGACACAACTTTTAGGAAATAAATCCCGACTGCATTTACAAAATTTTTAAGACACAATTGATATAAAATAGGGCTAAATATTATATTATTTTAAAATGTAAACAAAATATACAAACACAAAAAATTCGAAAATAAGGTGAGCACCATAAGTCGACAAAGAATAAAAAAAGTTGAACATAATATTTCCTTGATAAAGAATAAAGATTATGACAAAACTGTTGAAATGTCTATCTGAGTTGTGTGTTTTTAAGGAAAGATTACAAACAATTGTATGTAATGGAGAGATATGAAGTTAATAACGCCCAATTATGTGTGGTGGTGTGTCTTTAATAAAAGCTTCTGCGTAAAAAAGACCCGCATCTTTTGCAATCCAGAGACAAGAAAGCCTCTACAAGCTACATCGTCTAGCCTCAAGAAGATCCAAAAACCAGAGAGCATAAAACGAATATGGCTCTCTCTTCACCTATCGTCGATGATCCAAATCCCAAACCAAAAAAATTGAATCCAACTCAAATTGAGAGATTCTTCCCTTTATTCCTTAATTCAACTATTCTGACCTCTCCGTGACATGCTCGTCTCATCATTCAAGTTGTCTCTGTCTACTGTTTGACCGATAGTTCAGTCCATCTAGTATGCGTCGAGCCCGATCAAGGATAATGAGAGTCCGCTCATTAGGCTTGTACCCTCTTCCAGAGATTCTCTCAACCAACTCAAATGCATCTTCCGCTTGATTCATCACAACCCTTTTCAACAGCATATTGTACGTGTACATATCCAGAGGGTAGCATTTCTCTATAACTTCATCTAACCGCTTCAGTTCTCCCGCCATTTCGATTCTCCCTGAGAATACTCCTATCAACTCGCCAAGAGACTTCATCTCAGGGATCTTCTCTTCCACGTCTCTCATCCGTGTCCATGCTTCATACACCCCTTTGCTCTTTATTGCATTGTACAAAAGGACATTACCGATGAAGGATGTAATAGGTCGCCCGCATTTCCTATATTCATTCACTAACCCAACTGCCTCCTCATACCTTTCTCCGTTGCACAGTTTCTGTATGATTACCTCGTAACATTCGATACTAGGCTGTCTTCCTTCGCCCTTCATTTCTTCAAAGAAATGCATAGCAGCATCCAACTTATTTGCTCTGCAGAGCCCAACAATCATTACATGGTAAAGTCTTCTTTCGACCTCACCTTTTTCACGCAGGTCCTGGAAAAACTGAAGAGTATCAGCGATCTTCTCATTTTTAAGATAGCTCTGGAGCATGAGAATGTTCGAATCTAGTGTTGGTTTGAGCCCATCTCCAACCATCATATTATACACTGATCTTGCAAGGTTTGGGTTTCCTGCAAACCCAGCTCCTTCAATGAACATGTTGTAGGTCCCAACTCTGTGTTTCCAAAAAGACAACTGAAACCTTAGCAGAGTTAAGAAAAAGTTTATGCCATCGCCTTCCATTGCACAAATACATCGAATAACATTTCGATAGAGGCTATGGGTCGGGGTGTAGCCATTTTCCTGCATTCTGATGATAAGTCTAGCAGCTTTGTCTCCCCTCATTAAACTGATTGAGCCGTATATCAAGCTGACGAACATTCCGAATGTGGTGGCTACACCACTGTTATTGAATAGCTCATTAATCATAAGAGCGTCCTCCACTTTCCCAACATCGCAAAGAGCTGGTATAATCTTGCAACCACCTAAAGGTTTAGGCAATAAGTCCCGTTCCGAGGCAACAATAACCAGCTCCTTCGCCATGTCAGCCTTCCCTTTCCAGCACAAAGCATTGGTAAGTATACAAAATGTCTTTGTACCAAGAACATACCCTCGCTCCGTCGCCCCCTTAAAGACATCGTAAGCTTGCTCGACACGTCCGTCCGCGCAAAGGGTACGAATCAGATAGCTGTACGAGGTAGCGGTAGGAGCAAAGCCAATTTCTGACCTTGACCGGTATAACTCGAGGGCTTCATCTACAAATCCAGCTTTGCAAAAGAAGCACAAAGCTGCATTCATCGTTTTCTTATTAGGCAAAACTCCACGCACCATCATCTCCGTCAGGATATCATACACACTCCCAAGATTGTTTTCTTTCAAAAGCTTGGAGATCAAAGCGTTATACCTGAAAACTTCCATTTCACAACCTTCTAAAGGACTAATTTGCTGCAAGAAACCCTCAATGTTGTTCAAGAACCCAGCTCCAATCAGAGCTCTAAGCCAAATGCTATAAGCACGGTCCATAGGAACCGTTCCCACCACTTTGATATCGTCTAGCAATTTAGTAGCTTCCTGAAACATATCCTGCGAACACAGAGCATCGACCAAAATGCCTAAGCCAGCACCACATCCAGCAGGATCACTGGGTAGCAAGGAGCGGAGATGAGCCTCAGCCTTATCAAGCTGGCCTTGCTTGCACAACTTCTTCACCATAATCGAATGCGTAACAGCGCAGAGGAAGCCACGCGCGGAGATCTGGTCGAAGATGACATCGACGGTATCAAAGCAGTTCTCCTCGACAAGTGCGTTCAAGAGGACGTGATACCCAAAAGCATCCAAATCCAAACCTCGAAATCTCATGTGACCAAAGTGCTGAAGAGCGGTATCGGTGCGACCAGCGACGGCATACCCAATGACGAGGGCATCGCAGAGACGGAGAGAGTGTCGGTAACCCTCGAAACCGTCGATCCGCTTCAAGAAGTCGAGCATAAGAGCGAAATGCTTGGCGCTGCGAAGGATCTTGAAGATGGCGTGGAAAGTGGCGCGTGTGTGATGGAAACCAGGCTGACGAGCAGCCCAATCGAAGAACCTGAGACAGGAGAGGATATCGTAGTGGGTGTGGTCAAGCACGTCGAGGACGAATCTCTCCGTGAGGCGGAGGCGTAGACCCGAGAGTTGGTGATGAAAAGCTCGATCATCTCCATCGCTAGACGGAGCTCCGAGGATTTCAGAGACACGGTTGATTAACTGGTCGCTCTGCTGAACATCGCGCTTGAACCAGTCTTTCACCTCGCGGATGAGGACATCTCCGGCGGCTATTGGAGCCTTCGCGTAGGTAGAGAAATGAGAAGGAGAAGACAAAGTAGCATCGCCGGTTCCGTGATTGCAGTTTCTGAGTGACGCCGAGAGCGATAGTATCCTCCGCCTGAGGAGCATTCCTTTCTAATCGCATGATCTCGGCGGAGACGTCACCGAAGCCCCAAATCTCTTTCTTCGATCAGACGAAAAACCCTAACTAATTACAACCAATCAGAAACCTCCACGTCATACTTGATGTCGTGGCTTCGGCTTGATTTTACGAAAATGCCCCCTTTTAGTTTACTACGAACATTTCCCGGCTCGTCTGGTTCACTTCTCCGTCGCGGAAAAGATGGGGACCAATCTGAGATCCGTGATCTGTCTCCTCCTTCTCTTCTTCGTCGTCTTCGGCGTCAACGCTCAGAATCGGAGACCTAAAAATGTTCAGGTGGCGGTTAAGGCCAAGTGGCAGGGTACTCCTCTTCTCCTCGAAGCTGGGTAATGCTTTCTTACTTTTGTCGAACATCATCATTGGTTGCAGCTCTTGCGCTTCGACAGTGAAATCGAGTGTATTTTTCTTTGTGACAGAGAGTTGATTTCTAAAGAATCGAAGCAGCTTTTCTGGGAGTTCACCGATGCTTGGCTTGGTTCCGATGGAGATACTGGTGATTCCGATTGCAAATCCGCCAGAGATTGTCTCCTCAAGATATCGAACCAGGCATCGACTCTGTTGGCTACACCAGTGGCTTCTCTCTTCCATTTCTCGCTTACTCTGAGATCTGCCTCGCCGAGGCTTGTGCTCTACCGCCAATTAGCTGATGAGTCTCTCTCTTCTTTCCCTCACGGCCATGATCCCACTGATTCCTCCGCGACTCACTGCTGTTGGGTCGACACTGGCTCCTCCCTCTTTTACGACGTTGCGGATCTCCTCTCCTGGCTCGCCTCTCCTCCTGCGTATGCACTGATGATCTCTCTTGATTTTTTTCTTTTGGTTTAAGGCCACAATTTGCAATTTCTAAGCTGCATTTCGTTGGATGCCAGTGCCGGAGACGCCGTTCAGGGGCCTGAGCTCTTTGACTTCGATCACGTTCATTTTGAATCGAAATCTGGAAGCCCAGTCGCTGTTCTCTACGGCGCTGTTGGGACTGACTGCTTTAGGAAATTTCACCTCTCGCTTGCTAAAGCAGCCACGGAGGTCTCACTTTCATTACTGTCTTTGATAGAACAACTTCAGGCTCTATTGTCCAGGGATTCCATTTCTTAGCGTCTCTCTGCTTTTGCTTTGTGAATTCTTAATGAAGCCTTGGTTTCCTACAGGGGAAAGTTACATATGTTGTTAGACCAGTGTTACCTTCGGGCTGTGAAGGCAAAACTAGACCCTGTGGTGCCATTGGGGCAATGGATAATGTTAGCTTAGCTGGTTATGGTGTGGAGCTTGCTTTGAAGAACATGGAGTACAAGGCGATGGATGATAGTGCCATAAAGAAAGGTTAGAGTTGCTCATTTATTCATTTCGCCATTCGATTTAAGTGAAAGCTTATTTTTTATTTCTTATTTCACTTTCTGTTAGCTGTGAATTTGCTACTCTTTAAGTGTTTTTGCTATGAGTTTCAGGTATCACTCTTGAAGATCCAAGGACTGAAGATCTTAGTCAAGATGTTAGGGGGTTTATATTCTCGAAAATCCTGGTATGTCTAACATAACTAGAATGATATGTTGAATCATTTCTTTCAAAAAAGTTAGTTCGATTGATTTGCACGTATGCATGGATGCTCGCACAAATGAATTTGTGTTTGTTAATAAATGTGATATGGACGAAGATAAGAGACGGATCTAAGATAAGAGATGAACGATGGAAAAAAAAAGTTTTCTACCAATTTTTGATTTTCTGTAGGATGATCATTAGGGTCAGCACTCCTTTTTTGCAGGACAGGAAACCCGAGCTAAGATCAGAAGTCATGGCTTTTAGGGATTATCTCCTATCATCAACTGTATCAGACACGCTTGATGTTTGGGAGCTCAAAGGTAGTTGTGCATCCTGCATGTTTTGCTGGGTGACAATAGAAGTAAATAAAGTGTTTCCTAATTTACCTTTATTCCACAGATTTGGGACACCAAACAGCCCAGAGAATAGTCCATGCCTCTGATCCTTTGCAATCTATGCAAGAAATTAATCAAAACTTTCCAAGTGTAGTTTCTTCATTGTCTCGCATGAAGGTATGTCATCGTTTATTGATCCTGTATTAACCTTACACTGTTGGTTGATTTGTTTCCTTGTGGTTCTTCTGATTTTAGATATGTCTGGTTCAATCGTGCAGCTCAATGAATCAATTAAAGAAGAGATACTTTCAAACCAGAGAATGGTTCCTCCTGGCAAGGCTTTGTTGGCACTGAATGGTGCCCTGTTGAACATTGAAGATATGGACCTATACATGTAACACCAGTTTACTCTGTATTACTTTTCGTTTGGATTTCCGTTTACTCCTTTTAAAAACTTAACATGTCTACATTGTTGGTTATAGTCTGTTTCCCATGATTCTCTGATCCTTCTGTGTGTAGGTTGATGGATTTGGCTCATCAGGAGTTGTCCCTGGCCAACCATTTTTCGAAGCTTAAGGTACTGTTTTACTGACTGTGTGCGCCTAACTATTTATGCTAGTGCTGTATCAAATAATTTGTTGTAATGGTCTTAAGTTTTATAATTTAGCCTTATTTTCATGTTCCGTTTTGCTGGAGATCTCAGACACACATCTCAACTCTTGTTTAATGCATGTAAACGCAGAAAGAATAAGTAAAGTTGTGGTTTATATAACATGGAGGAGAAATTGGAACGATACCAATTGATAAATATTTTTATATCTATTTAGGACACTGAGCTCTGATTAGTCTTGAACATATGAATGTGCTAACATATTTATGCAACTGTTAGATACCTGATGGAGCCATACGGAACCTTCTACTAACTACCCCTCTCCCTGAGCCGGATTCATATCGGGTTGATTTCCGTTCCGTGCATGTTAACTATCTCAACAATCTTGAGGAGGATGATATGTACAAGCGCTGGCGGAGTAATATTAATGAGGTAACTAGTGCATCTGACATCTTCTTGATAATTGAGGATACATATGAATTTTTTTGGTTAGCATTTGGAGAATAATATCTCTAATGGCCTGTGTTTCTTCACCTTGTAATAAGATTTTGATGCCTGCTTTCCCTGGGCAACTACGTTACATCCGAAAGAACCTATTTCATGCAGTTTACGTCATTGATCCAGCCACTGTCTGTGGTCTTGAGGCAAGTCGCATATCTGCCCTTTCTCGGCACTGCCGGCTCTTCTTCCGTTATTCTTGAGTACAGAGCTTTTGAACTAACTATTGTTGGATCTTTACAGTCCATTGACACTCTCAGATCTTTATATGAAAATCAACTCCCTGTGAGATTTGGGGTGATATTATATTCCACTCAATTTATCAAGACAATAGAGGACAATGGTGGACAAATCTCATCTTTGGATTCAGAGGCAAATGCCCAAGTTAAAGAGGACATATCTACTATGGTATTCACCGTCTTTGAAATAGAAATTTACTGTTATCACTCTCTCAACCTTGTTTTTTTTTTTCTGCACTAAGAATCTTGTTCTTCTTATTATGTTTTTTTTTTTCCAAAATTATTTCGCTTTGGAAGCAAACTAATAATGAATGAAAAACTCTCTTTGCAGATCATTCGTCTTTTTCTGTACATCAAGGAGCACCATGGGATTCAAACAGCTTTTCAGTTTTTGGGAAATGTAATTGACATTAACACTTAATTCGTAGCTAGAGGCGTCTTAAATGTTTCTCGTTGGTTATTTTGTCATTTGTTGTTTTGATTTAAGTATTCCAAACATTAGTCGCTGAACAGCTTCAGGTTTGTTAACAGGTAAACACATTAAGGACTGAATCTTCTGAAGAGGACATTGAACAGCAGCATGTCGATGGAGCATTTGTTGAGACACTATTGTAAGTACCGTGAATATTCAGAATCATTTATCATACAATTGTAGATTTGTTTTTATTCCATCTTCACAAAAAATTTGGATTGTACTCCTTAGCCCTTCTAAAGTTGGGTCTTTTCTATGGCAGACCAAAGGTTAAATCAGCCCCTCAGGAGATATTGCTGAAACTGCAACAAGAGCACACTTTGAAGGAGGCATCTGAAGCGAGCTCCATGTTTGTATTTAAGCTGGGTCTGGCGAAACTGAAGTGTTCCTTTTTGATGAATGGCCTCGTCTTTGATTCTGTTGAGGTACTTTTGTGCATATTTAAAATGTTGAGGTTCTCATGTTTTGGTAGCTTATCGCAAGCACGTCTCTATTGTACATGCATCCATTTTTTTACGTTAACCTACATCAACTTTCACGTCTGCGTACTAAGAGCTTTTACTTTTCTACCGCTTGATTTTCTTGAGTCTATTGAAAATTGGTTTATGATGCTAGTCCTTGTCTCTCCAGGAAGAAACTCTTTTAAATGCCATGAATGATGAGCTCCCCAAGATACAAGAACAAGTTTATTACGGCCAAATAGAGTCCCGTACTAATGTTTTGGACAAATTGCTTTCGGAAAATGGTCTTAGCCGGTATAATCCACAGGTAGGGAGTTTCACAGGCAGCATATTTTGGTATTTTTTGTCTTTGTTCAATACGAGTTCCAACAAAAGCCTGCCTTCTTATAATTCCATTGTTTGTAGATTATTAGTGGAGGAAAGAACAAACCAAGGTACGTGTCGCTGGCTTCATCTTCCAGGAGGGGGGAATCTATGCTGAATGATGTTAACTACTTGCATTCTCCCGAAAGTAAGTAACAGTGCATTAATATAGTCAACAGCTTATTGTCCATATCTCAAATGTGTGATCTTCTCATGCAAACTCACTTGATATGTATCCTCTTATTTGACAATTCCAGCTACAGATGATGTGAAGTATGTGACTCATCTCCTTGCTGTTGATGTTGCAACGAAGAAAGGAATGAAATTGTTACATGAAGGAGTCCGTTACCTGGTTAGTTGATGAATTACACCCTTTTTCTCGACCTTCAGGTGAATCCACACATTTTATTGATATTCGTGCATTTTCATTCAGATTGGAGGTTCCAAAAGTGCTCGCCTTGGAGTTTTATTTAGCACCAGCCCGAATGCTGACCCAAATAGCCTTCTGTTTATAAAGTTTTTTGAAACTACTGCATCATCATTTAGGTACGTGAGTTTTTGTTATACATGTGATATGTAAGATTGCAATTGCTTTTATTTGTGTCATTTCCCTAATCCCTACTTGTTATGTATGCTGTCTTGTTGTATGCAGTCATAAGGAAAAGGTGCTATACTTCCTGGATAAACTATGCTTGTTTTACGAGCGTGAATATCTGTTTAAAACTTCAGTGAATTCAGCTACCTCTCAAATGCTCATTGATAAAGTCCTTGAGCTTGCTGAGGAGTATGGGTTATCTTCTAAGGCCTACCGATCTAGTCTCGCTGAATCTCTTAATGAGGAATTATTTAAGCGTTTGACAAAGGTATGCAATGCTGCTCTAGAAAATTTGCAATCATGCCTGAAAGAACATCGATCCACGAATCTTTTCAGTTCTCCTCTGATACATAAACGATGTTAACGATCGTTTATCTTGCAATTGTCATGCAGGTCGCCCAATTTTTGTCTTGGGAAGTTGGCCTTGAAACCGATGCAAATGCAATTATCTCAAATGGAAGGGTGTGTAAACCAACTTTTATCTTTTTCTGTCTATTATACAGTTCATTTTTTTTTCAATTGTATATTTATGAACATTCATCATATTCGACTAAATATTTGGTAGGTGATATTTCCTGTGGATGAGAGGACATTTTTGGGCCATGATTTAGACCTTCTTGAGTCAATGGAGTTTAATCAAAGAGTAAAGCCTGTTCAAGAAATTATTGAAGGCATTGAATGGCAGGGTGTGGATCCCGATTTGCTGACAAGGTCTCTCGTCTCATGCTTTAACTGTTTCTCCTTCCCTTTGTGCGCTAAATCTTGTCTGCCAAATCAAAACTTCAAAAAGAATTTATGCCTGCTCTTATCTTTTTTTTTTCCCCTCCTAGTTCTTGGTGAGCAAAGCTTCTTAAGCTGCACATTTCATTGTTCATTGAAAATCACATCGATGACACCCTCGCCCTATCCCTCTGATCTATTTGTGGATCATATCCTTCTTTTTCCATTTAAGTGTGGCTCTTGCTTCTTAGTTTTTGATAGTTACAATATTGGCTTTATTCCCTCCCTAGGCTGATATTTCCTTTAATTTCTTCTTCAAAGAGGGATGATCCCACGTATGTTTTGTAGCTGATGGGATATGATTCTTCTAGGAATATTCCCTTCTATGATTTGAAAAATGGCTGATATAATTTTTGTTTTTTTGCTTTTGACATACATGCAGTAAATATTTTAGCGACGTCTTCATGTTTGTGTCATCTGCAATGGCAACACGGGACCGTAGCTCTGAAAGTGCACGATTTGAGGTGTTGAGTTCGGAATACAGGTATGTATATTGGGTATGTTAGCAGCTATCTTTTCTATTTTGGGAATTTGAGACTCTGCAACTAAGATGTCCATATGTGGTGTAGTGCGGTTATGCTGGGAAATGAAAATGCAACTATACATATTGATGCTGTTATTGATCCTTTAAGCCCCACTGGTCAAAAATTAGCATCACTTCTTCAAGTTCTACAGAAACATGTTCAGACGAGCATGAGGATTGTTCTGAATCCCATGGTGAGTAGAACATATACTCCTCACCTTAGCATTTAAAAACAATGCAAATGTCAAACTTATTGTTCTAAGTCACCTAGATGATCAAAGAGCTTATTCTTCTGGCCCTTAATGTTGTTACTGTAACTCTTGTTGAGATCAATATTTATATAATGTTACAGCTGCCTTGCTGATGTGGTTAATCATGGATATTTTTACACGTTTATTCTCTTTCAAGAGTCATTATTTCTTATTGGAAAAAAAAAGTAATTACATATTGTTCATGTGTCTGACCTAAAGTTCTTAATTCTTATCGGCAGAGTTCCCTTGTGGACATTCCTCTGAAGAATTACTACAGATATGTCTTACCCAATACGGTATGTTGATTGCAAATATCTTCAAAATATATGACGATCTGGGATTTCCACATTCCCTGATCAAATATTGATTCTGCTATTTTTCTTTTCAGGACGACTACAGCAGTACAGGCTTTGATGTAGATGGGCCTAAGGCATTTTTCGCAAATATGCCATTGTCCAAGACACTTACGATGAATCTTGACGTTCCAGAGCCATGGCTTGTTGAACCAGTAATTGCCATGTATGGTATATTCCCCTGAAAAATAATGGGACTATTCTGCTCTTTCTGGCTAGAAATTCTTCACTGCGTTAAAGTTATTTGCTTGTTTAGTTTGCTTTTTTTGCTTATGGCTGACTATCTTTTTTCTCTTCCGGATTTTTCCTTGTCCAGTCATGATCTTGATAATATTTTGCTTGAGAACCTGGGAGATACCACTACACTCCAGGCAGTTTTTGAGGTTGAATCTCTTGTTCTTACAGGTTAGTGTTTCTAAACTTATTCTTATACGCTGGCAGGATTTTGTTTATGTTTTTATTAACATAAACCGTGCACAGGTCATTGCTCGGAAAAGGATCATGAATCTCCTCGTGGCCTTCAGCTGATTCTAGGAACCAAAAATAGACCACATCTAGTTGATACTCTTGTGATGGCCAATTTGGGTTACTGGCAGATGAAAGTATCCCCTGGGGTTTGGTATTTGCAACTTGCTCCGGGTAGAAGTTCTGAGCTATACGCTTTGAAAGGAGGCAATGATGGGAGTCAGGATCAATCCTCGCTGAAACGTATTACTATCGATGATCTGCGTGGTAAAGTTGTTCATTTAGAAGTAGTTAAGAAAAAGGGTAAGGAGCATGAAAAGTTGCTAGTTCCTACAGACGGTGATGAGAGTGTGCAGCAAAACAACGAAGTAAGTGCTTACTCCAACAGATTACATAAAAGCTATTGGTCCTTGAAAATGCTGGTTATTGGTCCTTAAAAATGCTGGTTATTTATTCTCCGATGACGCCTTTTCTTGTAGCGGGGAAGCTGGAACTCAAATTTCTTGAAATGGGCGTCTGGTATTGTTGGTGGTCGCCAACAATCGATGAAGGAAGGTACCAAAAAGGTGAGTAGCTTCTGTAATGTGGACTAACTTTTATGCATGTAAAATCTCAACTGTGCATGATTTCTAACATGTGGATTACCTTTGCAACAGTTTTAATCTTGTTATTTCTAATTTTCATCCTTTCAGGAGCATGAGAAGGGTGGACGACATGGGAAAACGATAAATATATTCTCCATCGCTTCAGGGCATTTGTAAGTGCAAGTTTTTTTCTTAACTGCCTGAGCATATAATCAAGTGTGTTGAACCATTATGCTAGGAAGGGAAAACAATTCTTCACCTTTATGTGCAGAGATATTTAGATAATCTTGAATTACTTCAAGTGCATCACGCATATGAAAAAAGGAAATCATGTATGGTATTTCTTCGTATATGTATGGATATCGTGTGCACTAGTGTTTGCAGCGTATCTTGTGAACATAAAAAATTTAAGTATAATTTTTGGTATCACTTCCTCTCTGATGCCGAGGCAATGCATCTGACAGGTATGAGCGTTTCCTTAAGATCATGATTCTCAGTGTCCTGAAGAACACCAATCGTCCTGTAAAATTCTGGTTCATAAAGAATTATCTTTCTCCTCAATTTAAGGTTGGTTCCTTTTTTCTTGGCTTACACATAAGTTTTGTGTTTGTGTCTATGTATGTTTTTTCTTAATCTCTAAATGTGAATTTATCACTAGCTTTTTGAACCACTTCAACTTAATGTGTATTGCATTCTACTCTTGCAGGATGTGATTCCACATATGGCACAGGAATACAACTTTGAGTATGAGCTGATTACGTACAAATGGCCTTCCTGGTTGCATAAACAGAAAGAAAAGCAACGAATTATTTGGGCCTACAAAATACTTTTCCTTGATGTTATATTTCCTCTCTCGTTGGAAAAGGTACGTATGATCATAATACATCTTCATTTTCTACTTGATGCTTGGAAGATGCAGCTATAAGAAATTCTACACGTATTCCGTAGGTTATATTTGTCGACGCAGATCAAATTATAAGGACAGACATGGGAGAACTGTACGATATGGATATAAAAGGAAGACCTCTCGCGTATACTCCGTTTTGTGACAACAACAGGGAAATGGATGGCTATCGGTTTTGGAGACAGGTAAAAAATTACTCTGTTCTTTCTTGTAGAGGTCGTATTGGTTTCCTTACTCTTACATCCTCAATTGCTTGGAACAGGGTTTCTGGAAAGAACATTTACGTGGTAGGCCATACCATATCAGGTAGACGAACTAACTTAACGTGAACCCTTGATAAGGTTTTGCTTTTCCTATTCTTGATGTGCCTTGTTCTATCTGTAGTGCTCTGTACGTTGTTGACTTAGTTAAATTCCGAGAGACGGCGGCAGGAGATAATCTAAGAGTATTCTATGAGACGCTTAGCAAGGATCCAAACAGTTTGTCCAACCTAGATCAGGCAAGTTATTCAATATGGTTTTCTACATTTTCATTAGTTCCTTGATCTTCCTTTATTTAGCATTTGGCTCTTCTCCTAACCCAATTTCTAAATGGCACAGTCGTTATTTTTGTGCCTTGAACCCAATAATTGGAAAAATGGACTTTCTTTTAATGCTTGAAGTGACTATCCCAATATGCTCTGAATCTATAGAAATTCTACTACTTGTTGAGTTGTTGGTTCAAACTTATTGATGGCATGGCATTATTTTGTTCCAGGATCTTCCTAATTATGCTCAGCACACTGTTCCTATATTTTCACTTCCCCAAGAGTGGTTGTGGTGTGAATCCTGGTGTGGAAACGCCACAAAATCAAAGGCCAGAACAATCGATCTTTGCAATAATCCCATGACAAAGGAACCAAAGCTTCAGGTAAATGATGGCTTCTCTAATAACACAGTAATCTAGATTCTTCCAAGCTTCCCTATGAAAGTATATCCCCCAAATATACAGCAATGATAAAGTATTTGTTAAACTTGTTCTGTAGGGTGCTAGGCGAATTGTCACTGAATGGCCCGATCTTGATCTGGAGGCACGTAAATTCACAGCAAAAATCTTGGGTGAAGATGTTGAACTCAACGAGCCAGTAGCAGCCGCTACGGACAAGCCTAATCCTCCTCCATCAAGTGACATCGCTGAAGATTCAGAACAAGACTTGGAATCCAGGGCAGAACTGTAGATGCAGGTTCCTCAAGATTCCTCGAAAGAGGAGATGAAAACATCAGTCATCTGTTATGTTCAATTGCTAGACAAGGTTTCTAGTTTTTGTAGTTGCAGTTCCGTAGACATCTCTCAGCAGTACTATAGTTTAGCCGAGAGACTGAACAAACAGCTAGTCTGCACTGTTCTAAGCTTTCATAGGCTCAACATTATGTGATATACATAGATCAACCATGCAGGAGAATAATGAGTGTAACATAATAATATTTCACAACTTTTTAAATCAATTACAAAATCTCAACATTATTAAGATTAATAAATTTTGCTGTTTGTAGAGAGATACAGATACCTTCAATACGTATTTGTTTAAACTTTAAACATCACTTGGACGAGAGTAATCGCAAATTGGTTCCTGCTAAACCAAACCCAAACCCACAAGAAAACCGAACCGAATTTGAATCCACGTGTGTCAGTGTATGTTTAAAATGAACCACGTGTTCTTGGAGTTAAAACCATTAGCACAGTATACAGAGTTCTCAGCAGTCGAATCGATAAATCCTCTCTTCGTCTACATCAGTGTTTAAATTTCTCTCCTCTCTCTCTATATACAGTATGTTCTTGGAATCTTCCACACGAATTTTCCCATCGATTTCTTCAATTTGTATGAAACTCTAGATTTCTGCAGTTGATCCTATTCGAAAAATTTCTGTAAGGTCTCGTTCAGAGAGTGAGAAAAAAATGGAGGGTTCGTCGACGATCGCAAGGAAGACATGGGAGCTGGAGAACAACATTCTAACAGTAGACCCACCTGATTCAGCTTCCGACGCAATCTTCTACTACGACGACACTTCGCAGAGCAGGTTCCAGCAGGAGAAACCATGGGCGAACGATCCTCACTACTTCAAGCGGGTCAAGATCTCGGCGCTCGCTCTCCTTAAGATGGTGGTCCACGCGCGCTCCGGTGGCACCATCGAAATCATGGGGCTTATGCAGGGTAAGACCGATGGTGATGCCATCATTGTCATGGACGCTTTCGCCTTGCCGGTGGAAGGAACCGAGACAAGGGTTAATGCTCAGGCCGATGCGTATGAGTACATGGTCGAGTATTCGCAGACGAACAAGCTCGTAAGTCAGTTTTATATACTCCCATCTCGTAGTTATGAATGATTTACTTATAGCTAAGTTTCCTTTTAAGAGGATTCGATTTATGAATGGTCCAAGGGATTTAGAGATGCTTGTTCTATTGGTGTTTTTGACTGTTCTTGTTCCATTGTTGTGTTAGAGATGCTTGTTTCATTGCTTCAGACCATTCGAAAAAACGAAAACTTTGTTTTCCCCAGAAATGATCTCAACTCCTACTTTGATTTCAAAATTCTTCTGGTGTTACTATGGGTTTTGAGAAGCTTAAAGGTTTAGACTTTAGCTGAAACTTTGTAACTTTATGATTGATTGTTACTATAACATAAGGCTGGGAGGCTGGAGAATGTTGTTGGATGGTATCACTCCCACCCTGGATATGGATGCTGGCTCTCTGGTATTGACGTTTCCACGCAGAGGCTTAACCAACAGTATCAGGAGCCCTTTTTAGCTCTTGTTATTGATCCCACAAGGACTGTTTCCGCTGGTAAAGTTGAGATTGGAGCATTCAGAACATATTCAGAAGGGTATAAGCCTCCAGATGAACCTGTTTCTGAGTATCAAACTATTCCTCTTAATAAGATTGAGGACTTCGGTGTTCACTGCAAACAGGTATCATCATCATTTTCTTGGTTTTTTTTTCGCATTGGAATCCCCCCAACACGATTCTTATGTTTGGGTTTTGGTTTTGGCAGTATTATTCGTTGGATATCACTTATTTCAAGTCATCTCTTGATAGTCACCTTCTGGATCTCTTATGGAACAAGTACTGGGTGAACACTCTTTCTTCTTCCCCACTGTTGGGCAGTGGTGACTATGTTGCCGGACAAATATCAGACTTGGGTAAACTCTTGGACATATGGCCTAGGAGAACAAATTATGTACCCTTTTTATTTCCTTACTGTAGTCATGTGTTCTAATTGCTTCATAACTTTTATTAATGAAGCTGAGAAGCTTGAGCAAGCCGAGAGTCATCTGGCTCATTTTCGCTTTGGTGGAAGTGTGTCATCATCCCTTCATAGGAAAAAAGAGGTATGTGTGAGTGGTTCATCAGAATTTTCATTTCTCAAGCTCTTTTTTTTTTTTTTTTTTTTTTTCTCAAGCTCTTTTTTCCTATCTAGAAATTCTACATCGAGCTAAGTACCAACGTCAACATCTAGCTACTTAGATGATAGTTCCTCATTTTTTTTGGTTATGTGGGGTGTTTTGTGTAGTTGAAAGGAGAAACTGTTGTTGAATTTGAACAGAGATCCAACTTTGGAGAATGTTATTGGGTGTTTTGTATACTCAACAGGACGACATTCACGCATCTATGTCTTACTTCTTAGAGATTTCACTTCACGTGTGTTCTGTATCACTTTTCAGGATGAGTCCCAACTAACTAAGATAACTCGGGATAGCTCGAAGATAACTGTGGAACAGGTTCATGGACTAATGTCGCAGGTGAGTAATAAAAATCTGAAACGTAATGGTTCTTTATCTTCCCTTTAAGGTTCATGGATCATCGGCGTCTCATGGCCTTAAAACCGTAAATGTCGTAGGTTATCAAAGACGTATTATTCAACTCAGTGCATCAGTCCAACAAATCTCCCACTGACTCGTCGGATCTAGAGCCTATGATCACATCTTGAAGAGTTGAAGTTGCTCTTCGTTTTGGCTTCTAGCTTCGATCGTGCTTTTGTTTGTTTGTAAGAGTTTTAGGCAAATGAGAATGAGTTACAATGAATAATACAAACAATTTTTTCTAATTTTAACTCGGAAAATGATCTGTTTTTTTTGGAAGAAATCGAAATGGAGTTTAAGGAATTGACCACACGGTTTGATATTAAATGAGAAAAAAGACATAAAAGACGAAACCAGAAAAGCAATAATTTTGTTAGTGGTGTTTTGCTACCATACGCCTCTTGAAGCTTTTTCGACTACAGAAAATGGCGCAGAGAGTCGGAGGAGTGAAAAGAGCGAAACTTTCCCCTGCAACTCTAGATTTTCCAATTGTTCTTCGTCGAGATGGAGTGCGTGTTCATCGAGGCTGCTCCTTCGCGCGAAATTGTTCTTCTAATCGAAAGCCGAGACTCAGGATCGTGTCACAGAAATGGAAATTAAACGACATCGACCCAAGTACGACCTTCTTCTTCCTCGACTTCGAATTTATTTATGGTTTTGGGAGTTATATTTGCTTAGTCTCTGGAAAAAAGACAAAACTGAACCATTGATTTTGGTTTTCTTCTCCGACAGATGCGGTGCAAGAACGATTTAGTAGGTGGGTGTCTAAATCCCAAAAGTATCTGAGCGAAGTTGCCTCTCCGCTGATAAAGAAGAGTCAGAGTGTCAAAGTCGATCTCGAGGATCAACATGATTTTGAAGACTTGGAGGAACTTCTTACAGTGGAACAAACACTTGAAAGCGATACACCCAAAGGACCTCTTTCTTTTGATGCTATCATCTCCATCGAACAGTTTAGCAGGTGAACCAATCAAACCAATCATCCTTACTTCTTCTCATTGCTGTAAACTTTGAAGTGTTTGTAGTAAAAGTTTTTCATTGTTCTTTGGACTCCTTCCATATGCAGGATGAATGGATTGACTGGGAAGAAAATGCAGGATATATTTCAAACACTTGTTCCTCCAGCGACATCTGCTAATGCTCGATACCTTGTGGAATATTGCTGTTTCAGGTTCTTATCGAGGGATAGCTCAGAATTTAATCCGTGTCTCAAGGTATCTGCTGTTTGGGATGCGTTACCAAGGACTGACTATCTTGAGTTCTTAGCCTCGGAACTAAAGATAATGTTTTTGTTTTGGTTTCTGAACCATTGAAACTTTTCTCTTCGTAGGAGCCTGCATTCCAGAGGCTAATCTTCATCACAATGCTTGCGTGGGCGAATCCATACTGTAAAGAAAGAAACGCACGCAATGATACCTCAGAGAAACCTTCTTTCCAGGTAATTCTTAGAACCTTCATTAACGTAAGCTTATATGATGAAAAAAGTTCTTTATTCTGGAACTGGATCTTATAAGGAGGTAGTGGTAATAGTGTTCAGATAGTATTCTGCTCTTCTGGAAATTATGATGGAAAAAATACTGATGAAAGGTTTTCGGTGTTGAAGGGACGGTTTGTTAGGGAAGAGGCATTTGTTCGTATTGCTCCAGCGATTTCGGGCTTGGCTGATAGGGCTACAGTATATAACCTTTTCGAGACTCTAGCCGCTGCCAGTGAACAGAAAGGCATCTCTTTGGAGATTTGGCTAGCTTACATCCAGGAACTAGTCAAGTGAGTATAAAGTTTTGGTTGTTTTACACTACTGAGTGCAAACGTGCATTTTACATGGGCTCAATATTGCTTTCCAAGACGAATATCTATCTTTTCGTGATAGTAGAGTTTAGATGCATGTGAACCCCCATTAGCTTAGCTTGTTGCATAGATATGGACCCATCATTGTTCTGAGTATCTTTCCATTGTCAGAACAGAATACACGAAGGACGGAAGTCATACCAGACTACAGAATTTCCACAGATGTCATCGGAGAGACTTCTATGCATGGCCTCTAACAGGAAAGGACCTGTTTTAAAGTGGGAGAATAACGTTGCGTGGCCGGGGAAACTGACTTTAACTGATAAAGCTCTCTATTTTCAGGTATTTATAGTTCTTTATTATGCAAGTCCATCGGGAAGGGTATAGAACATTGTTTTCCTTTTGCCTGTGTCGAGCAATAGCACTGAATTGGATATTGTGTACCTTTTTTCTTCCGACTTACATATTCCGTGCCTACATATGTAACTTTAGCTGAAAATTCTTAGTTGTAGTAGTGTAAATTTAAACTCTTTGAGCCTCTCTGTCGTTGAACTTTTCTTTTGGTGTAGAATGTCCCACCTTCGCACTGAACTGTTCTTTTGGTATCAAATGTATTAATTGTTTCCCTTTTCAGCCAGTTGACCTGAAGGGCAGCAAAGGGATCTTAAGACTTGATCTTGCAGGGGACAAGTCATCCGTAGAGAAAGCAAAAGTGGGTCCTCTGGGGTTTTCCCTCTTTGATTCTGCAGTATCTGTTTCATCCGGCCCCGGGTGAGTTCATATGTTCATGTAACTGATGGTGTTTTTGATGCTATTCTTAGTGTGCCAGATGTCTGGGTTGTCGTTTTACTTAAGAGATATGCTAATCTGTAATATGGTTATTCAGGTTGGCCACTTGGGTTCTAGAGTTCGTTGACCTAGGAGGTGAACTGAGACGAGATGTTTGGCATGCGATTATTAGTGAAGTTATAGCACTGCACACGTTTCTACGAGAATTTGGGCCAGAAGAGAATGATAATTCACTGCTTCATGTGTTTGGTGCAAAGAAGGGTAAGGAAAAGGCAATTGCAAGTGCATCTAACTGTATTGCAAGACTTCAAGCTATTCAATATATGCGGAATCTGCCAGATGATCCTATCAAACTAGTTCAGTTCTCTTTTCTTCGACAAGTAGCCTATGGTGACATTGTGTGTCAAACTTTAGCTGTAAATTTTTGGGGTGGACCATTAGTGACCAAAGTTGCAAACACGGTTTACAACCGAGGTAAATTGGCCAGGACTTCCCGAGAGTCCTATGAAAGCTTCGATAACGCCTCTGATCTCGATGGAAGTGTCTACTTGAAAAGGTGGATGAGATCTCCGTCCTGGAGTTCAAGTGCATCTATGAACTTCTGGAATAATTCTTCTCTAAGACAAGGCTTAGTTTTGAGCAAAAACCTCGCCGTTGCTGATCTCACGCTCGTAGAGAGAGCAGCAGAAACATGCAGACAAAAATATAAGGTGGTAAAAAAAACTCAAGCCACTATTAATGCTGCAACCATCAAAGGGATACCCAGTAACATTGATCTCTTTAAGGTAACGCTTATTCCCAACATTGTTTCGAAATGGTTTCCTTATTCTAAATGTTCAGTATTTTGTGGTGTTTCTTCACTTCCTAGTAAATTGTTTTACTCTTTATCTTTCACTCCCAGGAACTCATTCTACCACTGTCTATAACTGCCACGAGGTTTGAGAAACTCCGGCGATGGGAGGAGCCTTATTTGACGGTCTCTTTTTTAGCATTGGCATCAACGATCATTTTCAGGTTTGTGAAGACCCCGACATGTGATAAATGTGATATTATGTATCTCATGTACGTTGCATTCAGAATGATCATTACATGTAAGACTTGCAGACACATGCCAAGATATCATATTATCAACTGGTGGACGTATAAGTTGGCTATTGTTATATTAGTAATGTTTTGACACTAATGAGATTCCTGTGCTGTGCCTCAGGAACCTTTTGCAGTACGTTCTTCCCGTGTCTTTGATGCTTTTGGCAACTGGGATGCTTACGTTGAAGGGACTCAGACGACAAGGGCGTCTTGGAAGATTGTTCGGAATGGTTACCATTCGAGATCAGCCATCTTCAAATACTATTCAAAAAATTATTGCTCTCAAAGATGCTATGCAAGATATGGAGAGCTATCTCCAGAACGTGAATGTTGTGCTTCTAAAACTACGGACAATTGTACTATCTGGTCATCCCCAGGTATGTTATCTTCACTGGATCATGTTTCTTGCGACACTTTCTTCGCTCTGTTTTCAAGTAATTTAGGAATTGGGAGAAAAGAATCATGTGGAATTTAGCAATTGATAGTGGTTCTGAAATCTCTTGTCAGGTAACTACTGAAGTAGCGCTGGTTTTGCTATCTGTTGCGACGGTTCTAGTCATTGTCCCTTTCAAATACGTTCTGGCTTGTGTTCTCTTCGACCAATTTACTCGGGAGCTCGAGTTCCGGAAAGAAATGGTCATAAAATTCAATGCTTTCTTACGAGAACGTTGGGAAATGGTACCAGCAGCTCCTGTCCTTGTTTTACCGTTTGTAAATGAAGAGTCTTCACCTGCAACTCAAGGAAAGCAAGCAGCTCAGAGAACAAGCACAGAGAAGTGATTGATATAAAAGTGGCATTTGCACGTATTAGATACACGAGTTACTCAAGAAGTACAATCCTAGGAAGAACAAATATCAAATGTAGTTGACAATAATTCTCTGGTTATTAAATGTATATGATAAGTACAGAGTCCTAGAGATGTTAATTAATCATTTTTTCTTTGTATATTATTAGAAAGTAATCGCCATTTTAGGCCTTACAAGGGGTAAACAAATGTTCTCACATCTCTTACTCTTGATCTCCAAAAGTTGTTGTCAGTCTTAAACAGAACTATTATGTTTACCAGCAACTTTATCCGTTAGTCTCGGATAATCTTATGCGCTCACCATTTTCTTGATCTTTATCTGAAAAGGGCGAGAAAATGCGTCATGGTCTTGTCTTCAAGTATGTTTCTTGTTTCTTCTTATTAACTTTCAAGCATGATGCAAGCTTCTTGACTCGCTTAGATGACGAAAGCAGCCGAAATGTGAGAGAGAGCCGTTACAAATTGTAACGGAAAACCCGGGAGATAACTTCCTTTGTGTCACATGCAGCGTGCAGCATGCTTTGCTTAATGCCTTTATATAACACTAATCAATCCATATTCACATTCTAAATTCAAATGAACACAAACGAAAAGAAGATGAGAAATCAAATCGGAGGATATGCGTTGATGATAGTTGCAGTTATGGCGTCTGTTATATTACAGCAGCCTGAGTTGGTGACCGGACAAGCTAGAGTTCCGGCTATGTTTGTGCTCGGAGACTCATTGGTCGATGTTGGGAACAACAACTTTCTAGCATCCATAGCTCGAGCCAATTACTTGCCTTATGGCATCGACTTAAACTTCCGTCCTACTGGCAGATTTAGCAACGGCCTGAATTTCGTTGATCTGCTTGGTAAGTTTTCAGCAAAAGTCTCTCAAAAACCATTTTCTTTTGTCTCCTCGTATCTTAACTGAAAAACACCGAAACTGTTCTGTAAAACAGCTCAGTTGTTAGGAATCTCATCGCCTCCTCCCTTTGCGGATCCAACCACAACAGGCAATAGAATCCTCGGAGGAGTTAACTATGCATCTGCAGCTGCAGGCATCCTCGATGAATCAGGACAACACTATGTAATCTCTGAGTTTGTGTGTCTCACTTTTTGTAATCTCTAATAGTGTAAGTTTTAATAGATAGAGAACTGTGCAGGGAGAGAGATACAGCCTGAGCCAGCAAGTGGTGAACCTAGAGACGACGCTGAGCCAGTTGAGAACGATGATGAGTCCCCAAAACTTTACAAATTACTTGGCGAAATCGCTTGTGGTTCTCGTTTTCGGAAGCAATGACTATATCAACAACTATCTTATGCCAAATCTCTACTCCTCCAGCTTCAGATACAGACCGCCTGATTTCGCCAACCTTCTTCTCAGCCAATACGCTCCTCAACTTCTTGTATGATACATCGAATCTCCCATTTTTTGTATAACCCTTCAATGAATGAATCTTCTGATAGTCATTTGAATCAATGTGTAGACTCTGTACAGCCTAGGCCTAAGGAAAATATTTATACCTGGAGTAGGACCACTAGGCTGCATACCAAACCAGAGAGCCACCGGCGTTGCACCACCTGATAGATGCGTTGACGGCGTGAACCAGATTCTAGGCACATTTAATCAAGGGCTGAGATCAATTGTTGACCAGCTGAACCAGAGATCACCTGGAGCCATCTATGTATATGGCAACACATATGGTGCAGTAGGTGACATCTTAAACAACCCAGCTGCTTACGGTAAACACCCACCTAGATTAAGCAGAGTTTCTTCTATGATTTCTTATTCTGATCAAGCTGGGGTTTTGTATATGGAACAGGATTCAGAGTAGTGGACAGGGCTTGTTGCGGGGTTGGGAGGAACCGAGGACAGATTACATGTCTGCCTACGCAGACTCCATGTCCTGACAGGTCTCAGTATGTCTTTTGGGATGCATTCCATCCTACTCAGACTGCTCTCTCCATTCTGGTTAGACGAGCTTTCTATGGCCCACCTACCGACGCATATCCTGTCAATGTCCAACAGATGACTCTCCTTCACTAGTTTCATTCTGTGTTTGCGTGTGTGTGTGCGTGTTTCTCAGTGTTGAAGTTGTATGTACTTATGAAGCTTGAACTTGTCTATAAAGCTGAAACCAAAATGCTTTTACCGCAAAATATCATGTACTAATGACAACGGGCAGAAGCCCCATGATTAAAAGTCTTAAGAAGACATGTTACATGCCAAGTTTCGTGAGCACCGACAATTCAAGAAAAACGGACACATGGATTGTCAATTTACGCCATTCCTCCTCCCACCAGTTCATTAAACCCACTCCAGCCCTAACTGTGGTGGACTGGTCTTTGGAAGTGAAGTAATCCCATGTGTTGCTTGACCTGTTGTTATCCGATCCCAGCCCATGATATGTGGAAGTGCAAACTGCACAAATATACATAATCTGGTCAACAAATACTATCAGAAATTATCTCTTCCTTAAAGAATAGAAACTTGATCCATATTCAGTCAATGCTCTTTTGATTTTCCAGCCAATGTTTTTGGTTACCAAATTGATATAATAACAATAGAAGAGAGAGAAGGCAGACTATTAAATCATATCTTACACTAAAAGCTGCCTTCATCACTGCAAATTCAGCTTTTGCGACAGGAACCACAATTCGTTCATTGGTGTTGAGGATGCTATTGTTAACGGCTACAATAAAAAAAGAAACAGCAGAAGTTAAGTCTCTGTACAGCATTCCTATTTGATTAGAAAGGAAGTTATCCCATGCGGAGACTATTATCGCCTACACACTATGACATGACCAATTCAAGTGTAAGAAGCTTCAAAGTTTTACTTTACAGAATGCTACCACTGGTTATACAAATATAGAATGCCTTACTCAATGAGAAGAAGTAGCCGCTACAATCTACGAGTGGCTTAATCGACAACGACTTCCTCACTTGACCAGCATTACTGAGGCATTAAATGACAATTTCAGAACATGAGAGATTGCTTAATAAAGCACATATTCAGCAAATAACATCATCATGTACTGTGATGAAAGCAAACAAACCTTGATTTCATGGAAGGGTCATGGAAAAACTCAGCGCTCTCATTGGAACCCATACTGATCAAGGATCCAACTTCCGTAGGTGACAAAGCAAACAGCTGCAACAATGTAGCAAACAAAATTAATTTTTTTTTCAGACGAGAAAGATAGGATTGAAGTGTATATAAAAGAGAGAGACAAGGAAGATCAACACGAACCTGTTTCTTTCCCCAATCGTACTTGCGCTCACCAGAAGCAGGCATAAAAGTCATCATCACAGATCCACGACGATCTATCCGGAGATTTCCAGGCTAAGAAAACGTACACGGTAAGTGATGAGAGTCTCCACAATGTCTTTAAGCAATCACACAAAAGTGAAAGAAATGAGGATTTTGGGATACCTCGATCTTGGTGAAAGTGGGGAGAACAGGTTCAACAGAGAGTGCAGCTTTGCCTTTGAAGATGGCATAAGGTGCAAACACACGACCACTTGGCTTTGCGACATCTTTGGATTAAGGGAACAAAAATTAGGGTAACACTTCAAAGCAGACAAACGGAGAAGAACAAATCAAGTACTGACCTTTCCCAGAGGCAGAAGAATCTGCCCAGGTCGCAAAACCACGCGACGCAGAAGACCTAAAGTTGCCTTCGAAAAGTGATTTGCTTTGCTCACAAAGGCTCCTGCTTTAACAACCACAAAAAAAACCAAAAACAGAGAGGCCATTTTAGTGAGATGGGTTCGAAAATTTTGCATTTCTCGAAAGAAACAAGAGATTAGCGTAAGCTCACCTGGAGAGCAAAATTCGAGCTTGCTTCATCATCTTCTTCTTCTTCTTCTACTGTGAAGAAAGAAACTGAGTACTACTAGTGTCGCTTGTGTTTTTGTTTTGAGGTTTTATGATTTATCAAATCGGGTAACCCGTTGTATAGTAACCCGACCCATACAATATATTAGTAACCTGATTTCCATAAAATAGTCTTTTAACGGACCAATGGGCCTTCTGTTGTGATTTGATTGGGGGCCCATTTCGTTGTGATTAATCTTTCGAATACGAATTTGCACTACAGATTGTGTGATCTTCTAGCCTTAGTGATTCGCTTGTTGTTTTCATCACACATGGATCTTGCTTTACGGGTTTGGTCTCTTATGGATGAAGTTTCAATGTTTATATGTATTAGTATTAGATATTTCTTTCCTATTCGTTAATTCTCTTTGGTCATCCATCTAAAACATCACAGGGACAAGCCATGGGAGAGTACTCGAGCAATCCTGAGAAACATGCATTTGATTTAGGAGCATATGTCGGAGACTTGGATTTTGAAGATGATTCAGGCAGGTAACGTAACATTCTCATGTTTCAGTTCACCTTAATTCGAGTACGCAATATGGTCCTGATTAGGATGATCGACTTTTCCAGGATAAAAATTGAAAATGAGGATATATCGTCGGAAGGGCTTCAGCAAGAACTAGAAGAATGTAAAACTGATGAGGTATGAATATGATCTTCAAAGATCAAAGTTTAAAAGGAGTCTTAAGGATAAACCATTGAGTTAAAACTCTGAATCTTGTTTGTGTGTTAGCTCAGGTTGTTGCCAATATACTATCCAGTGGTGTCAAGCTTAGAGAATATGCTAAAGGTGTAGAAAAAAACCTAAGGAAGGTCGAATTGGATTCGATTCAGGTTAGTTCCTTTTCTTTACCTTTTTGCACTATTTTTCCTGTTAGTATATGTTTTCTCTTGCTACAAGTTTGGGACTTTTCTTTAGTCTTGTAAGTAGCTTACTTGAAATGCTTTTACACTCCATGAATATACTCAGGATTACATAAAAGAAAGTGATAAGCTAGTCTCACTTCACGATCAGATTCGTGACTGTGACAGCGTCTTGTCACAAATGGAAATGGCCATCAGTGGATTTCAGGTAATTAATGAGATTAGTTGTGTTCTATGTAGTGGCTTCTTTCTCCTTGTTCTGAATTTTGCCTAATGGCAAGAATCTGTATATTCCTTGTAATCTAAATTCACTCTTTGCTTCTTCTTTTCTTTGTTCATTCAGGAAGAGATTGGTTCTATAAGTTCAGACATAAAGATTCTGCAAGACAAATCAATGGACATGGGTTTGAGATTGAATAATCGCAGGGTATATAGCCCAATCAGAAGCCACTATTATTAGTATTCTCTCTTGCTGCTTTCACCTCCGGGACTCATTCAAATGACCTTGTCTTCTTGAATAGGTGGCTGAATCAAAGCTAGCCACGTTTGTCGAAGACATTATAGTTCCACCAAAGATGATAGATGTGATTGTTGATGGAGAGGTATTGATTTGATGCATATGCTGTGGTACTCTAACAAACGTAGGAAAGATAGAAAAAAAACAACATTTTCTAATCTGATTGTCATGTTATTTTTCTTATTCAGGTGAATGAAGAGTACATGAAAACGCTTGAAACTCTGAGTATGAAGCTGAGATTTGTAGAAGCAGAACAAGCAGTGAAAAATTCCAAAGCGTTACAAGATGTAGATCCTGAGCTCGAAAAGCTTCGGCAAAAAGCTGTTTCCAAGGTTATTTATGTACTCATTGAGATGAATCATTGATCCTTCCCCCTAAAAGATTTTATGGCCAGACCTGTTCTCATGCAATAGAATTGTTTCTGTTTTGCAGGTGTATTATTTTATTGTCCAGAAGCTTATAGCCCTGAGGAAACCCAAAACAAACATTCAGATTCTTCAACAGAGTGTGTTATTTAAACACAAGTGAGTTATGCTCTCTAATCACCTTTATTTTACATGAAACTGATGATCCAACTTGATATTATTTTGCATCTATACTGTAGATTTATTTGGATCCATACTTCATTCACCAATTATAAATTTCATGATAGGTATATTATCTCCTTCCTCAAAGAACATGGAAAAGAAGTGTTTATGGATGTCCGTGCTGCGTACATTGATACCATGAACAAGGTGATATTCTTTATCTTGTTTTGATTACTTGCACCATGCTCCTCTCTATAGTCTTAGTTGGACGAGGAAGGCATAAACAGATAGATTTGTCTTAGGTTAACATTTTACCCCCCAAAAAAGATTCGTCTCTTACACGTTACTTGCAAGTACTCCTTCTTTTCTTGTATATTCTCTCGCTTAGTCTTTCAATTGTTGTTACACATTGTGTATTTGCAGGTGTTAAGTGCACATTTTCGTGCTTATATTCAAGCACTTGAGAAACTACAGTTAGATATAGCCACATCATATGACTTGATTGGGCTTGAGACTCGAACCACCGGCCTCTTCTCAAGAGCTAGGGAGCCACTAAAGAACCGCTCTGCCGTTTTTGCTTTGGGTGAGAGGATACAAATTATAAAGGTATTCATCATTCACTTCGTTATATAGAATGAGTTACATTTCTGGTATTCTAATGTTAAAAGACTTAAGTTTTACTATGTATTTCACTGTAGGAAATTGATCAACCTGCATTGATCCCGCACATAGCCGAAGCTAGCTCTCTCAAATATCTTTACGAAGTGCTCTTCAGGAGCTTGCACAAGCTTCTTATGGATACAGCTACTTCTGAGTTCTGTTGATTTTTCCCCTTTTCTATTTGTGCTATTGTTGCTCATCGATCAACCCCCTTTGGTTATTGTCATTTGTTTTCATTTTTTAACAGGTATATATTTTGTGGTGATTTCTTTGGTGAAGAGTCCATATTTTATGAAATTTTTGCGGGTAATTTCTAATCTGTATCCCTTTTGCTAAACCAAACCTTGTGTATTTTGTTAGCTATTTAAAACTACTTTTTTGGGGATAAATTTTTAATGCTCCATGATTACAGGTCCATTTTCTGTCATCGATGAACACTTCAATGCCGGTCTTTCAAACTGTTTTGATGCTATCGGGTTGATGCTTATGATTCGCATTATACACCACCACCAGGTAACAACCACTATGACCCATGCGTAATTTAGTTAGCATCCTTTTGCATCTTTTTAGCTACATTTGTATGTAAAAATGCATCAGTAGTAAGTCTTCCAGTGAGGTATGGTATATTTATCACTCAGCATTGAAAAGAGGAGCCTCAGTGTCTTGCAAACTTAAGATTCAGACCAACTTAAGTTGTTTCTTGGTTTCAGACCTTCGAACTAGTCTATATTTTGCCTCAACAATGACAATCTGCGTAGACACAATGTAATGGTGGTTTAATGTCTACTATGTGTTTAATGCAATTCTCAATTTTCCACCTTTTTCCACAGCTTATCATGTCTCGCCGGAGGATTCCATGCCTGGAATCATATTTGGACAAAGTTCGTAACTCCTTATCTCATTTAATTTATTCTCCTTGATCTACTCTTGTATTTGTAGTTGTAGCCAAGAAAAAATGTTCATTATAGCTTTGCATATCTGCAACTGTTTTTCACTTGGTCACTATTTTTTCTTTCTTTCTGGTATAACTTTAGAGGCTATGGTTGGTTTCCTTAGGGTCTTATTCCTCTCTCATTTTGCAAACTGAGCTGGTGAATATTTCTTTGTGGCCTCGTTTCAAGATGGTGTTTGATTCACACATCAGCAGTCTGCGGGATGCAAACATAAAGGCATTATGGGAAGATGATGTCCATCCTCACTACGTCATGAGGCGTTATGCTGAATTCACCGCTTCGTTTATTCACCTGAATGTTGAGTATGGAGATGGGCAGGTTCGTTTATAAGCATTCACCATTGTCTCTAATGTTATGTGTTACCTGGAGCTCGTTACTCAAAGCGCTTGATATTGCCTGTGGTGCTTTTGCAGCTTGATATAAATTTGGAGCGTTTAAGAATGGCTGTAGATGCCTTGATTCTCAAGCTTGCAAACTTGTTCCCAAAGCCAAAGCAGCAAGTTGCGTTTCTCATAAACAATTATGATATGACAATTTCTGTACTGAAGGTGAGTTGAATCCTCGGCCGTCTCATCTTTGCTTGGTTTAAAATGCATTTTCTATGAATCTTTACCTCATATCTTACCTTCCCAGAAAAAAATCTGTTTTGATCATCTTCCTCTCTATTCTAGGAATCTGAACCAGAAGGTGGGAAAATTCAAATGCATTTTGAGGAATTACTAAAGAGCAACACTTTCTTATTTGTGGTAAGGGACAATGTCACCACTTGTTGAAGTCATGTTGCCTCTATAATTTTGCATCATGGTGGTTTTAACACAAGCATATGAGGAAAGTTATATATTTTCCTGATTTAGTTAGTAACATTTGGTGTTCATATTGTTTTTCTCTCGCAGGAAGAATTGCTGGTGGAGCATTTCAGTGACTTAATCAAGTTTGTGAAATCTCGAGCCTGTAAGCAAACTTCTTTCTTTCTTGTCCTCGCACTCATCAATTTGTTAAGAGTCAGAATAACCACTAAACTGTAAAATATGTAGCAGCTGAGGATTCAAGCTCAAATCCAGAGAGGTCCATCACAGTTGCTGAAGTAGAGCTACTGGTGAAGGACTTTGGAAACAGATGGAAGACAGTGATAGATTTGATGCACAAAGATATCATGACTTCCTTCAGTAACTTCTTGTGTGGTATGGAGATCTTGAGAGCTGCATTGTCACAACTTTTTCTCTATTACACAAGACTCACGGACTGCACCAAAGACATAGATGGTGGATCTTCTCTGAACAGGGATATAGTCACCTTGGGATCTCTCTCCTTGGAGATCCAGAAATATCGCAAGAGTTTCTGAAAGGTAACATATGAAAAAGTATGTAAGATAAGTCAAATCTTTCAAAGTGAATACAAAGCCAGTATTATATGGGTTATGAAACTTATGACATTTTCTTTAGAATATTTATTAATGAAAAGAGTTACTAAAATATATTTGGAGCTCATCCTAAACTTTTGATAATTTATACTAACTAAGGTTTTCAAAAAACACTAGAGGGTTTTTCTCTTATTTTTCGATATGGGACAATATACATTTTCTCATATCATCTGGAGCAACTTTCAGTGAGTTCAGCTGTGAAGAAAACTCATCAGGTGTGCGATCAGTGAAGACTGGTTCGATCTCTAGAAAGAAACGTGTTCCTTCACAAAAAGTTGACCATATCGCTCCGAATAGGTACATAAAAATTCACCCTTCTAGATTCTAGTTGGTGCTGTCGCTCAATAACCATTTTTCGTGGGGAAAATATTGGCTTGGTGACTTAACTTAAAACTCATCTGCATAATTATTCCACTTAGTTGGTTTATCAAACCCGACTCCCCAACTGTGTTCTTGAATTTACCTCATAAGAGGTGATCTAAGTTTTTATTTTATTTTACATTTCATCTTAGAAATTGTTATATTATAATTAATTTTAAAATTTGGTTAATTTTGCCATCATTTTTTGGGAATCTTGCAAAAATGACCCATAAATTCAAGTCAATTGCTAAACTAACCTCCCATTTTACCACTTTTGAAATTAACCACTTTATCTCACTTATATCCTTATCAGTTCTGTTTATTTACGAAAATGTCATTAGATTATTGTTTTTTATTATTATTTCGGAAATCTATTTTACCAAATAATCCTCATCTTCTTCACTTATTCACGAAAATGTCATCACCATTAATTCATTCAACCACCATTTTCAACCAATTTGAAGCTTTGATTGCTTCAAAGACCTATTTTTTAGCTTTGTAACCTCATTTCCTCTTCTCTTAACCTTCTACTCTTCCATTTTTTCACCATTTTCAGCACAAAAACTCTCTAATCTAAATTTTTGAAACTTGATGTTTTAATATATTGCCATATTTGGTGATTTGGTCTGGCAAATCGTTTGGGCTTGTTTGATGGTTGCTGGAATCAAAGAAATCGGTGGTTGAATAAGTTAAATACCACTGGTAGGTGATTTTTCAGTCAATTTTCGAGAGTTTTCAGATATGTGCCGCGAAAGTAGACTTCTTAAGAAGTCTACTGTCGGTAGTAGACTTCAAAAGAAGTCTGCTGGTAAACACACATGTTAGTTTTGCAATTGACCGGGTGTACCAATTTCTGACAGTAGACTTCAGTTGAAGTCTGCGCCATTTCCTTTGATAACAAAAAAAAATAGTGTAAACTTCAAAAGAAGTCTACGTAAAAAAGGGTTAGTTTTGCAATTGACCAACGTTTGACTTTTTCATAAGAAGTCTACTCGCAAAAGTAAACTTTTTCGGAGAAGTCTACTTTGAAAGTAGACTTCTTAGAGGTTAGTTTTGCAATTGACCAATGTTGACTTTTTCGAGTAGACTTCGCTTGAAGTCTACTTTTCCGAGTAGACTTCGTTTGAAGTCTACTTTCTGAGTAGACTTCAAAAAAAGTCTACTCGAAAATAAATTCAATGTTTGGTCAACCCCAAAACTAACCCAAGTAGACTTCGTTTGAAGTCTACTTTTGAAGTAGACTTTAAACGAAGTCTACTTTAAAAAGTCAAAGTTTGGTCAATTGCAAAACTAACTTTTTTTTACGTAGACTTCTCAAGTAGACTTCTCGGAGTGAGTAGACTCCTTTGAAGAAGTCTACTCATCTTTTGGCAATTGCAAAAGTAACCTAAAATATAGACTTCATACGAAGTCTACATTTGTAGACTTCATTGCAAGTCTACTTTTGTAAACTTCGTTGTTAGTCTACTATTTCACTTTTTTTTATAAACTCGTTTTTATCAAATTTACAACAAATTATTAAGATTTTTTTGGTTTTACGATTGTTTTAGTAAGTGTACTTACATTTGTATCAGTTTTACATGTTTATATTATATATATTTGGTGAAATCAAGTTTCTTATTTTATTTGGTATTTAGCTTATTAGTCTGTAGACTTCGTTTGCAGTCTGCGACATTATTTTTTTTTTTAAATTAATTGATCAGATATTTGTTACAAATAAAATTTATTCTTTGACTCTTAAGTGTGTATTATTTATTGTTCTTACTTATGTAGGAGTTTGACATGTTTATTTGTTATAGTTTAGCTTTAATTAATTTTCTTGTTCTAATTGGTATTTAGATTATTAGTCCGTAGACTACACTTGAAGTCTACATAGTAGACTTCGTTTGCAGTCTGCGACATTAATTTTTTTTATAAATTTAATTGATCAGATATTTGTAACAAATAAATTTTATCATTTGACTCTTAAGTGTGTGGTATTTATTGTTCTTGCTTATGTATGAGTTTGAATTTTTTTTTTGTTACAATTTAGCTTTAACTAATTTTCTTCTTTTATTTGGTATTTAGCTTAATAGTCCGCAGACTTCATTTGAAGTCTACATAGTAGACTACGTTTGCAGTCTACTTTTTCGACAATGATTTCTAATGTGGTTTGAATTTTGTTTTCTTACAGAGAATGATTCACATACCCACTGTTTATTGAGAATGTGTGAAGAAAGACTAGTTGTGGTATTTCTAAGTAGTTTTACATGTTTTTTTTTTGTTATGAGTTTTACATGTTTTTGTATAGTTAAATTGAATTAATTTTCTTGTTATATTAGAGGTTCAAAGATGGTGATGACTAAGTCTGACAAAAAAGTCTGCATATGAAATCTGAATATGATAAAACACACATAATTTAAGAATATATAAAAATAACATTAATTGCAATCCAATTTTACATATAAAGTAGACCTTCTAATCAAAAAAATATTTAAGGATCACTAATTATAAATCTTAAAATTAGTATATAAAAACAAAATGTCTGAAATAGATGTATGTGACTGAAGTCTGCTCGAGAAGTCTACTCGAGAAATCTGCAGTTGAAGTCTGCTTCCAACAAAAATAAAAGAGAAATAAATAAGCGTCTGCACAATAAGAAAAAAAATGTTAAAATTCATATTTCAACAAAATCTGCTATATTTACAAACATCATATCTGCAGCAAAAAGGAAAAAAAGAAATCAGCTATGTAACAAAAAAATTATAGATCTGCAACAAAATAAACAAAATTCATATCTGCAACAAAATAAACAAAATCAGATCTGCAACAACTAAAAATTCAGATCTACAAAAAAAAAAAATTCAGATCTGCAACAACAAAAAAATCAGATCTGCAACAAATTCTACAAAATTTATACCATAAAAAGCGCATATTTGCAAGAATAAACTCATATCTACAACAAGAAGCTCAAATATGTAATAATAAACCCAGATTTACAATATGAACACAAAACAAACAACAAAAGAAATACAAAACCTCAGATTTGCTTACCATCACCATAATTGAGATAGAGAGGATGGAGGATAGAGATGGGTTTGATGGCAAGAGAGGAAGGAGAAGAGATTCATGGCCAGAGAAGAGGTAGAGGAGAGAGAGGCATATTTTAGAGGGAGAGAAAAACTTTATTTTTAACCCAATTAGGTTAATCTCCTTATATATGTAGGAAAATTTTCGCTTAAGTAGACTTCTTAAGAAGTCTACTGAAAAAGTCTACTCGAAAAGTCTACTTCGGTATATTTTTTCGATTTCGATTCCCCCCTAATTTGTTCCGATTCCCGCCCAATTTGTTAAATAATTTTGATTTTCCGCTATGTTTTTTTTAAGTCTACTGGAGAAGTCTACCCGAGAAGTCTACCCGAGAAGTCTACTGCATACGTATGTTTTCTGTAGTAGACTTCTTTAGTAGACTTCTAAGGGGTTATATGTTTTCTAGTTAATTTTATTTCTGCATTTAAGTTGATTCATTTGTATGAAATTTTGTATTCTATACATGTCAAATATATATGTTTTACTTATGTTTACCAATTTTTTAGAAATTTATTTATTTTATATTTTCTAATTAATTTTTAAAAAACTAATTATGTAGTATACTTCTTTTGAAGTCTACATACAACGATTGTAGACTTCTTACGTAGATTTTTTGAAGGATAAAATCGTAACTGTGGCAGACGTTTTTTGTTTAGTCACAAAGGACTGAGCTGTAATTTCACCACCCCTTTGGGTTAGTTTTGCCAAACATTCAATAAGGGGTTTACATATTGAAAAAAAATCAACTTTTAGGTTATAAAGAGAAATTTCTCCTCATTTTTTTGGAGTTTAATAAAACTAAATTTTCATTTCATTCTCAACCTTTCGAACACATGTACGAGATCAAGTGATCTCTTATTTGTGTGTCAAATACATATATTTTTTAATAGATTATTTTGTCTTTAGACGTACAACAACATAAGCTGGATATATAACTGCCGACCAATTGAAAGCTTTGAGCTACACAAAACTTCTCGCATTTTGGTTGTCCTCCCTCACCACATGGATCGTAGCATTTTTTATACTCAAACTTCATTCCAGAACCTATTTTACAGTGATCATTAAACAAATATTAAACATGTCCACAAATAAAAGTAAGGAGTATTATAATAAGCCAATACTAGAATTTTTATCAATGCAAGAACATCAGAGATGATGAAGAGGATAATAGGAAAAAAATTACGATTGACAATTTATTTGCATATATTCATTCTCAGTTATATTCTCTTAATTTGTGGTTTGTGTGTTAAGTTTTCTTCCTGATGGCAAGTATACCAACGTGGAAATTTGTTTCGGATAGAAGATAAATAAGCAAAAAACAAATTCAATTTTTTTTTGGATTATAGGCAACAAAAAGTAAATAATAACTAAAACTATTTAACAATAATTATTAAAAAAATATTGACATTTATAAAAGGCTTGGTAAAAAATAGTGAGGGAATATGATAATAAGCTAATAACGGGAGTTCTATCAGCGCAATGAACATAAGAGATGACAAAAAAGATAGTGAAAACAAATGCTATAGACATTTTCTTGGCGAAAACCATTTTGTATGATATTTTCTTTATTTGTTTTGGTGTGTTATGATTACTTTCAGATGGTAACATATATACTAACACAAGCACATGAAAAAAGAAACTTG